TGTTCATTCAGCCTTCAAGCTTTTAGCAATAGATTTATCAACAAAAGTTTTATTATATTAATTTTATTTATTTTATTTTATTATTCATGTTATTTTATTTTATTTCATTTCATTTTACTTAAGTAAGTACCACCAGTACATCACTTTCATGTGATTTTATTTCAATAAAGTACATGCTGTAAATTTCACATCTGTCTTCCAAATCCTTTCCAGTTGTGGTGAGTGGGGGGTTGGGGTGAGAGAGGGTGGGGGTGGGGGTGAGAGGGGTTGGTGTGAGAGGGGTTGGGGTGGGGGGTGAGAGGGGGTGTGGGTTGGGTGTGGGGATTGGGGTGAGAGGGGGTGTGGGTTGGGTGTGGGGATTGGGGTGAGAGGGGGTGGGGGGTGGGGCTGGGGTGAGAGGGTGTGGGCTGGGTGTGGGGATTGGGGTGAGAGGGCTGGGGTGTGGGGTTGGGGTGAGAGGGTTGGGAGAGAGGGGCTGCGGTTGGGGTGAGGGGGTGTGGGTGGGGTGTGGGTGGGGTGAGAGGTGGGGCTGGGGGTGAGAGGTGGGGACTGGGGTGAGAGGGGTGGGTGTGGGGGCTGAGGTGTGGAGGGTCGGGGTGAGAGGGGCTGGGGTGTGGGGCTGGGGTGAGAGGGGCTGGGGTGGGGGCTGGGGTGGAGGGGGCTGGGGCTGGGGTGAGGGGTGTGGGTGGGGGTGGGGTGGGTGGGGTGAGAGGGTGGGGTGGGTGAGAGGTTGGGGTTGGGGTGAGAGGGGCTGGGGTGGGGGCTGGGGTGTGAGGGGGTGGGGGCTGGGGTGAGGGGTGTGGGTGGGGTGGGGGTTGGGGTGAGAGGGTGGGGTGGGGTGGGTGAGAGGGTGGGGTGGGGGTGAGAGGGTGGGGGCTGGGGTGAGAGGGTGGGTGGGGTGGGGTGAGAGGGTGGGGTGGGGTGGGGTGAGAGGGGTGGGGCTGGGGTGAGAGGGGCTGGGGTGGGGGGCTGGGGTATGAGGGGGCTGGGGTTGGGGTGAGGGGGTGTGGGTGGGGGGTGGAGTGGGGTGAGAGGGTGGGGTGGGGGTGGGCTGAGAGGGTGGGGTGGGGGTGGGGGTGCTGGCATCTGGGGGGGGAGACCTTGCCTCCCCTTGTTCCTAGCAGCCAGGCACCCTCCGACTTCCCATTGCAAGATTCTGCTGGGATCCCATTATGTGCTGTATCAGATATTATTATTATAATAAGAGAGAACATCAGAGCAACATAAAACAAGAACATTGCGGGTCAAAGAGGATGGATCAGAGACAAGTACAAGAGCTGCTGATCAAAATGACGGAGGCACAATCTGGTGTTATTGTCTGCGTCTTGAATAAATCCTTCGGCTTTCACTGTAAACGTGGCTTTTCTATCGAGTACGGTCTCTGTTGAAGAAATCCTTCAGTTTTCAATTTTTAAAGGCTGTTGTTGTAACAACTACATCGAGTACTGTCGTCGGTGACTCACCGGAAACCCAGCTTCTGTTGTCAAGTTTTCAACTTTTCTCATGTCGCTGAAACCCAGCTTCTGTTGTCAAGTTTTCAACTTTTCTCATGTCGCTGAAACCCAGCTTCTGTTGTCAAGTTTTCAACTTTTCTCATGTCGCTGAAACCCAGCTTCTGTTGTCAAGTTTTCAACTTTTCTCATGTCGCTGTTCTTGTAAATGGTCCACGTGGAATAACCCCAAGAGGCCACCGGGGTCACTGTAGCGCTGCTTCAGAAAACAGTCCTTGTTCTGGCATTTACATGAAAACCAATAGATTTATTTGGACAAAAGAAATGCTGTTTAGAAGAGGAGGCGCTGGTCCTAATTTCTGTGTCTTCGTGTGCCAATTCCTCTGCCTCCCTCCAAGAAATAAACTAAAATGACCTGTTTCATACAATAATGTAGAACTTGTTTTAGAAAATTGTATGTGTGTGTTTTAAGGGTGAAACAAACACTTTAAAAACAACAGCAGCTGTTTTTCATGTGTTCATTCAGCCTTCAAGCTTTTAGCAATAGATTTATCAACAAAAGTTTTATTATATTAATTTTATTTATTTTATTTTATTATTCATGTTATTTTATTTTATTTCATTTCATTTTACTTAAGTAAGTACCACCAGTACATCACTTTCATGTGATTTTATTTCAATAAAGTACATGCTGTAAATTTCACATCTGTCTTCCAAATCCTTTCCAGTTGTGGTGAGTGGGGTCAGGGTGAGAGAGGGTGGGGCTGGTGTGAGGGTTGGGGCTGGGGTGAGGGGGGTGGGTGAGCGGGGTTGGGGTGTGGAGTGTTGGGGTGTGGAGTGTCAGGGTGAGAGGGCTGGGGTGTGGGGCTGGGGTGTGGAGTGTTGGGGTGAGAGGGGTTGGGGTGGGGGCTGGGTGTGAGGGGCTGGGGTGAGGGGGTGTGGGTGGGGGTGGGGTGGGGTGAGAGGGTGGGGATTGGGGTGAGAGGGGGTGAGAGGGTGGGGGTTGGGGTGTGGAGTGTTGGGGTGAGAGGGGTTGAGGTGGGGGGGTTGGGGAGTGAGGGGGGTTGGGGTTGGGGTGAGGTGGTGTGGGTGGGGGGTGGGGTGAGAGGGGGGGGGTTGGGGTGAGAGGGGGTGGGGGTCAGGTGTGAGGGGGTTGGGGCTGGGGTGAGGTGGGTGGGTGTGGGTGGCGGAGAGGTCAGTGAGAGGGGCTAGGGTGGGGGTTGGGGTGAGGGGGCTGGGGCTGGGGTGAGGGGCTGGGTGAGAGGGTGGGGACTGGGGTGAGAGGGGCTAGGGTGTGGGGCTGGGGTGGAGTGTTAGGGTGAGAGGGGCTGGGGTGGGGGCTGGGGGTGAGGGCTGGGGTGAGGGGTGGGTGGGGGTGGGGTGGGGTGAGAGGGTGGGGACTGGGGTGAGAGGGGTGGGGTGTGGGCTGGGGTGTGGAGGCTGGGGGTGAGAGGGCTGGGGTGGGGGGTTGGGGAGTGAGGGGGGTTGGGGTGTGAGGGGGGTTGGGGTTGGGGTGAGGGGGTGTGGGTGGGGGTGGGGTGGGGTGGGGTGAGAGGGTGGGGGTTGGGGTGAGAGGGGTTGGGGTGGGGAGGTTGGGGAGTGAGGGGTTGGGGTGTGGGTGGGGGGTGGGGTGGGGTGAGAGGGTGGGGGTTGGGGTGAGAGGGCGGGGTGGGGAGGGGGTGGGGTGAGAGGGTGGGGTGGGGGTTGGGGTGCTGGCACCTGGGGGGGGAGACCTTGCCTCCCCTTGTTCCTAGCAGCCAGGCACCCTCCGACTTCCCATTGCAAGATTCTGCTGGGATCCCATTATGTGCTGTATCAGATATTATTATTATAATAAGAGAGAACATCAGAGCAACATAAAACAAGAACATTGCGGGTCAAAGAGGATGGATCAGAGACAAGTACAAGAGCTGCTGACCAAAATGACGGAGGCACAATATGGTGTTACTGTCTGCGTCTTGAATAAATCCTTCGGTTTTATCTGTAAACGGGGCTTTTCTATCCAGTGCGGTCTCCGTTGAAGAAATCCTTCAGTTTTCACTTTTTAAAGGCAGTTGTTCTAAGGAGCACGTCGAGTACTGTCGTCGTTGACTCACTGGAAACCCAGCTTCCTTTTTGAGTTTTCAACTTTTCTCATGTCGCTGTTCTTGTAAACGGTCCGCGTGAAATAACCCTAAGTGGCCACTGGGTGTCACTGTAGCGCTGCTTCAGAAAACAATCCTTCTTCTGGCATTTATGTACATGAAAACCAGTAAACCAAAGAAATGCTGTTTAGAAGAGGAGGCGCTGGTCCTGATTTCTGTGGCTTCGTGTGCCAATTCCTCTGCCTCCCTCAAAAAAATAAGCTAAAATGACCTGTTCCATAGAATAATGTAGAACTTGTTTTAGAAAATTGTATGTGTGTGTTTTAAGGGTGAAACAAAGCCTTTAAAAACAACAGCAGCTGTTTTTCATGTGTTCATTCAGCCTTTAAGCTTTTAGCAATATATTTATCAACAAAAGTTTTATTATATTAATTTTATTTATTTTATTTTATTATTCATTTTATTTTATTTTATTTCATTTCATTTTACTTAAGTAAGTACCACCAGTACATCACTTTCATGTGATTTTATTTCAATAAAGTACATGCTGTAAATTTCACATCTGTCTTCCAAATCCGTTCCAGTTGGGGGGGGTGGGGGGGTGGGGTGTGGGGGTTGGGGGGTGGGGGTTGGGGTGGGGGTTGGGGTGAGAGGGCTGGGGTTGGGGTGAGAGGGGGCTGGGGCTGGGGTGAGGGTGGCTGGGTGGGGTGGGTGTGAGGGCTGGGGTGGGGCTGGGGTGAGAGGGTGGGGTTGGGGTGAGGGGCTGGGGTGGGGGGCTGGGGTGTGAGGGGCTGGGGCTGGGGTTGGGGTGAGGGGTGGGGGTGGGGCTGGGGTGAGAGGGTGGGGTGGGGGTGGGGTGAGAGGGAGGGGGGGTGGGGTGGGGTGAGAGGGTGGGGTGGGGGGTGGGGAGAGAGGGCGGGGTGGGGGCTGGGGTGAGAGGGGGTTGGGGTTGGGGTGAGGGGGTGTGGGTGGGGTGGGGTGAGAGGGTGGGGGGTGGGGTGGGGTGAGAGGGTGGGGTGGGGGTGGGGTGAGAGGGCGGGGTGGGGGTTGGGGTGAGAGGGGGGTGGGGGTTGGGGTGAGGGGGTGTGGGTGGGGTGGGGTGAGAGGGTGGGGAGGGGGTGGGGTGAGAGGGTGGGGTGGGGGTTGGGGTGCTGGCATCTGGGGGGGAGACCTTGCCTCCCCTTGTTCCTGGCAGCCAGGCACCCTCCGACTTCCCATTGCAAGATTCTGCTGGGATCCCATTATGTGCTGTATCAGATATTATTATTATAATAAGAGAGAACATCAGAGCAACATAAAACAAGAACATTGCGGGTCAAAGAGGATGGATCAGAGACAAGTACAAGAGCTGCTGATCAAAATGACGGAGGCACAATCTGGTGTTACTGTCTGCGTCTTGAATAAATCCTTCGGCTTTCACTGTAAACGTGGCTTTTCTATCGAGTACGTCTCTGTTGAAAAAATCCTTCAGTTTTCAATTTTTAAAGGCTGTTGTTGTAACGAGTACATCGTCGTTGACTCACTGGAAACCCAGCTTCCGTTTTGAGTTTTCAACTTTTTCTCATGTCGCTGTTCTTGTAAATGGTCCTTGTTCTTGTAAATGGTCCGCGTGGAATAACCCCAAGTGGCCACTGGGTGTCACTGTAGCGCTGCTTCAGAAAACAGTCCTTGTTCTGGCATTTATGTACATGAAAACCAGTAAACCTAAGAAATGCTGTTTAGAAGAGGAGGCGCTGGTCTAAATTTCTGTGGCTTCGTGTGTCATGGCTAAAAGTTGGCCGCTCTTTCTTTAATGCTTAAAAAGCCGCCTGAACCGGGTAGTATATCTAGAGTGAGAAATGTTAGTTTGGTGTTGGGCTGGTTGGTTGGTTGGTTAGTGAAAGCTGGTAGTGTGGATGTGTGTACAGTTGGTCAGTCGCTTTTGCAGAAAGGCTTTTAAGAAGAAAAGCAGAAAGGACTGTGCAAGGATACTTTTCTCGCGGACTCTTTTATGCCGACAAGGGTCCGAGGACCAGCCTGAGGCGACAAAGGGAGGTAAGAACCTTTGATGTTGTTGTTTTACAAACCCTGACATCGTGTGCCAATTCCTCTGCCTCCCTCCAAGAAATAAACTAAAATGACCTGTTTCATAGAATAATGTAGAACTTGTTTTAGAAGATTGTAAGTGTGTGTTTTAAGGGTGAAATAAAGCCTTTAAAAACAACAGCAGCTGTTTTTCATGTGTTCATTCAGCCTTTAAGCTTTTAGCAATAGATTTATCAACAAAAGTTTTATTATATTCATTTTATTTATTTTATTATTCATTTTATTTTATTTCATTTTACTTAAGTAAGTACCACCAGTACATCACTTTCATGTGATTTTATTTCAATAAAGTACATGCTGTAAATTTCACATCTGTCTTCCAAATCCTTTCCAGTTGTGGTGAGTGGGGGTTGGGGTAAGAGGGGTGGGGTGGGGGTGGGGGTGGGGGTGGGGGTTGGGGTGGGGGTTGGGGTTGGGGGTTGGGGTGAGAGGGGGGGGCGTTGGGGTGAGGTTGGGTTGGGGTATGGGGGTTGGGGTGAGGGGGCTGGGCTGGGTGGGGTGGGGTGAGAGGGGGTGTGGGCTGGGTGTGGGGATTGGGGTGAGAGGGGTTGGGGTGGGGGGGTTGGGGTGTGAGGGGGGTTGGGTGGGGTGGGGTGGAGTGAGAGGGTGGGGTGGGGGTTGGGGTTCTGGCACCTGGGGGGGAGACCTTGCCTCCCCTTGTTCCTAGCAGCCAGGCCCGCTCCGACTTCCCATTGCAAGATTCTGCTGGGATCCCATTATGTGCTGTATCAGATATTATTATTATAATAAGAGAGAAGATCAGAGCAACATAAAACAATAACATTGCGGGTCAAAGAGGATGGATCAGAGACAAGTACAAGAGCTGCTGACCAAAATGACGGAGGCACAATTTAGTGTTACTGTCGGCATCTCGAATAAATCCTTCGGTTTTATCTGTAAACGCGGCTTTTCTATCCAGTGCGGTCTACGTTGAAGAAATCCTTCAGTTTTCACTTTTTAAAGGCAGTTGTTGTAACGAGTCCGGTCGTGGTTGACTCACCGGAAACCCAGCTTCCGTTTTGAGTTTTCAACTTTTCCCATGTCGCTGTTCTTGTAAATGGTCCGCGTGGAATAACCCCAAGTGGCCACTGGGTGTCACTGTAGCGCTGCTTCAGAAAACAATCCTTCTTCTGGCATTTACATGAAAAGCAATAGCATTATTTGGACAAAAGAAATGCTGTTTCGAAGCGGAGGTGCTGGTCCTGATTTCTGTGGCTTCGTGTGCCAATTCCTCTGCCTCCCTGTTCTTGTAAACGGTCCGCGTAGAATAGCCCCAAGAGGCCACTGGGTGTCACTGTTATTTTTACTATAGGAAGAACATTCACCAGCACTTGATTGCCAGCCGCTCGTAAGAAACGCCTTTATGCATGCAGTTCGGCCAGAATTTTATCCCAATAGCACTTTTGTTTCTCATTTTCACCACTATGTTCACTTCCACTCACACTTTCGTCTCAAATGCACAAACACTGGCTGCTTGGAGACACTGCATGGCGCATTTCGGGCCAGTGAGAATTTTTTAAAGCGGCTGTGTTTTGAATTGTTTTGGAAGGTGCGCATTTGAGAAACGCAGCTTGAAAGGGGACTGAACTGGATTCTTCCTGCCTCCTTGGTGGAAGAAGGGGAGCAGCGCCAGGTTCTTGCAGTGCTGAAAGGAGAGAGAAAACATCACATTTTAGTGAAGCGGGTGTGTGGTTGGGAGGGACATTTTCTGGGACTTCCCAACACCATGGCCTCTAAAGCTCACTTGGTGGCAGGTTTCAGGTGCTTCCATCTGTCTTTTGGTGCCAGCAATATTTCCCCCCAGAGGAAAAAGCAGCGCCATTCCTGGAGACCCTGCAACCCCAGGCCGATGTGGGGGGTGGAAAGGTCATGAGTTGGGCAGACTATCTGCCCACACCACAAGCTCCGTAGTGGGGAAGGAGAGCTGGGCTGGGGGGGGGATGAACACCTGGCAATTCATGCACCTCTTGGGTTGCAGATAGTACACGGGTATATCTGCCTAAAAAGCCTGGGACACAATTTCCTCCACCCTGTAGCACCTATGGCAGCTCATTTTCCAGACGTCATGTATTTAGCCTGAAGCTGAGGCTCCAATACTTTGACCACCTCATGAGAAGAGAAGACCCCCTGGAAAAGACCCTGATGTTGGGAATGATGGAGGGCACAAGGAGAAGGGGACGACAGAGGACGAGATGGCGGGACAGTGTTCTCGAAGCTACCAGCATGAGTCTGACCAAGCTGCGGGAGGCAGTGGAAGACAGGAGGGCCTGGCCTGCTCTGGTCCAGGGGGTCACGAAGAGGCGGACACGACTAAACGACTAAACAACAACAACAATGTATTTAGCATTAACTCTGGCAGTGTCTGCTTGATTCTGACCCAACTCAGCCTGATGTACACATTTTGCTCTAGGAGGCTTAGCTTGCTCACAATTGAGTCTCCACTTCCAGAGTTAATGTGAAATACATTCCTTCTCGTAAAAGAGCCACCGTAGCTGCTAGAGGGCTGTGAAAATAGGCGGCCCAGGCTTCTTAGACTCGCCTGTGCATGTACTAACCAAAGGGGTACATTGATTGCCAGCCGTGAAATCCCCTGGCATTATATTCAACACTCTTTGAGTTTTCAACTTTCCCCATGTTGCTCTTCTTGTAAATGGTCCACGTGGAATAACCCTAAGTGGCCACTGGGTGTCACTGTAGCGCTGCTTCAGAAAACAGTCCTTGTTCTGGCATTTATGTACATGAAAACCAGTAAACCGAAGAAATGCTGTTTAGAAGAGGAGGCGCTGGTCTAAATTTCTGTGGCTTCGTGTGTCATGGCTAAAAGTTGGCCGCTCTTTCTTTAATGCTTAAAAAACCGCCTGAACCGGGTAGTATATATAGAGTGAGAAATGTTAGTTTGGTGTTGGGCTGGTTGGTTGGTTGGTTAGTGAAAGCTGGTAGTGTGGATGTGTGTACAGTTGGTCAGTCGCTTTTGCAGAAAGGCTTTTAAGAAGAAAAGCAGAAAGGACTCTGCAAGGATACTTTTCTCGCGGACTCTTTTATGCCGACAAGGGTCTGAGGGTTGTTGTTGTTTTACAAACCCTGACATCGTGTGCCAATTCCTCTGCCTCCCTCCAAAAAATAAACTAAAATGACCTGTTCCATAGAATAATGTAGAACTTGATTTAGAAGATTGTAAGTGTGTGTTTTAAGGGTGAAACAAGCCCTTTAAAAACAACAGCTGCTGTTTTTCATGTTTTCCTTCAGCCTTTAAGCTTTTAGCAATAGATTAATCAACTAACGTTTTATTATATTCATATTATTTTATTTTATTTTACTATTCATTTTATTTTATCTTATTTTATTTAAGTAAGTACCACCGGCACATCCTTTTCATGTAATTTTATTTCAATAAAGTACATGCTATAGATTTCAGATCTGTCTTCCAATTCCTTTCCAGTCTATCATTTGTAAGGGTTTTGCCAGGTGGTTGTGGGAGGGAGAGATTTTTTGTGCCCCCACTTTCACCTGAGTTTCCTGGCAGGCTGATATTGTGTCCCACATCTTTTGCCTATTTTATCATAACAGATTTGACCTGTTCCTCTTTGGTGTCCCATTCCAGGAGCAGATTATACATTTTTGGCAATAATTTAGTATTATCTTCTCATATCTCTCTTGAAATCTTGATGCTTCATGACTAAATCCTTTCTTTTTGTCACTTTTAAAAGTTTCATTTAGCTGAAAATATTGAAACCAGTCTGTAACCTTTTCTCTAACTTCTTCAAACTCCTTTAATTTTTATAATATTCTGCTGTTAGGCCACGGCGTCCTGGTGATTTTTCTACCTTTGCTTGTTTAATTGCGTCCCAAACGTGCAGAGCTTATCTTCTTGGCTTCCTTGGGCTGTTTTTCTGTTCTCTTTTTTTATTATATTTTTTTATTAATTTTCCAATAAACATAAATACACAATAAAACATCAAATTCCCATCACCTGTCCTATTTTCATTTAGACTTCCATCAACCTGTCTGATAATTCTCCGTTTTTCTGTTCTCAAAGGGAATGCTGAAGTCTGCCATTAGGATTTCCTTGCCTTAGAATGCGTGTAGGTTTAGGACTAGGTTTAGGTATAGAGTTAGATCAGTGTGGATTAGGGACTGGATAAAACTGGAAAAGGAAGAAGCATTAGATTTGGACGGTCACGATACCAGATTTGGATGGCATGCATACTTATGGTACGGGAAAGGGGAAGTGCACAAAGGATTTTACAATCATATACGCAGGAGATCACTAATGAGGGTGTGGGAGAGATAGAAGGATCTAATAGAAGAAAAAACACCCTGGTGGTTATCTCCAGCTGAAGCTTCGTTACTCAAACCGCTTGGCAAAAAGGGGAATTGGTCTAGATATAGAGATTTGCTGAAGGATGGAAGAATGAGGAAATCCCAACGAAGAACCGTGGCAAGAAAAATGGAAGAGCTATGCAGAGTTGTCTAAATTGACATACGTACAAACTACATGATAAGGACAACTGTTACTTCAAGGAAGAATGGGAACTTTTTACAAACTAAAAAACCCCACAAAATGAATTGGACTCCTTGACAGGTTTTGAACAAACATCCACAAATTTATTAGTAGAAGATATGAGAGATAAGCCAATGATATGTACAGTTTTTAACATGCAGAGAATAACATGTGCAGAGAAATCAGAGAGAGGAGCTGAGGGAAGTCCGGGGGGGGGGGAGGGATTGAAGGGGAGTGGGGAAAAATGGGAGAGAAATAATGTATGTGATTAAATGGATTGATAATTTGGTATGTTGAAATTGTTTAATAAAAATATTTTTTTTTGAAAAAAGGTTTAGGTTTAGAGTTAGATTCAAGTTTAACTTTAAAGTTAGGATTACAGTTAGGGCTAGGGCTAAATGTAGGGAGAGGGTGAGGGTGAGGGTTAGGATTAGGATTACGATGGGGGTTGGTGTTGGGGTGAGAGGGTGGGGTGGGGTTTGGGGTGCTGCCATCTGGGGGGGAGACCTTGCCTCCCCTTGTTCCTAGCAGGCAGGCACCCCCCGACTTCCCATTGCAAGATTCTGCTGGGATCCCATTATGTGCTGTATCAGATATTATTATAATAAGAGAGAAGATCAGAGCAACATAAAACAATAACATTGCGGGTCAAAGAGGATGGATCAGAGACAAGTACAAGAGCTGCTGACCAAAATGACGGAGGCACAATCTGGTGTTACTGTCCGCGTCTTGAATAAATCCTTCGGCTTTCACTGTAAACGTGGCTTTTCTATCGAGTACGGTCTCTGTTGAAGAAATCCTTCAGTTTTCAATTTTTAAAGGCTGTTGTTGTAACGAGTCCAGTCGTGGTTGACTCACTGGAAGCCCAGCTTCTGTTTTGAGTTTTCAACTTTTCTCATGTCGCTGTTCTTGTAAATGGTCCTTGTTCTTGTAAATGGTCCACGTGGAATAACCCCAAGTGGCCACTGGGTGTCACTGTAGCGCTGCTTCAGAAAACAGTCCTTGTTCTGGCATTTACATGAAAACCAATAGAATTATTTGGACAAAAGAAATGCTGTTTTGAAGAGGAGGTGCTGGTCCTAATTTCTGTGCCTTCCTGTGCTAATTCCTTTGCCTCCCTCAAAAAAATGAGCTATAATGACCTGTTTCATAGAATAATGTAGAACTTGTTTTAGAAAATTGTATGTGTGTGTTTTATGGTGAAACAAACCATTTAAAAACAACAGCAGCTGTTTTTCATGTTTTTATTCAGCCTTTAAGCTTTTAGCAATAGATTAATCAACTAAAGTTTTATTATATTCATTTTATTTATTTTATTTTATTATTCATTTTATCTTATCTTATGTTACTTAAGTTAGTACCACCAGCAAATCATTTTCATGTAATTTTACTTCAATAAAGTATATAATTTTAGCAATAGATTAATCAACAAAAGTTTTATCATATTCATTTTATTTATTTTATTATTCATTTTATTTAACATTGCGGGTCAAAATGACGGAGGCACAATCTGGTGTTATTGTCTGCGTCTTGAATAAATCCTTCGGCTTTCACTGTAAACGTGGCTTTTCTATCGAGTACGGTCTCTGTTGAAAAAATCCTTCAGTTTTCAATTTTTAAAGGCTGTTGTTGTAACGAGTACATCGTCGTTGACTCACCGGAAACCCAGCTTCCGTTTTGAGTTTTCAACTTTTCCCATGTCGCGACTAAACAACAACAACAATGTATTTAGCATTAACTCTGGCAGTGTCTGCTTGATTCTGACCCAACTCAGCCTGATGTACACATTTTGCTCTAGGAGGCTTAGTTTGCTCACAATTGAGTCTCCACTTCCAGAGTTAATGTGAAATACATTCCTTCTGGTAAAAGAGCCACCGTAGCTGCTAGAGGGCTGTGAAAATGGGCGGCCCAGGCTACTTAGACTCGCCTGTGCATGTACTCACCAAAGGGGTGCATTGGTTGCCAGCCGTGAAATCCCCTGGCATTATATTCAACACTCTTTGAGTTTTCAACTTTCCCCATGTCGCTCTTCTTGTAAATGGTCCACGTGGAATAACCCCAAGAGGCCACCGGGGTCACTGTAGCGCTGCTTCAGAAAACAATCCTTGTTGTTCTGGCATTTACATGAAAACCAATAGAATTATTTGGACAAGAAATGCTGTTTAGAAGAGGAGGCGCTGGTCTAAATTTCTGTGGCTTCGTGTGTCATGGCTAAAAGTTGGCCGCTCTTTCTTTAATGCTTAAAAAGCCGCCTGAACCGGGTAGTATATATAGAGTGAGAAATGTTAGTTTGGTGTTGGGCTGGTTGGTTGGTTGGTTAGTGAAAGCTGGTAGTGTGGATGTGTGTACAGTTGGTCAGTCGCTTTTGCAGAAAGGCTTTTAAGAAGAAAAGCAGAAAGGACTCTGCAAGGATACTTTTCTCGCGGACTCTTTTATGCCGACAAGGGTCTGAGGGTTGTTGTTGTTTTACAAACCCTGACATCGTGTGCCAATTCCTCTGCCTCCCTCCAAAAAATAAACTAAAATGACCTGTTTCATAGAATAATGTAGAACTTGATTTAGAAGATTGTAAGTGTGTGTTTTAAGGGTGAAACAAGCCCTTTAAAAACAACAGCTGCTGTTTTTCATGTTTTCCTTCAGCCTTTAAGCTTTTAGCAATAGATTAATCAACTAACGTTTTATTATATTCATATTATTTATTTTATTTTATTTTACTATTCATTTTATTTTATCTTATTTTATTTAAGTAAGTACCACCGGCACATCCTTTTCATGTAATTTTATTTCAATAAAGTACATGCTATAGATTTCAGATCTGTCTTCCAATTCCTTTCCAGTCTATCATTTGTAAGGGGGTTTGCCAGGTGGTTGTGGGAGGGAGAGATTTTTTTGTGCCCCCACTTTCAACTGAGTTCCAGACCGGGCCCCGGCAGGCTGATATTGTGTCCCACATCTTTTGCCCATTTTATCATAACAGATTTGACCTGTTTCTCTTTGGTGTCCCATTCCAGGAGCAGATTATACATTTTTGACAATAATTTAGTATTATCTTCTCATATCTCTCTTTGAAATCTTGATGCTTCATGACTAAATCCTTTCTTTTTGTCACTTTTAAAAGTTTCATTTAGCTGAAAATATTGAAACCAGTCTGTAACCTTTTCTCTAACTTCTTCAAACTCCTTTAATTTTTATAATATTCTGCTGTTAGGCCACGGGGTCCTGGTGATTTTCCTACCTTTGCTTGTTTAATTGCGTCCCAAACGTGCAGAGCTTATCTTCTTGGCTTCCTTGGGCTGTTTTTCTGTTCTCTTTTTCATTATATTTTTTTATTAATTTTCCAATAAACATAAATACACAATAAAACATCAAATTCTCATCACCTGTCCTATTTTCATTTAGACTTCCATCTCAACCTGTCTGATAATTCTCCGTTTTTCTGTTCTCAAAGGGAATGCTGAAGTCTGCCATTAGGATTTCCTTGCCTTGGAATGTGTGTAGGTTTAGGGCTAGGTTTAGGTATAGAGTTAGATTAGGGACTGGATAAAACTGGAAAAGGAAGAAGCATTAGGCATTTCGGACAGTGAGAATATTTTAGAGCGGCTGTTTTGAATTGTTTTGGAAGGTGCGCATTTGAGAAACGTAGCTTGAAAGGGGACTGAACTGGATTCTTCCTGCCTCCTTGGGGGCGAGTCATTGGCCGTGCGAGGGCTCCTGCGAGACGAAGGGGAACAGCGCCAGGTTCCTGCAGTGCTGAAAGGAGAGAGAAAACATCACATTTTAGTGAAGCGGGTGTGTGGTTGGGAGGGACATTTTCTGGGACTTCCCAACACCATGGCCTCTACAGCTCACTTGGTGGCAGGTTTCAGGTGCTTCCATCTGTCTTTTGGTGCCAGCAATATTTCCGCCCAGAGGAAAAAGCAGCGCCATTCCTGGAGACCCTGCAACCCCAGGCCGATGTGGGGGTGGAAAGGTCATGAGTTGGGCAGACTATCTGCCCACACCACAAGCTCCGTAGTGGGGGAGGAGAGCTGGGCTGGGGGGGGGATGAACACCTGGCAATTCATGCACCTCTTTGGTTGCAGATAGTACACGGGTATATCTGCCTAAAAAGTCTGGGACACAATTTATTTCACCCTCTAGCAGCTATGGCAGCTCATTTACCAGAAGTCATGTATTTAGCATTAACTCTGGAGTGTAGGCTTGATTCTGACCCAACTCAGCCTGATGTACACATTTTGCTCTAGGAGGCTTAGTTTGGTCACAATTGAGCGTCCACTTCCAGGGTTAATGTGAAATACATTCTGTTAAGTTGTGGGTGAACATATCAGACGACACAGCGATTCTTGAAACAGCTCTTGTTTATTCACAGGCCAGAACAGAACTGAACTGAAGGGTTGTCAGTCTGCTTATATAGAGCTCCAGTACACATAATTGTAACAACTTTCTAAAACTATCCAATCACTGAATGTCACTTTCGATCCCTTATTTGCATAACTATCTACAGTGTCCCCCTGCTGGCCCAGGGTGAGAACTTCAGTACATAACACCCCTCCCCACCGAGATACGGGGTTAGTTACAATCGTAATGGTTTCCTTATATACAGCACTACACATAATGGTTCAATTAGGCACAAAAGCATATTGGTTACATTTCACATACTTCCATTAGGCCAACAGTATTAAATGTCCAACAACATAGTCCTTTAAATAAGTTGGGCGCTTGGAAACTGCCAGACTGCCGGGGAGTGGTATCCAGGTCCGGCGGGCTGCCCGATTCTTGCTGAGGCTGTGGCGCGACCCTAGGTGGCGTTGAAACCAAGTCCCCTGGATCCGCTGCTGTGGGTGGAACATCCGTAAGTGGAGGTGGCGGAATGTCAGGCACGGCAGTGGTCTGATTCTGTGGGAAGTCCGGCAGACCCTCTGAAGTGGCTTGGTTCAGCTCCACGCCTGCAGTTTGTGAGAGAGGTGTAGGTGGAGCCTCGCCATCTGTAAGCGTCTGTTCCGGAGCCATGAGCGCAGTTGGGGGCACTGCAGTAGTGTCCAAGTCCCCAACCCTGCGCCTAAGCTGGTCTATGTGCCGGCGCCACAAACATCCGTCTTCGAGTGCCACCTGGTATGAGCGAGGTCCAGTGACTCCCACTACTGTGGCGGGCACCCAAGGAATGTCCCCCACAAAGTTCCAGGCAAAGACCTGGTTTCCTGGAACAAATGACCGTGGCGCATTGGCACAGCCTGGGGGTTCGGCCACGGCAAAGTCTGGGTGCAGCCGGTCGAGCGGAGACCTGAGGCGGTGGCCCATAAGCAGTTCGGCAGGACTCCGCCCTGTGGCCACATGAGGGGTGATGTGTTGCACGAACAAGTATTCAGCAACCCGCTCATGCCAGTCTCCCTGGTCCAGGCGCGCCAGTGCCTCTTTTGCCGAGCGCACCATTCTCTCCGCTTGCCCATTGCTGGATGGAAGAAATGGTGCCGTTAGGGCATGGCGGATGCCCAGTCCCAAAAGGTATTGCTCAAAAGTGTCTGACGTGAACTGTGGTCCGTTGTCGGAGACAAGGACATCAGGACACCCATGCGTCGCACAGAGGCCTCGCAGCACCCGGATGACGGCCTCGGTAGTGGTGGAGGGCATCAGGGCCACCTCCAGCCATTTGGAATAGGCGTCCACCACTACCATAAAGGTCCGGCCGTGAAAGGGGCCAGCCAGATCGATGTGCACCCTCGACCAGGGTGTCTTGGGCGTCTCCCAGGTGTGTCCCTTAGCTGCCGGTGGTGCAGGCCTCGATTCTTGGCACGCTTGACAGGCGGACACCCAGGCAGTGATGGCATCGTCCATGTTAGGCCACCAGACGTAACACCGAGCCAACGCCTTCATTTTGACGATTCCCGGGTGGCCAACGTGCAGAGCTTCAAGGATGCGTTGACGGAGTCTTTGGGGAATCACGACGCGGTCTCCCCACAGCAGACAGCCGCGATGAGCCGAGAGTTCATGTTGTCTGGTTGCCAATGGCTGGAACTCCGACGCAAAAGGCCCTTGTGGCCACCCCCTCCACACCCAGTTGAGCACACGGCTGATGGTGCGATCCTGGGCAGATGCAGAGGCCACAGTGGCAGCCGATACAGGCGCTGCCAGAAGATCCTCAATCAGGAGGAGCCGGGTCTTCCACAAACGCTGGAAGAGGGCAACGGCTGAGGGTGTCGGCATGGCCCATCGATTTCCCTGGGCGATGGACGAGCCGGTAGTGGTAGGTAGCCAGGAAAACAGTCCATCACAGCATGCGTGGCGAGAGGACCAGTGGAGTTGGTCGATCACCGGCGAGGAGGCCCAGGAGCGGCTTGTGGTCGGTGATGAGGTTGAAAGTCCTGCCGTAGAGGTATTAATGGAACCTCTTCACTCCAGCCACAAGTGCCAGTGCCTCCTTGTCGAGCTGGCTGTAATTCCGTTCAGTCAGAGATAGCGTCCTGGAAAAGTAGGCGAGTGGTGCTTCTCTTCCGTCTGGAAAACGGTGACTAAGGACAGCGCTGATGCCAAAAGGTGAGGCATCGCAGGCAAGGACCAGCAGCCTGGCTTCACTGTACTGTACCAGCACACTGTCTGATGAAAGGAGAGCCTTGACTGCGTTGAAGGCCGCCGTCTCCCGATGACCCCAGGACCAAGGCATCTTCGTGCTGAGGAGTCGGTAAAGAGGCTCAGCCACCGTGGCTTTGTGGGGCAGGAACATGTTGTAAAAGTTCAGCAGTCCCAGGAACGCCTGCAACTCCATCTTGTTCTTTGGGATGGGGGCCTGATGGATAGTGCAGATCTTGGATGTGGTTGGGTGAAGGCCGGAGGCGTCGATAAGATAGCCCAGGAACTCCACCTGTGGAACGGCAATCTGGCACTTCTCCCTCTTTACCTTGAGCCCGGCCTCCTGGAATCTGGTCAGCACAGCAGGGAGGCGCTCGAACAGCTGCTGTTGTGAGTCTGCGGATACCAAGACATCGTCAAAGTATGGTACCATGCCCAGAAGCCCTTGCAGGAGATGCTCCATAAGGCTTTGGAAGATGCCAGGAGCTACACTCACTCCGAACTGCAAACAGCAGCAACGGAATGCCCCTCAGTGGGTGACGATCGTCTGGGCTTCAGCGGTGGCATCATCGACGGCAGTTGTTGATAGGCTTGGGCAAGGTTCAACTTAGCAAAGACCTTACCCTCACCCAGGGAATGCAGCAGGTGTTGAACAACAGGAACCGGGTAGGCGTGCTGCTGAAGTGCCTTGTTGATCATGCGCTTGAAGTCGGTGAAGATTCTCACTGACCCGTCCGGCTTGACAGGCGTGACGATGGGGGTTTCCCACTTGGTGTGGTCAACCGGTTCCAAAACTCCTTGGGCGATCAGCTTGTCCAGTTGTTCGTCTACCTTAGCCTTGAGAGCAAAGGGAACCCGGCGTGGCTTTAGCTTGATGGGGGAAACTTGTGGATCAAGGCTAAAGGAGATGGGTGTACCTGTATATTGCCCCAAAGTGCCGTCAAAAACCTTGGCAAAGTCTTTGACCAGACCCTCAGTCTCTGCGTTAGAGATGCAGTTGATGCCGGTGACTTCCAGGCCGAGGGCATCAAACCAGTCTAGCCCTAGGAGGCTTGGCCGCTGACCTTCTACCACCACCAGTCGGAGCAGGCCCGAAAAATCCTTGAAGGCGATCCAGAACCGGCCAACGCCTACCACCGGAATGTTGTTTCCCTGGTAGTGTCTCAGGTGTATGCGGTGAGAGTCAAGTTGCCTTTAAGACACTCTGGGTACCAGTCTTTTGATGGTGCTCAATGGACACAATGGACAGGGCAGACACGGTGTCGATCTCCATGTCACATGGAGCTCCTTAAATGAGCACCATGACGTTCAGCTTGCGTCGCGTAGTTGAGTCGGTTTGGCCAATCGTGGTTCCAGATGGGCAGCGGCAGTTGGTGAGAGCGAAACAGTTTTCCTTGGTGGACTGGAGTGAAGACTTGGACTTGTGAGTGGTGAAGGGGGGTGCCGGACGGAGCCGATTGGCAGACCTTAGCGACGTGGCCCCTTCTGGAACACTTCCTACAGATGGCGTCTCTGAATTGACACTTGGCACGGGAATGGTTGCCTCCGCAGCCGGCACATTCCGATTGGCCCTTGGACTTCTTTTGGAACTTCCTGCGCTCCCGCTTTGTCTGGTGCACGTCATCATCTTCACTGGAGGATGCCTCATCACTGCTGGCCTCTTCATGATGCACTGGAACTGGCTTCCTAGCAAGACGCGGGCTGCTGGCCTTGCGGATCTCCTGGGCGGAGCGTTCAGCAGCTTCCGAGGCCACGGCCTCCTCAATGGCTTTCTGCAGCGTGAGGTCTGGCTTGGCGAGGAGACGCAGTTGCAGATGGATGTCCCAGACCCTGCAGACGATTCAATCCATCAGGGCATCGTCTAAGTCTCGGAACTCGCAGTGCATTGCAGCCTGTCTCAGGGCAGCTGTGTAGTTGTTAATTGACTCCCCCTCTGCCTGGTTCCGGTGGTAGAACGCATGGCGGGCAGCAATCTAGGACGGCTTTGGTGTGTAGTGGTTGCAGAGCTTCTCTTGAATCGTGTCCCACGGTGCTGCCTGGACTGCTTCAGGTGCAAGCAATGCTCAGGCCGTCTCAAACACCTCAGGCCCACAGAGGCTGAGGAATAGACTCCGCTTCCGCTCCTGTGATACTGCTGTCAGCTCGTTGGCTTGGAGGTAGCAGTCGAACCAAGCGAGGTAGGAGTCCCATGATTCAGAGGCTGGCGCAAACGGCGGTAGAGGCACAAGTGAAGCCATGTTTCCAATGCTGGCGTGGAGGGCGATGGATGGAACACAGTGCTCTAGCCAGAACAGTCAGCTCTGAATTGGTTCTGTTCAGTGATTTCGCTCATTGATTCAGCTCAGTTCAGAGGGTGGCCGCATCTGGCTGTTATTCTAACTAGTCTGGTCGTGGTTGACTCTCCAGAAACCCGGTCTCCATTGAAGAAATCCTTCAGTTTTCACCAACTAAGTTTGTTAGTGGTATGAGCTTTCTTGTGCACGCACACTTCTTCAGATACACTGAAACAGAAGTCTCCGGACCCTTCTATATATAGTGAGAGGATGGGGCGGGGTATTCCTCAGAAGAGATGTGGGAATGGATGATTGACTGTTTAGAAGGGGAGGTGCTGGTCCTATTTTCTGTGGCTTCCTGTGCCAATTCCTCTGCCTCCCTCAAAAAAATAAACTAAAATGACCTGTTCCATAGAATAATGTATCTATTCTACCAAGCGAGGCAGGAGTCCCATGATTCAGAGGCTGGCGCAAATGGCGGTAGAGGCACAAGTGAAGCCATGATTCCAATGCTGGCGTGGAGGGTGATGGATGGAACACAGTGCTCTAGCGAAAACAGTCAGCTCTGAATTTGTTCTGTTCAGTGATTTCGCTCAGTGATTCAGCTCAGTGATTCAGCTCAGTTCAGAGGGTGGCCGCATCTGGCTGTGCTCTGTTGTCCATCGATCCCATCCTTGTCGCCAGTGTTAAGTTGTGGATGAACATATCAGATGACACAGTGATTCTTCAACAGCTCTTGTTTATTCACAGGCCAGGACAGAACTGAACTGAAGGGTTCAGTCAGCCTGCTTATATAGAGCTCCAGTACACATAATTGTAACAACTTTCTAAAACTATCCAATCACTGAACGTCACTTTTGATCCCTTATTTGCATAACTATCTACAGTATCCCCCTGCTGCCCAGGGTGAGAACTTCAGTACATAACACATTCCTTCTGGTAAAAGAGACACTGTAGCTGCTAGAGGGCTGTGAAAATTGGCGTCCCAGGCTTGTTAGACTCGCCTTCGCATGTACTATCTGAAACCAAAGGGGTGCATTGGTTGCCAGATGTGAAATCCCCTGGCATTATATTCAGCACTCTTTCTTAGGGTGTGGTTATTTCAGAGAAGAAGCCAGGCCAAAAAGGGATGCTTAACAGAGAAGTATCTTTATTGTCAAAGCACAGTCGAGAACAGGAGCATGAGTCACTTCCCCAGTTGGGCACAGGGCCATCTCTAGTGGAAACGGCAGCATATCGGCAATGTGGACATCACAGTCGGGGTCTCAGCCTCTTTCCCTTAGTGCATCTGCCGGCAAAGGACTTTTGCAGAGCTGGTCGTCTTTTTTATAATATATTTTTATTTGGTTTTCAACAAACATAAGATAAATGATAAAACAAAAGCAAAAAAAGAAAAAACATTTACACAAAAACAATATCAAATCTGTAAAATGGGGTTATCTGAATGCCTGGACTTCCCTCCACAGCCTCCCTGGGTCCCAACAATTTTCTTTTCAGCTGCATATCATTACTACTCCAAAATTTCTTTTCCTAAGTTATTTCTACAATCTCTAAAACTACAAGAGTTCTTAAAATCCTGCCAATGTTTCAATCTGCTTACAATACTTTTGTAAACACATAACGAACATTTTCCATTCTGCTTTAAACGTCTTGTCATCTTGACTTCTGAGCTTCCCAGTTGATTATGCCATTTCAGGATAGTCCATTAACTTGGTCTGCCAGTCTTCTTTGGTTAGAACTGTTTCTTCTTCCCATCTTTGGGCTAACAATATCCGGGCAGCCGTCGTACATAAACAAATTTCTCTGATCTTTGATATCTCTTTACCTACAATTCCTAGTAAAAAAGCTTCTGATTTTTAGTAAAAGTTGCTTTAAACATTTTTTTCATTTCATTGTAAATCATTTCCCAGAATTTATTTACCACCTTATATTTCCACCACATATGATAAAAAGTACCTTCTGTTTCTTTACATTTCCAACAATTATTTGTTCTTGTTCTGTACATTTTTGCTAATTTAACCGGGGTTAAGTACCACGACACATCATTTTCATGTAATATTATTTCAATAAAGTACATGCTGTAAATTTCACATCTGTCTTCCAAAGCCTTTCCCAGTCTATCATTTGTAATGGGGTTTGCCAGGTGGTTGTGGGAGGGAGAGATTTTTTTGTGCCCCCACTTTCACCTGAGTTTCAGACCGGGCCCCGGCAGGTCTGATATTGTGTCCCACATCTTTTGCCCATTTTATCATAACAGATTTGACCTGTTCCTCTTTGGTGTCCCATTCCAGGAGCAGATTATACATTTCTGACAATAATTTAGTATTATCTTCTAATATCTCTCTCTGACATCTTGATGCTTCATGACTTGGGCTGTCTTTCTGTTCTCAAAGGGAATGCTGAAATCTGCCACTAGGATTTCCTTGTGTTAGAATGTGTGTAGGTTTAGGGCTAGGTATGGGTTTAGGTATAGCATTAGATTAATCTGAGGATTACAGTTTGTACAGATTAATTTGAGGATTACAGTTTGTTCTCGGGCTAAATCTAGAGTTATTGTGGGGTTTAGGGTGAGAGTGGGGGTTGGGGTAAGTGTTAAGGTTGGGATAAGGGTTAGTGTTAGTGTTAGTGTTAGTGTTGGGGATAGAGTTAGGGTTCGGGATAGGGTTAGGGTTGGGGCTTGGGCTTGGGCTAAGGCTTGGGCTAAGGCTCCGTCTAAGGCTCGGGCTAAGGCTTGGGCTAAGGCTCCGGCTAAGGCTTCGGCTAAGGCTTGGGCTAAGGCTCCGTCTAAGGCTCGGGCTAAGGCTTGGGCTAAGGCTTCGGCTAAGGCTCCGGCTAAGGCTTGGGCTAAGGCTTGAGCTAAGGCTTGGGCTAAGGCTTGGGCTAAGGCTTGAGCTAAGGCTTGGGCTAAGGCTCGGGCTAAGGCTTGAGCTAAGGCTTGAGCTCGGGCTAAGGCTTGGGCTAACGCTCGGGCTAAGGCTTGGGCTAGGGCTAGGGCTAGGGCTAGGGCTAGGGCTAGGGCTAGGGCTAGGGCTAGGGCTAGGGCTAGGGCTAGGGCTAGGGCTAGGGCTAGGGCTAGGGCTAGGGCTAGGGCTAGGGCAAGGGCTAGGGCTAGGGCTAGGGCTAGGGCTAGGGCTAGGGCTAGGGCAAGGGCTAGGGCAAGGGCAAGGGCTAGGGCTAGGGCTAGGGCTAGGGCTAGGGCAAGGGCTAGGGCTAGGGCTAGGGCTAGGGCTAGGGCTAGGGCTAGGGCTAGGGCTAGGGCTAGGGCTAGGGCTAGGGCTAGGGCTAGGGCTAGGGCTAGGGCTAGGGCTAGGGTTAGGGCTAGGGCTTGGGCTAGGTCTAAGTTTAGGGTTAGGATGGCGGTTAGTGTGAGGATTGGGGTTGGGGTGCTGGCATCTGGAAGGGAGACGTTGCCTCCCCTTGTTCCTAGCAGCAAGGCATCCTCCGACTTCCCATTGCAAGGTTCTGCAGGCATCCCAATATGTGGTGTATCAGATAGTATAATAAGAGAGAAGATCAGAGCAACATAAAACAATAACATTGCGGGTCAAAGAGGATGGATCAGAGACAAGTACAAGAGCCGCTGACCAAAATGACGGAGGCACAATATGGTGTTGCTGTCTGCGTCTCGATGAAATCCTTTGGTTTCAACTCTAAACGCGGCTTTTGTATCGAGTTCGGTTTCTGTTGAAGAAATCCTTCAGTTTCCAATTTTTAAAGGCGGTTGTTCTAACTAGTCTGGTCGTGGTTGACTCACCAGAAACCCGATCTCCGTTCAAGAAATCCTTCAGTTATCACTTTAAATATGTGGTTGTTGTAATATTTACGGTCTCCGTTGAAGAAATCCTTTGGTTTTCACTGTAAACACAGCTTTTGTATCGCGTTCGGGTTCTGTTGAATAAATCCTTCAGTTTCCACCCCGTTGAAGAAATCCTTCAGTTTCCAATTTTTAAAGGCAGTTGTTCTAACTAGTCTGGTCGTGGTTGAATCTCCAGAAACCTGGTCTCGTTTGAAAAAATCCTTCCGTTTTCACCCCGTTGAAGAAATCCTTCAGTTTCCAATTTTTAAAGGCAGTTGTTCTAACTAGTCTGGTCGTGGTTGAATCTCCAGAAACCTGGTCTCGTTTGAAAAAATCCTTCCGTTTTCACCCCGTTGAAGAAATCCTTCAGTTTCCAATTTTTAAAGGCAGTTGTTCTAACTAGTCTGGTCGTGGTTGAATCTCCAGAAACCCGGTCTCGTTTGAAAAAATCCTTCCGTTTTCACCCCGTTGAAGAAATCCTTCAGTTTCCAATTTTTAAAGGCAGTTGTTCTAACTAGTCTGGTCGTGGTTGAATCTCCAGAAACCCGGTCTCGTTTGAAAAAATCCTTCCGTTTTCACCCCGTTGAAGAACTCGTCCAGTCTCCAATTTTTAAAGGCAGTTGTTCTAACTAGTCTGGTCGTGGTTGAATCTCCAGAAACCCGGTCTCGTTTGAAAAAATCCTTCCGTTTTCACCCCGTTGAAGAAATCCTTCAGTTTCCAATTTTTAAAGGCAGTTGTTCTAACTAGTCTGGTCGTGGTTGAATCTCCAGAAACCCGGTCTCGTTTGAAAAAATCCTTCAGTTTTCACCCGTTGAAGAAATCCTTCAGTTTCCAATTTTTAAAGGCAGTTGTTCTAACTAGTCTGGTCGTGGTTGAATCTCCAGAAACCCGGTCTCGTTTGAAAAAATCCTTCAGTTTTCACCAACTAAGTTTGTTAGTGGTATGAGCTTTCTTGTGCACGCACACTTCTTCAGATACACTGAAAGAGAAGTCACCAGACCCTTCTATATATAGGGAGAGGATGGGGCGGGGTATTCCTCAGAAGAGATGTGGGAATGGATGATTGGCTGTTTAGAAGGGGAGGTGCTGGTCCCATTTTCTGTGGCTTCCTGTGCCACGTCCTCTGCCCCCTCAAAAAATAAACTAAAATGACCTGTTCCATAGAATAATGTATCTATTCTATTCTATTCCATTCTATTCTATTCTATTCCTATTTAATTTTAATCTATTCTCTTCTCTTCTCTTCTCTATTATATTTTGTTCTCTTTTATTCTATTCTATTCAATTCAAGTTTAATCTATTCTATTCTATTCTATTCTATTCTATTTGGTTCTATTTTATTCTATTTTATTCTTTTCTCTTCTATTTTGTTCTATTTTATTTTATTCTATTTAATTTTAATCTATTCTATTCTATTTTGTTCTCTTTTATTCTATTTTGTTATCTTTTGTTCTCTTTTTTTCTATTTAATTTTAATTTATTCTATTCTATTTTGTTCTCTTTTATTCTACTCTATTTAATTTTAATCTTTTCTATTTGGTCTATTTTATTCTCTTCTCTTCTATTTTGTTCTATCCTATAATTTAATTATTTTAATTCTATTCTATTCCATTCTATGTTGTTATGTTATGTTATGTTATGTTATGTTATGTTATGTTATGTTATGTTATGTTATGTTATGTTATTCTCTTCCTATTTTATTTAATTTTAATCAATTTTATTCTATTACTTTCTATTATATAATTTTATTTTATTCTATTATATTCCATTCCATTTTATGTTATTTTATGTTATGTTATTTTATTTTATTCTATTATATCCTTTCCTATCCTATCCTATTCTGTTCCTATTCTATTTAATTTTAATCTGCTCTATTCTATTCTATTCTATTCTTTAATTTTATTTTATTTAAATCTATTCTATTCTATTCCATTCTATTTTATGTTATTCTCTTCTCTTCTCTTCTCTTCCATTTTGTTCTATTTTATTTAATTCTCTTTAATTCTACTCAGTTCTGTTTTGTTATCGTTATTCTATTTTGTTATCATTTGTTCTATTCAATTCAATTTAATTTTAATCTATTCTATTTTGTTCTCTTCTATTCGGTTCTATTTTACCTATTGTGTTCACGTTTATTCTATTTTAGTCTAGTCTATTCTATTTTGTTCTCTTTTATTCTATTCTATTTTAATCTATTCTACCGTATTTTATTCTAGTCTATTTGGTTCTATTTTATTCTCTTCTCTTTTATTTTGTTCTATTTTGTTCTATTTTATTCTATTTTGTTATCTTTTGTTCTATTCTATTCTATTTAATTTTAATCTGTTCTATTCTATTTTATCCTATTCTATTCCTAATCTATTTTATTTTTCTCTCCTATTTTGTTCTCTTTTATTCTATTCTATTTAATTTTTATCTATTCTATTGTATTCTGTTCTAGTCTATTTTATTCTCTTCTATTTTGTTCTATTTTATTCTATTTTCTTCTCTTTATTCTATTCTATTCTCTTTAATTTTAATCTATTCTATTCTACTCTACTCTACTCTACTCTACTCTATTCTGTTCTTTAATTATATTTACTTCTATTCAATTCTATTTTATGCTATCCTATCCTATCCTATCCTATCCTATCCTATAATTTAATTCAATTTAATTTAATTCTATCCAATTTTATCCTATCCTATCCTATTCTATAATTTAATTTAATTTAATTTAATTTAATTTAATTTAATTCTATTCTATTCTATTCTATTTCATGTTATTCTATTCTCTTATATTCTATTCTATTTAATTTCAATCTATTCTATTCTATCCTATTTTATTCTCTTTTATTTTATTCTAATTTTAATCTGTTTCATTTCACTTGATTCTATTATTCAATTTAATTTAATTTAATTTAATTTAATTTAATTTAATTTAATTTAATTTAATTTAATTTAAATTCTATTCTATTCTATTCTATTCTATTCTATTCTATTCTATTCTATAATTTACCGGTAATTTAATTTAATTCTATTCTTTTCTATTCCATTCTATTTTATGTTATTCTCTTTTCTTCTCTTCTATTCGGTTCTATTTTATTCTATTTTGTTCACTTTTATTGTATTCTATTCTATTTTAATCTAGTCTATTCTATTTTGTTATCTTTTGTTCTATTCTATTCTATTTAATTTTAATCTGTTCTATTCTATTTTGTTCTCTTTTATTCTGTTCTATTTAATTTTTATCTATTCTATTCTGTTCTGTTCTATCCTGTTTTATTCTGTTCTATTTTGTTCTCTTCCATTCTATTTTGTTCTCTTTTATTCTATTCTATATAATTTTAATCTATTCTATTCTACTCTATTCTGTTCTTTAATTTAATTTAATTCTATTCTATTCTATTCAATTCTATTTTATCCTATCCTATCCTATTATTTAATTTAATTTAATTTAATTCTATTCTATTCTATCCATTTTTTTGCTATCCTATCCTATCCTATAATTTAATTTAATTTAATTTAATTCTATTCTATTCTATCCTATTCTCTTTTATTTTATTCTAATTTAATCTGTTTTATTTTACTTGATTCTATTATTCTATTTAATTTAATTTAATTTAAATTCTATTCTATTCTATTTAATTTTAATCTATTATGTTCTATTTTACCCTATCCTATCCTATTTTGTAATATTTTATTCTGTTTCACTTTCTTTTTATTCTATTATAATTTTAACCTATTCTATTCTATAATTTACCGGTAATTTAATTTAATTTAATTCTATTCTTTTCCATTCTATTTTATGTTATTCTCTTCTCTTCTCTTATATTTTGTTCTATTTTATTTTATTTTATTTTATTTTTTTTATTTGGTTCTATTCTATTTTGTTATCGTTTGTTCTATTCTATTCAGTTTAATTTTAATCTATTCTATTCTATTTTGTTCTATTCTCTTCTATTCAGTTCTATTTTATTCTATTTTGTTCACTTTTATTCTATTCTACTCTATTTTGTTCTCTTTTATTCTATTCTATTCTATTTTAATGTATTCTATTGTATTCTATTCTTGTGTATTTTATTCTCTTCTCTTCTATTTTGTTCTCTTTTTTCTCTTTTATTCTATTCTATTCTATTTAATTTTAATCTATTCTATTCTACTCTATTCTGTTCTTTAATTTAATTTAATACTATTCAATTCTATTTCATCCTATCCTATCCTATTCTATTCTATTCTATTCTATTATGTTATTCTATTCTATTCTATTCTATTATTTAATTTTAATCTATTCTCTTCTATCCTATCCTATTCTCTTTTATTTTATTCTAATTTTAATCTGTTTTATTTTACTTTATTCTATTAATCTATTTAATTTAATTTAAATTCTATTCTATTCTATTTAATTTTAATCTATTCTATTCTATTTTATCCTATCCTATCCTATCTTATTTTGTAATATCTTTTTCTATTTCATTCTCTTTTATTCTGTTATAATTTTAATCTATTCTATTCTATTCTATAATTTACCGGTAATTTAATTTAATTCTATTCTATTCCATTCCATTCCATTCCATTCCATTCTATTTTATGTTATTCTCTTCTCTTCTATTTAATTTTAATCTGTTCTATTCCGTTTTATTCTATTCTATTTGATTCTATTTCATTCTCTTCTCTTCTATTATGTTCTCTTTTATTCTATTCTATTTAATTCTATTCTATTCTATTATTTAATTTAATTTAATTCTATTCCATTCTATTTTATGTTATTTTCTTCTCTTCTCTTCTCTTCTCTTCTCTTCTCTTCTCTCCTATCTATTCTATTCTATTCGGTTCTATTTTATTCTATTCTATTTTGTTCATTATTCTACTCTATTATATTTTAATCTATTCTATTTTGTTCTCTTTTATTCTAGTTTATTCTATTTAATTTTAATCTATTCTATTCTACTCTATCCTATCCTATCCTATTATTAAATTCTATTCTATTCTATTCTATTCCATTCTATTCTATTTCATGTTATTCATTTTATTCTATTCTATTTAATTTCATTTTAATCTATTCTATTCTATCCTAACCTATTCTCTTTTATTTTATTCTAATTTTAATCTGTTTAATTTTACTTTATTCTATTATTCTATTTAATTTAATTTAATTTAAATTCTATTCTGTTCTATCAAATTTTATCCTATCCTATCCTATCCTATTCTATGCAATTTAACCTATCCTATCCTTTCCTTTCCTTTCCTATTATTTAATTTAATTTAATTTAATTCTATTCTATTCTATTTATTCCATTCTATTCCATGTTATTCTATTCTGTTTTATTCTATTCTATTTAATTTTGATCTATTCTATTCTATAATTTACCGGTAATTTAATTTAATTCTGTTCTATTCTATTCCCTTCCATTCTATTTTATGTTATTTTATTCTCTTCTCTTCTCTTGTCTTCTATTCCTATTCTATTTAATTTTAATCTGATTTATTCTATTCTATTCTATTCTATTCTATTCTATTCTATTTGGTTCTATTTCATTCTCCTCTTCTATTTTATTCTCTTTTATCCTATTCTATTTAATTTTAATCTATTCTATTCTATTCTGTTCTATTTTGTTCTGTTTTATTCTATTTTGTTCTCTTTTATTCTATTCTATTCTATTTAATTTTAATCTGTTCTATTCTATTATTTAATTTAATAATTTAATTTTATTTAATTTAATAATTTAATTTAATTTAATTTAATTCTATAATATTCCATTCCATTATATTCCATTCCATCTCTTTTATTCTCTTATCTTCTCTTTCATTCTATTCTATTTACTGTATTTTTCACTCCATAAGGCACACCGGACCATAAGGCGCACCTAGTTTTTAGAGGGGGAAATCAAGAAAACAAATCTCCCCCCCCAGCCCCAAAGAGCAAAGAAACCAAGATAGCGAGCGGGATCCATCCGTTGTCCCATAGCCACTCGCTGTCTTGGCTTCTTTAGCCGCATGCAGCCCCTACGGCCGCGCGGGGCTATGGCAATTCCCCCACCTCCCGCAAAAGCCCACAGGAGCAGTGCACCCTTTAAGGAGCACGCAGCTCCTGCGGGCTTTTCTACGAGGAGGGAGAAGGGAATAACTGGCTGCATCAGTCCCTTCTCCCTCCTGGGGAAAAGCCTGCAAGAGCCACGCGGAGCTTGTGTGCGGCTCTTGGGGGCTTTTCCTGCCTGCCTCCCCCCTGCATTCACTTCATAAGACGCACACACATCTCCCCTTACTTTTTAGGAGGGAAAATGTGTGTCTTATGGAGCGAAAAATACAGCAATTTTAATCTATTCTATTCTATCCTATCGTATTCTTTAATTTAATTGAATCTAATTCTATTCTATTCTATTTCATTTTAATCTATTCTATTCTATTTAGTTCTATTTTATTCTATTTAGTTCTTTTTTATTCTATTCTAATTAATTTTAATCTATTCTATTCTATCCTATTCTATTCTATTCTAATTTAATTTAATTTAATTTAATTCTCTTCTCTTCTCTTCTTTTCTATCCTATTCTATTCTCTTTTGTTCCATTTTATTCTCTTTTATTCTAGTCTAATTTTAATCTATTTTATTTTACTTTATTCTATTATTCTATTTAATTTAATTTAATTTAATTTAATTTAATTTAATTCTATTCTATTCTATTCTATTCTATTCTATTCTATGTTATTCTATTCTATTTAATTTTAATCTATTCTATTCTATGTTATTCTATTCTATTCCTAATCTATTTTGTTATGTTATATTTTATTGTCTTCTCTTCTATTGTATTGTATTTAATTTTGATCTATTCTATTTTAGCCTATTTTAGCCTATCCTATTCTATTCTTTTATTCTCTTTTATTCTACTATAATTTTAAGCTATTCTATTCTATTATTTAATCTAATCTAATTTAATTCTATTCTAATTTGTACTATTCTCTTTTATTCTATTCTATTTAATTTTAAGCTATTCTATTCTATTCTATCCTATTATTTGATTTGATTTGATTTAATATAATTCTGTTCTATTCTATTCTATCCTACTCTATTATAGTTTATTCAATTATTCTATTCTATTCTATTCTGTTCTGTTCTTTTCTATTTTGTTCTATTCTGCTTGATTTTAATCTATTTTATTCTATTTAATTTTAATCTATTCTGTTTTATATTCTATTCTATTCTATTTTGTTCTATTTTATTCTATTATAATTTTAATCTATTCTATTACTTAATTTAAATCTATTCTATTCTATTCTGTTCTGTTCTATTTTGTTCTATTTTAATCGATTCTAATATATATATTTTAATATATTCTATTCTATTTAATTTTAATCTACTCTATTCTATATTTTATTTTAATTCTATTCTATTTTATGTTATTCTATTCAATTTAATTCTATCCTACCAACCTATCCTATCCTGTTCCTATTTTGTTCTCTTTTATTCTATTATAATTTTAATCTATTCTATTCTATTCCTATTCTATTCTATTCTGTTCTGTTCTCTTTTATTATATTCTATTTAATTTTAATCTATTATTCTATTCTATTCCATTCCATTCTATGTTATTCTCTTCTATTTTGTTCTATTCTATTCTATTCTATTTAATTTTAATCTATTCTATTCTGTTCTGTTCTATTTTTTATTCTCTTTTATTCTATTCTATTTAATTTTAATCTATTTTATTTTATTCTATTATTCTATTTAATGTAATGTAATGTAATTCAATTTAAATTCTGTTCTATTCTATTCTCTTTTAGTTTATTGAATTATTCTATTCTATTCTATTCTATTCTATTCTATTCTATTCTATTCTATATTGTTGTATTTTGTTCTCTTGTATTCTATTCTATTTAATAGCCTGGGACTATTGGGAAAGAAGGAATTGGCAACAGCAATCAGAACAGAATCTTACTTTTGATTGATATGTTCAGCGCACAACCTTGTTATTACCAACACACTCTTTCGACAGAAAAATAAATTTAAAACTTCATGGAGGCACCCTTGATCAAACCACTGGCACCTCTTGGACTATGTTAATGTCCGTGCTAAAGATGGCCGTGATGTGCTTCTTACCAGAGCTATGACGAATGCTGGACAGATCACAGACTAACACGCTCCATGATGGCTATCAAGATTATACCTCAATGCAGGCTTCAAGGAAGGAAACCAAGGTGCAAAATGAACACACAAGCCCTTCAAGATCCCATTAAGTGGGATTGCTTCCAAACGACTCTAAAGGAGCATCTGCCTTCAGAATTCCCTGATAAAGGAACACTGGACCAAGCTAAAAACATCCATTATTGCAGCCTTTGAACAAACTTTTGGATACCAAACCAAGAAACACCAGGAGTCGTTTGATGAGAAAGACAGTAGGATGGAACGCATGATTGACAAGAAAAGGAAGGCCTTTCAGATCTGGCAAAGAGACAGAAACTGTGCCACTAAGAAAAAAACCCTATGCCAACACTAAGGCTGAGGTTCAAAGAAGAACCAGAGAACTAAAAACACCTGGTGGATTAAAAAAAGCTTAAGAGATCCAGCATTTAGCCAACACTCATGATAGACCGAGTTTCTTTAAAGCCACAAAGACCATCTATGGGCCAATAAATAATGACATATGCCCCCTAGGCTCAGCAGACGGTACCACACTTCTAAAAGATAATACAGTGGTACCTCGGATTACAGACGCTTCAGGTTACAGACTCCGCTAACCCAGAAATAGTACCTTGGGTTAAGAACTTTGCTGCGGAGGCAGCGGGAGGTCCCATTAGCTAAAGTGGTACCTCATGTTGAGAACAGTTTCAGGTTAAGAACGGACCTCTGGAACGAATTAAGTTCTGAACCCAAGGTACCAGTGTGATAATAATAATAATAATAATAATAATAATAATAATAATAGTAATTCATTTATACCCTGCCCATCTAGCTGGGTTTCCCCAGCCACTCTGAGTGGCTTCTAACAAAATATTAAAATACAGCAGTCCATCAAGCATTAAAAGCTTCCCTAAGCAGGTCTGCCTTCAGATGCCTTCTAAAAGTCTGATAGTTGTTCTCTTCGACATCTGGTGGGAGGGCGTTCCACAGGGCAGGTGCCACTACCGAGAAGGCCCTCTGCCTGGTTCCCTGTAACTTGGCTTCTTGCAGTGAGGGAACCGCCAGAAGGCCCTCGGCGCTGGACCTCGGTGTCTGGGCAGAACAATGGGGGTAGAGATGCTCCTTCAGGTATACTGGACCGATGCCGTTTAGGGCTTTAAAGGTCAGCACCAACACTTTGAATTGTGCTCAGAAACATACTGGGAGCCAATGTAGGTCTTTCAAGACCAGTGTTATGTGGTCTCGGCGGCCACTCCCAGTCACCAGTCTAGCTGCCGCATTCTGGATTAGTTGTAGTTTCCGGGTCACCTTCAAAGGTAGCCCCACGTAAAGCGCATTGCAGTAGTCCAAGTGGGAGATAACCAGAGCATGCACCACTCTGGTGAGACAGTCTGCGGGCAGGTAGGGTCTCAGCCTGCGTACCAGGTGGAGCTGGTAAACAGCTGCCCTGAACACAGAATTGACCTGTGCCTCCATGGACAGCTGCGAGTCCAAAATGACTCCCAGACTCCTCACCTGGTCCTTCAGGGGCACAGTTAACCCATTCAGGACCAGAGAGTCCTCCACAACTGCCCACCTCCTGTCCCCCCAAAACAGTACTTCTGTCTTGTCAGGATTCAACCTCTATAGATAAAGAAGCTATTGCACTGTGATGGAAAGAACATTACCAACATCTCCTTAACAGCAGTTCCCCATAGCTGCTGAGGTCCTCTCATAGATTCCACAAAAAAAAGTTAGAGATGCGCTTGCAGTATCTCCAAATCTGGGAGAGTTATGTACAGCTATTAACCAAAGGAAAAACAACAAAGCCAGCAGACCTGATGGTATACCTGCCAAAGTCTTCAAAGTGGGTGGAATTGAACTTACACAACTTCACAAGCTCATCGAAAAAATTTGGGAGGGAGAAGAGATCCCAACAAACTTTAGGGATGCCAAAATTATCAAGCTCTTAAAAAAAAAGTTGACAGAATTGATTGTGGAAACTATCAAGGCATCTCTCTATTAGCTGTGGCTGGCAAAATTCTTTCAAGGATCTTAGCAAACCGTCTCTTACCAATATCCGAGGTGCCCTTCCTGAATCCCAAAATGGTTTTGACCTTCTTGGGGACAGTGGACGTGATTTTCACCACTCAACAGCGGTGCAGGGGAAAACGCAGAGAGCAAAACCAACCCCTGTATACAGCATTTATTGACCTAAGGCTTTCGGCACTGTAAATCATTAATGCCCTGTGGACTGTCCTTCTGAAAATTGGCTGCCCAGGTAAATTTGTGAACACCATTCGGCTCCTCCATGATCAGATGACAGCAACAATCGCAGATAACAATGGCTCTCAAAGTGAACCATTCCCAGTGGGATCAGGTGTTAAACAGGGTTGTGTTATTGCCCCAACTCTATTCATTATTTTCATTGCCATGATCCTACACTTTGTGGAAGGGAAACTCCCCACAATCAGCTACGAGTGATGGCCAAAGAAGAAGAAGAAGAAGAGGAGGAAGGAGGAGGAGGAGGAGGAGGAGGAGAAGGAGAAGGAGAAGGAGAAGAAGAATGCTTAGAGTTAGATTAAGGTTTGTGTTTAAAGTTAGGGCTGGGGCTAGGGCTACGTTTAGGGTAAGGTTTAGGGTTAGAGCAGTGGCGGAGGATATGCCCTCGGTGCCCAAGGCGGGCGCGTTCCCGAGGGGCGCGGAGGGTGCCCTCCCAGGCGCGGGATAGCCGTGCGCGCGCACCCGCCGATCCCTCGTCCTTGCTCTCCCCTGCCTGCCTGCCTCCTGCAGCCGGGAGCGCGGGGCAACGGCGCCCTGGACTCCCGCCAGCCGCCAGAGGAAGCGGGGAGCTGCTGCGCCGCGCTCCCGGCTGGAGGAGGCAGAGAAGAGGGCGGGAAGGAGGCAGGGAGCGGGAAGGGGAGAGGAAGGAACCGGCAAAGCAGCGCAGCAGCTCCCCCCCTTCCCCCGACGGCTCGCGGGAAGCGAGGGAGTCCGAGTCGCGGGCGGGATGTGGTGTGGCTCCAGCACCCCCTTCCTCCGCCAGTGGGTTAGAGACTCTGGAGAGTCCCGTGGACTGCAAGAAGATCAAACCTCTCCATTCTGAAGGAAATCAGCCCTGAGTGCTCACTGGAAGGACAGATCGTGAAGCTGAGACTCCCAATACTTTGACCACCTCATGGGAAGAGAAGACTCCCTGGAAAAGACCCTGATGTTGGGAAAGATGGAGGGCACAAGGAGAAGGGGACGACAGAGGACGAGATGGCTGGACAGTGTTCTCAAAGCTACTAACGTGAGTTTGACCAAACTGCTGGAGGCAGTGGAAGACAGGAGTGCCTGGCGTGCTCTGGTCCAGGGGGTCACGAAGAGGCGGACATGACTAAACGACTAAACAAGGTTTATGTTTAAAGTTAGGGCTAGGACTAGGGCTAAGTTTAGGGCTAGGGTGAGGGTTAGGGTGCTGGCATCTGGGGGGGAGACCTTGCCTCCCCTTGTTCCTAGCAGCCAGGCACCCTCCGACTTCCCCTTGCAAGGTTCTGCTGGGATCCCATTATGTGGTTTATCAGATATTATTATAAGAGAGAACATCAGAGCAACATAAAACAATAACATTGCAAGTAAAAGAGGATATATCAGAGACAAGTAGAACAGCTGCTTACCAAAACGACGGAGGCACAAAACAGTGGTACCTCAGGTTACAGGCGCTTCAGGTTACAGACTCCGCTAACGCAGAAATAGTACCTCGGGTTAAGAACTTTGCTTCAGAATGAGAAGAGACATCGTGCTCTGGTGGCGCGGCAGCAGCAGGAGGCCCCATTAGCTAAAGTGGTGTCTCAGGTTAAGAACAGTTTCAGGTTAAGAATGGACCCCCAGAACGAATTAAGTTCTTAACCCGAGGTACCACTGTACTGTCTGTGTCTCCGTTGAGGAAATCCTTCGGTTTTCACTGTAAAAGGGGCTCTTCTATTGAGCACTGCCTGCGCTGACTCACCGGAAACCCAGCTTCCGTTTTGAGTTTTCGGTTTTCCAACGTCACTGTTCTTGTAAATGGTCCGCGTGGAATAACCCCAAGTGTCAACTGAGGGTCACTGTTGTGCTGCTTCAGAAAAAAATTAATAATTCTTTGCACATCTGCTTCTCCCTGCGCAGAATTTGGATGCATTTTGAGCTGTTGGAGAGCACACGGATGCTGCAAAATGTTCAGGGCCTCTTTGGAATGAGCACCTTTTATAATTCCTCAAAATGTGCTCTGGCAACGTTTCTGCTTCTGTTGTCCAGCTAAGCAGCCTCTTGCTGCACAGTTTATTCTCCAGAATTGTGGATCCTGCCCACCTTCCCAATTTCTCAGCCATCTACCCAGTTGCTCGACGACCTTTGGTGCACAATCTGCATAAAGCTGCCCATTTACCCGTGGCGCAACTGTGGGCCTGGAAAGTCCCCAAAGTTCTCCTGTCACAGCTTCCTGTTCTTTCAACGTCAGTCTGTGAAAACACAGCTGTGCAAGGCAAACATTCGTGCTGACATCCACGTTTGAGCATGTGAGCCAAGGCGTGTTTGCAGGAGAAATGTTTCCCATAAAACACTGAAATGCCGCAAAAAGGAATTTATGGTATGTAATGCCTGTAGGAAAAAGGGACGTGGGTGACGCTGTGGGTTAAACCACAGAGCCTAGGACTTGCCAATCAGAAGGTCGGCAGTTCGAATCCCCACGACGGGGTGAGCGCCTGTTGCTTGGTCCCTGCTCCTGCCAACCTAGCAGTTCGGAAGCACATCAAAGTGCAAGTAGATAAATAGGTACCGCTCTGGCGGGAAGGTAAACGGTGTTTCCGTGTGCTGCTCTGGTTTGCCAGAAGTGGCTTAGTCATGCTGGCCACATGACCCGGAAGCTGTATGCCAGCTCCCTTGGCCGATAAAGCGAGATGAGCGCCGCAACCCCAGAGTCGGCCACGACTGGACCTAATGGTCAGGGGTCCCTTTACCTTTACCTTTAATGCCTGTGGGAAATCTATCTTGTTTCGCCAGATAGATTTGAAACTTGGTTGGGGGCTGATCTATAATTTGGGCAAATGAATCAGGGGTCCACTAACCTCAGCCAGTCTCTGCCTGCTGTCTTTCTAACAATCCACTAGTGTAGGATACAGCACCTGCCTATATCAGCTTTGTTCTCCTGTCACAGAAGGGAGAAGGAGGATGGGGGCAAAACTAGAATTATTTGGCTCTGCCTGTCACTGGCTCTGGCGCCACCTACTGTTGAACTCCCTGCCTTCCACCCTACCAGTCCCTGACAAGCACCAACCAATCACTGAGTGCAGTCTTGCGTTGTCTTTTTTTCCTCCAGCAAGTCGATGAGATCAGGCTAAAGATTGTGAAGACTCCTGGGGACAAGAACGATATTGTGAGTTGACGTGTGAAGTGTTGGAATGGCATCATCATCATCTTTAATTTGTATACCGTCTTTCTATCTTACAATACTCAAGGCAGTTTACAAGCTGAAGAAACAAAAAATGTACATCTTATAACAATCTAATGCAATACGAAAGTGTGATAATAAAACGTAGCTTTAAAATAGGCAACCTACATCAAAAAAGTAACATTCAACAATCATTAGAAAATATAAAATAAGAATATCAACATATAAAAGTTAAACAGAAATCCACTCAACAGTTACAAGAAATAATATCTAAACTATAATCGATAAAACAACGGCAAGCCACAGTACATAAAATAATACAATACACATTGAGAAGCAGAGACTAGAGGAGAGAGCAAGGCAGGTGGAAGGAGGCCTTGCCTGATGGAGTCTCTCCCCTGGGGGGCTGTCACCCGAACACGTCTCAAAGGCTGGGGGAGAGACCCAGAGATGCCTGGGCTGCTGTGAAGGATGGGCTCCTCCTGAAATATGAAGGCTGTGAACTGTATCCAAAGTAGACCCAGATGTAAATATATGTACAATCATATATTTTTTCCAAATTAATTTTCATTAACTGGTTTCTTGTGATACAAAGTAAACAAATAATAAAAAAGGAAAAGTACATATAGCGCCTCCACATTCGAGTCTTTTTCACAGTTCGTTTACATTCGGTATAGGGCACTATTGTAATGGACATTGTGCAACTGGGGAAAAAGAGAGGGGAGAGAGGGAGGAAGGGGGAGAGATGGGGATAAGGATATTTTCTTCTCTTGCATTGCGTTTGCGAGAGATTGGAGGCCCCAGAGCTTGCTTCGTAGCAGTGTGGTTTGTCTGTATAGGTGAGCGGGGGGTGGGGAGGACCCGAGTGTCTTCTGTGCCTTAATTTCCCAAAGGAAGCACGACCCGGGGGGCGGTGCCTGGAGTCTGCTGGAATTTTGCTACCAGCCGGCAGAGATTGAGGGAGACGCACAACCTTTGTAACAATATTGCAAATATTACAGCCACGTTTATATGCTTTTCGAAGCAACAATATTCTCTCGCAGAGGTATTCCAATCCCAGGTTCTTTGAGTATTGTATCGTGCACATTTTTACAAGCAAATTCCCCAACAGGATGCACTTTCGTCTATTCCACAGAGCTCTGACGACCAAAAATACGCAAAATTTTTCATTCTCTTTTTTGCACCAGCAATATTCCTCCCAGAGGGAGGTGCACCGTTCCTGGAGGTACTGCAATACCAGGTCGATGCATGGAGTGGATGGAGCAAGCCCCTATACCATCTCCCAGCTCCAAAAATCCATTTAATATATAGTCCTCAAATAGAGGACATATCAGATATTAAACTGATAAGAACAGATACTACACTTGATCTTAGCCAAAAGGCCGAGAAGCGATACCGAAGGGAGCAAAAATTAAGCGGGTCTCCTTTCTCGATGCCTTTTGAGCTGTCGGTGGGAACCTGGGCGCTGCAAACCTCTCACCGCCCCCTCAGAATTAGCCCCGTTTCCAATTCCACAAATACACTCTGACAACATTTCTGCTTCTGTTGTCCAACTCAGCACCCTCTAGATCGACAATTTAACCTCAAAAATAGTGGATTTTGTCGATCTTGCCAATTTCTCAGCCGTCTGCTGGTTGCTCTGATGGCCATCGGTACTAAATCTGCATAAACCCGCCCATTTCCCCATCAGGGCTTCCGTTATTGTTAAGTTGCTGCGCGGCAACAGAGGTCGCAAATGTTTCCCTTTCCTGTTCACTGGAGAGCATCCTGCAAACACACGTGTGCAAGGCGACCATTCGTGCTGACATTAACATTAGTGCTCCTTAGCAAAAGGGTGATTGCAAGAAAAATATTTCCTGTAAAACCCTTAAAGGCTGCAAAAGGAATTGCCAGCATATAATGACTGCAGACAGTCCATCTTTCTCTGGTTTTTCATAGACCCTTTGAAACTATTTACCTATAAACCCAGATCCTTTTAAGATCACCTTGCTTCTGCCCTTTTTTCAGCTTTGATCTGAGCACGAAATGTACAGACATGCCCTGCATTCTTATGAACACAGTTTCATTTTTATTGATTTTCTTTAAATAAATTTGAGGCAACTCTGCCTGCACATTAACTCAGCCTGCTTCAAGCACGTTCGTCCCAACCAGCAAATACATTTGAAATGTGGTGGAAGGATTTTGCTTGTGGGTGGTGCTAACATAGCTTGACAGGTATTTACTTAGCAGTACCAGAGCAATTAAGCGGGTCTCCTTTCCTGATCGCTTTTGAGAAATTGAATGCAGATTTCCAAAAAATAGCAAGGAGAGACAAGAAGGCCTTCTTAAACGAGCAATGCAAAGAAATAGAGGAAAACAATAGAATGGGAAAAACCAGAGATCTGTTCAAGAAAATTGGAGATATGAAAGGAACATTTCGTACAAAGGTTACCATAATAAAAGACAAAAGTGGAAAGGACCTAACAGAAGCAGAAGACATCAAGAAGAGGTGGCAAGAATACACAGAGGAAGTATACCAGAAAGAAATGGATGTCTCGTATACCCCAGGTAGTGTGGTTGCTGACCTTGAGCCAGACATCCTGGAGAGTGAAGTCAAATGGGCCTTAGAAAGCACTGCTAATAACAAGGCCAGTAGAAGTGATGATATTCCAGCTGAACTATTTAAAATTTTAAAAGATGATGCTGTTAAGGTGCTACACTCAATATGCCAGCAAATTTGGAAAACTCAGCAGTGGCCAGAGGATTGGAGAAGATCAGTCTACATCCCAATCCCAAAGAAAGGCAGTGCCAAAGAAAGCTCCAACTACCGCACAATTGCACTCATTTCACACGCTAGCAAGGTTATGCTTAAAATTCTACAAGGCAGGCTTAAGCAGTATGTGGACCGAGAACTCCCAGAAGTGCAAGCTGGATTTCGAAGGGGCAGAGAAACCAGAGACCAAATTGCAAACATGCGCTGGATTATGGAGAAAGCTAGAGAGTTCCAGAAAGACATCTACTTCTGCTTCATTGACTATGCAAAAGCCTTTGACTGTGTCGACCACAGCAAACTATGGCAAGTTCTTAAAGAAATGGGAGTGCCTGATCACCTCATCTGTCTCCTGAGAAATCTCTATGTGGGACAAGAAGCTAGAACTGGATATGGAACAACTGATTGGTTCAAAATTGGGAAAGGAGTACGGCAAGGCTGTATATTGTCTCCCTGCTTCTTTAACTTATATGCAGAATTCATCATGCAAAAGGCTGGGCTGGATGAATCCTAAGCCGGAATTAAGATCGCCGGAAGAAATATCAACAACCTCAGATATGCAGATGATACAACCTTGGTGGCAGAAAGTGAAGAGGAATTAAAGAACCTTTTAATGAGGGTGAAAGAGGAGAGCGCAAAATATGGTCTGAAGCTCAACATCAAAAAAAAACGAAGATCATGGCCACTGGGCCCATCACCTCCTGGCAAATAGAAGGGGAATAAATGGAGGCAGTGAGAGATTTTACTTTCTTGGGCTCCATGATCACTGCAGTCACGAAATTAAAAGACGTCTGCTCCTTGGGAGAAAGGCGATGGCAAACCTAGACAGCATCTTAAAAAGCAGAGACATCACCTTGCCAACAAAGGTCCGTATAGTTAAAGCTATGGTTTTCCCAGTAGTGATATATGGAAGTGAGAGCTGGACCATAAAGAAGGCTGATCGCCGAAGAATTGATGCTTTTGAATTATGGTGCTGGAGGAGACTCTTGAGAGTCCCATTGAATGCAAGAAGATCAAACCTATCCATTCTGAAGGAAATCAGCCCTGAGTGCTCACTGGAAGGACAGATTGTGAAGCTGAGGCTCCAATACCTTGGCCACCTCATGAGAAGAGAAGACTCCCTGGAAAAGACCCTGATGATGGGAAAGATGGAGGGCACAAGGAGAAGGGGACAACAGAGGACGAGATGGTTGGACAGTGTTCTCGAGCTACAAACATGAGTCTGACCAAACTGTGGGAGGCAGTGGAAGACAGGAGTGCCTGGCGTGCTCTGGTCCATGGGGTCATGAAGAGTCGGACACGACTAAACGACTAAACAACAACAACCTGAGCAATCGTAAGAGCATTTCCTTCCTGGGACAAGTTTTCCATGTGATCTACATAGCAATGTTTGTTCATAAGGATTTCCCTTGCTTGGTAGCTTTCTGTTCTCTGGAAGCATAATATCTGTGCATATATTTCCCCCTGGAAATAAGGGTTACCCATGTTAATGGTGTTTTTATAGACTTGCTATAATTTCTATTGCACCAAAAGTCTGGCGTGTATTACTGCCCCTGCTCTCCTTTCCTCTCTGCTTCAAGATTTCACACCTGTTTTCTGTGATGACTTTGTTGCATGCTTGATTTTGCATCTTAATGATTAAAAATAATAGACTTCCGGGACGCCGCGGCCACGGGAAGGAGCGCGAGGCAACTCGTCTGAGGAGCCTCGAACAGCGTGGGGGTCTTAGAGGGGTCACGAAGGCTCCGTGAACCCCTAAACCACAGGTGGAATATCCTGTTGGCCAAAATACCCAGCAAGGCTGCGTGTGCTCGCCTGTGTTGCCGGCGTTTAACAAGGCTGGAGCCGCAGCGAGAAGGGGAAACATCAGACTCCATGCTGTGAAGCCTCAGGCTCCGAGTGAAAGCGGCGGACCTCCGACAACAGAGGAAAAGCTGGGAAATAGTTCTAAAGCTTTGATGAAAGCAGAGGAGGGAGAACACTGGAAAACAATCAAAGTAAAAGCAAAAGGAATGTTGAATGAAGTTGAATGAAGTTGAATGAAGTTGAATGAAGTTGAATGAAGTAATTAAAGACAAATGAAGGTGGAATTCACTACTGGCGGTAAGAATGATAAAGGAGTAAAGCGAAAAGCTGGCAGACGTGTATGAAAGAGCAAGAAAGTAACCGCTAGCGAGGGAAGGAATATCCTCGATAATAAAGTACATTTTACAAAGTACAAAGTACAAAGAGTTTGAAGCAAGGTAATACTGAGTTTTCTTCTTTTCGATAGAGAGACTCTTTACCGGGTTTGAGAGGAGGAAAGGAGGTTTCTGGGGCATTTGGTTGATGCTTTAACTGACAGGTTTTTGAGGACGTTATTGTTAACATCAACTTTTTTGTTTGAAGTGGGTGGAAGAAAGCATGGGTCTTCCCCAGACCTTAATGTTGGTTTTATGTTAGTGACTTCCCTATGGGTATAAAAAAGGGAGGAGGAAGCCATTCCGAGACCTAACTTGGCTTTGCTATCCGCCATTCCATCTTGTCCTTGATCTACTACGCCTCTGCATGTATTTGAGATTTAAAGGGACATGCGCCAAAAGCCAAATAGGAGAATTTAAACCAGCATAAAGAACACTTCCTGAAGAACTTCCAAGTCTCCAGTAAAGAAAAACTTTTGGTGACGCCAGACCTCTATAATACCACCCTCTAAGAGGACAAAGACTGTAAAAGGTAAAGATTGTAAAACTTTGTGTATAGCCTGATGTGTGATGCCTAATATCTGCTATTATACCCCAACACCAGACCCGGTAACTTATTAACCCATCAGAGATTATCGGTGATCCTGTGCCTCATCCCTTTTTGAATAACATTAGTGTGGTGGACCCCAAGACCTTTCAAGCCTACAAAATGACAAACGGTGCAAAAAAAGGCGTGGCAACACCAGCGGAAAGGAGGTCGTCGAGGCAAGAGGATGCTAAGGAAAGTAAAGAAATTAAAGACTATAGCAGTCTGATGGCCGAAATAAGGAAAGAATTCAAAAATAATGAACAATATATTGAGAGAAAATTACTTGAGGTACAGGACACTTTGGATAAGAAATTGGAGGGAGTGGTGGGGAATTGACAGGAAAGGTTAAAGATTTATCAGTAAGAACTAAGGTTTTGGAAGATTCAATGAAAAAGGTGCAAAAAGATACGAAAATTAGTAAGAAGGAGGTGGATAGAATTAGAGTAGAAGTTAAAGAGATAGAAAGAGTGCAGGAGGAGTTGTTGGACAATATGGCTATGACGCAAATGAGGCAAAATCAAACCAACCTAAAACTGAGGGGTGTACCAGAGACCCCAAATGAGAATATTAGATCTAAAATGATAAAAGAGCTGGCAACTTGGTTAAATAAGAGCGAGGAGGAGGTAAACTGCCATTTAGTAAATATTTTTCGAATAAGACCAAAATCAGACAGAGCCAGAAAGAAAAAGCTGCCAGGTGATGTAATTGTCATGTTCAACACTTTGGAAATAAGAAATGAAATACTGCAACAGAACCACATAAAAGGTTATATATTGGAGGAAGCCCAATTATTATCTTTAGAGAAATTCCTTCGAGATTTCTTCGAAGGAGAGAGCCATACAAAAAATTAACAAACCAATTGAAGAAGAATGGGATATTGTATAGATGGGAGTTTCCCGAAGGCATTTCATTCTACTTTAAGGAAAAAAGGTTTAAATTAAGCACCAGTATTGAACTCCAAAAATTTGCGAGGAGATATGAGAAGGACCTGGGAAAAGTTGAAGGGGAGGTGGAAAGGGAGGAACGACAGAGAGACGAGGAGGGTGAAGGGAGTGAAGAAGAAAAAGAGGAGAGCTTAACAGGAGAAGGAGAAGAACAAGAGGAGGAAAGCAAGGAACAGTAGTCTCTATTTAATCTAGTTAAATTAGCTAGAATAGTTTAATAGATGGCTTTAAAAACAATAAGCTGGAATGTCAATGGTTTGAACAATAAAAATAAGAGGAATCAGATTGCACATGTATTGTTGAAAAAGAATTGGGATTTAATTTGTCTTCAAGAAACGCATGTTATAGGAAAACACAAGAGAGTATTAAGTAATAAGAGATTGGGATTGGACTTTGTGACCTCCGACAAGGTTAAGAAAAGAGGGGTAGTAATTTATATAAAGGAAAAATATGACCCGCAACTACTGTATAAAGATGAACATGGGAGAGTAGTGGTGGTACAGATGGTGTTTCATGAGAAAAAATCAGCTTTCTTTTTGGAATTAGATAATATACTAATGGAATGGATGGACCAGAAAATGATATTGATGGGAGATCTTAATGGGGTGGTGACGCCGAATATGGATAGATTAACAAAAAGACAAGATGGGAAAGAAGGTAAACTACCACGATCTTTCTTCGACATGGTAAATAATTTGGGATTGACGGATGTTTGGAGGTTTAAAAACCCTACTGCAAAACAATTCACTTTTCAAATCCGAATCAGAGCTGGGGGAGGATAGACAGTATTTGGGTCTCGAGGGAATTGGTACAGAATTTAATTAAGTCTGAAATTTGGCCTAGAACTTTATCTGATCATAGTGCGGTTTCCATGGAGTTAAAAGGTAGAGAGGTTAAAACAGCCAGATGGAGAATGAATGAATATTTATTCAATGATCAAAGGATAGTAAATAAGGCTATAGAAACAATTGAAGAATACTTTAGGTGGAATTTAAATGGAGAAACTTCCATAGAGATGGTGTGGGACGCAGGAAAAGCGGTCATGAGGGGTTTTTGATTCAGAAAAATACCCAATTAAGAAAAGAAAAAGAAAAAAAGAAAGAGCAGATTTTAACACAGATTATGGAAAATGAAAGAAAATTAACTGTTAACCCTAGTGAAGAGAGTTTAAAACAGAACTTAAAAATACTACAAGCTAAATTTGCTACAATAATTAACCAAGAGATAGAGTGGAAAATTAAAAGGATGAATCAAAAGAACTTTGAGTCCGCAAATAAGATAGGGAAATATCTAGCGTGGCAGTTGAGAGAAAGGAAGAAGTTGAATACGATCAGTAAAATAAAAGAAGGAGATATGATTATGGAAGAACCAAAAGAAATAAAAAGAATATTCCAAAGATATTATAAGGATTTGTACAAAAGAGGAGAGGAAACAGAACAAGAAATAGATCAATTTCTGCAAAAACACCATCTGGAACAAATTGTAGAAGATGAAAGAGCAGCACTAGATGAGATAATAACACAGGAAGAGATAAAAAGGCTATTAAAAAGATGAAAGCTGAGAAGGCGCCGGGACCGGACGGCCTTCCGGCCAAATATTATAAAACATTAATTAACCAAATATCACCAGTGCTGGGAGAGGTTATGAACAATATATTGAGAGAAGGAAAGATACCTAATACCTGGAAGGAAGCCTATGTTATATTGATCCCTAAAAAAGAGGTGGACACTATGGAAGTAAAGAACTATAGGCCAATCTCATTATTAAATAATGATTATAAGCTATTTGCAGACATAATGGCGGAAAGATTAAAGAAGGTCTTGATTAATAAAATTCATGGTGATCAAACAGGATTTCTCCCAGGGAGACAATTACGGGATAATGTAAGGAATTTGATTGACATTATTGAATACCTGGACATGAAAATAGACAGAAAAGCCGCACTGGTTTTCATAGACGCCGAAAAGGCATTTGATAATGTTTCCTGGAACTTCCTAAAGAAGGCTTTGGAAAGGATGGGAATTGGCGAAAAATTTAGAAGAGGCATAGAAGCAATATACAAAGAACAGAAAGCAAAGCTGGTGATAAATAACAATACAACAGAATATTTTAACATTTATAAAGGGACCAGACAAGGTTGCCCCCTGTCCCCCTTATTATTTATTGTAATTTTGGAAGTACTTAATAAGAGACTGAGGGAGGCAACAGAAGTGAAAGGAATTAGAGTAGGAAAGAAGGAATTCAAAATTAAAGCCTTTGCCGACGATATTGTTTTGACTTTGGAAGATCCACAAGATAGTGTAAAAGAAGCATTACAAAAAATTGAGGAATTTGGAGAGGTGGCAGGTTTTAAGGTAAACAAGAATAAAACTAAAATGCTGGTTAAAAATTTAACTAAGGAAGAAACGAAAGATCTAGAACAAAAAGTGGAAATCATGGTGGTGAAAAAAGTGAAATATTTGGGAGTGTGGATTACGGCAAAAACATAAACCTATATAAAGATAATTATGAAGTTACATGGAAAAAAATAAAGAAAGATCTGGAAATATGGGGGAGGATGAAATTTTCCTTTTTAGGGAAGATAGCAGTGGTTAAAATGAATGTTTTGCCGAGGATGTTGTTTTTATTTCAAACTCTTCCAGTTATTAAAGGTCTAAAACAATGTAAAGAATGGCAGAGAACCCTGATGAAATTCATCTGGCAGGGGAAAAGACCAAGGATTAAAATGAAAATACTAATTGATAAAAAGGAAAGAGGAGGTTTTGCCCTCCCAGATTTGAGCCTATATTATGAAGCAGCGTGCCTACTTTGGTTAAAAGATTGGATAAAATTGGAGAACAGAGACCTACTGGATTTAGAAGGCTTCAATAACCGGTATGGGTGGCACGCATATCTCTGGTACGAGAAGGTGAAAGTCCACAGGGCTTTCTTAAACCATATTTTCAGGGGACCAATATATCAGGTCTGGGAAAGAAATAAGAACCTTCTCGAAAGAAAAACACCATGGTGGATTTCACCAGTAGAGGTCTTAACAATAAAAAAACCAACATGGAAGGGAAGACAGCCACCTACGAAGATTTGCTAAGAAAATCAGAACAAGGGCTTAAACTTAAACCGTATGAGGAAATAAAGGATCAATTCACCGGCTGGCTACAATATCATCAGGTGAATGATATGTTAAAACAAGATAAAAGAAAAATGGGCTTTGAGGACAAGAAATCAAAATTCAATATAGAAATAATAGAAGGCAAAAACAAAACATTGTCTAAATTATATGACATATTACTGGAATGGCATACAAAAGACGAGGAAGTCAAAGAGGCAATGATTAAATGGGCAATTGACTTCGGTTATAACATCGAGTTTGAAAAGTGGTTGAAATTGTGGAATAGAGACATTAAATTTACGGCCTGTACGAGTTTGAGAGAAAATGTTTGGAAAATGCTCTATAGATGGTATCTTACGCCGGCAAAATTGGCTAAAATCTATAGATCAGAAAATAAGACATGCTGGAAATGTGGTGAAGGGGAGGAGACCTCTACCATATGTGGTGGCAATGCAGCAAGGTGAAGGTTTTTGGGAAGCAATTTATAATGAACTTAAAAAGTTTTTAAATACACTTTTCCCAAGAGACCTGAGGCCTTTTTGCTGGGAATAATGGGTAAGGAAATAAAAATGAAGATAAAAAAATATTTCTCTATGCCACCACAGCCGCAAGAATTATGCTGGCACAAAACTGGAAAATAGAAACTATTCCTAACATAAGTGACTGGCAGGTCAAAATGATCAACTATGCCGAGCTAGATAGATTAACAGGCAGAATACGAGACCAAGACGACCAGAAATTTCAAAAAATTGGAGTAAGTTTTGGAAATATATTGGAACGGATATATAGGAGGAGCTGGCGGTATTAGAAAAACTTTATCAGCTAATAACTATAAACGTTAATAAACTAATTACGCAACCCGGGACTTATTTGATACTTACCAAAAGGGTGAAGGGAAGTCAAAGGCTAAGGAGAGCCTAATGGTTATATTATTATTTTTTGTATGAACGTATGCTTTCTTTTTGTATAGTATGAAAATAGGATGAATAATTTATGTTAAAATGCTTATTTTTGTATTTGTTAGTTCTTTTTTCTTTTCTTTATACAAATTCTGAATAAAAATTTACTTGCAAAAAAAATAATAATAACGGGCTATGGTTTATTCAGGATCATCCGGCGGGATCCTAAATCGCATCCGTTCTTGTAAATGTTATGCTTGGAATAACCCCAAGTGGCCACCGGGGGGCACTGTTGCGCTGCTTCAGAAAACAATCCTTGCAGATCTATTTCCTCCTTTCTCTTTGCAGGAACTCAGCGTCCTTCCCTTTGGCCTTGCTGGTGTCCAGGAAAGCTGGAAATTCGCCAGATGATTTGATTGCAACCTCTGTAGCTCCCCGCCACCCTTCTTCTTCTCTGCTGGGCATCACTGGCTGGTGGCTATACCAGCTGCAGTTGATAGGAAACACTGCTGTCAAAAAAATGCTGTACAGTATTAGTACTGTAGTTCTTGTATTTACATGAAAACCAATAAAATTATTGGGGGGGAGGGCAGGATGCTGTTTAGAAGAGGTGGTACTGGTCCTAATTTCTGTGGCTTCGTGTGCCAATTCCTCTGCCTCCCTCAAAAAAACAAAACTTAAAATGATCTGTTCTGTAGAATGATGTATAACTTGTTTTAGAAAATTGTGTCTGTGTGTTTTAATGGTGAAACAAACTCTTTTAAAAAAAACAACAGCTGTTTTTCATGTTTTCATTCAGCCCTTAAGCTTTCAGCAGTAGATTAATCAACTAAAGTTTCAAGTTGATTAATCTAAGGCAGGTATTTCCCCTCCCCACCCATAAGTGGCGCTGAGGCTTAATTTATTTATGACATTTTAAAATTCTCACTCTTCTTGCAAGGAACTCATGGCAGTGTTAAAGATCCTCCCCTTAATTTTATCCTCCTGCCAACCTTGTGAGGTAGGCTGTGTAACCTTCCAACCACTAAATAATATAATTTTTAAGATTTCAGTTATAACAATGATTTATAATTAAACAACTCTTTATAAAACCAGGCATTGAGCAAGTGGATAGGGAAACGCATTTCTCCTTCTTTCATAACACCAGAACACGGGGATATCCAGTGAAGCTGAGCGACAAATAGAAGTCCTAATTCACGCAGCACAGAGCAGAACTATGGAACTCACTGCCTCAGGACACAGGGACGGTCATCAACTCGGATGGCTTTAAAAGAGCATTAGACAAGTTCATGGAGGAGAGGGCTACTGATGGCTCCTGTTCCCGAGGGCGATGCTCTGCCATCCAAGGTCTGAGGCAGCAATACTTCTGAACCCCCCTTTCTGAAAAACACAGGAGGGAAGAGTTCCTCTTGCACTCAGGTCTTGCTTGTCATGTACGATTGCCATATGTCTGGCTTGGGCGGCTTAAGGTGGTTCTGGGGATTGTGCAAAAAATCCATAAGTATTTCACCAGTTTCCTTAAAAAAAAAATAGCTCAGCAATTTGGGGGTCTTCCTGGTTTTTACTTTTTTGGAATATGGCAACCATGTCAGGAGTTCGGCCTACACTCGAGTAGGACCCTGGCCGAGACACATGCCCAACTGGCATGTTCCCTCCCTCTTGGTCAATCGTTTGGGAGCTTCATAAGCTTTCTTCAGCCCGAACATCACAGCGACCGATGCCAACCAACACCGGCACACTTAGGGATCCGCAGTCTGCGCTGTTCGCGTGACAGAACTCAGCATTTTGGATAATGTACTTTATTTACATATAAACACACATGGTGAAATATACTCAGAGTCGAGAGTGGATTTCATGCTCTTTATTCAGCTCATAGTGGGAGGAGGAATGGAAGTCCCCCCAGAAGGTCTGCTTTATATACATTATTTACACAATGGGCTGCACGTGATTGGCTAATTCCGGAATTCTCCTGTAGGCCAATCAGGTTGTGGATTCTCTTCTATCTGGAGCTGGATTGGGTGGCTCCTGCAGACCAATCATACTGCTGCATTGTTCTAGGACCAATCAGACTGCTGCATTCTGAATCCTCTTGTTCTAGGACCAATCAGACTGCTGCATTCTGAATCCTCTTGTTCTAGGACCAATCAGACTGCTGCATTTTGGATCCTATTCAACTCAGTACATAACACACGGAGCACTGCAACATGGCTCCCTCTCTCTCTAGCATCAGACAGCAAAGAGAAAAGGAACAAAGGACAATAGTCCCACTTTACGGAACACAGTAACACAAACATCTTGTCTCCGTCAAACATCTTTGACTCTGTGGAGTCAAAACATACACCGTCATGTGAAAGACAACAATCCCATGACTGCAGTCACAGGGCAGGAATTCTAACAAACCCTGCTTGTGGGTTTTGGCTGCAGGATGAACAGGATGCTGGACTAGATGGGCCATGGGCCTGATCCTGCAGGGCTCTCCTAACGGATGGGTTGAGTCTAGCAAGCAGGATGTTGCAGGCGCCTCTCCTGGCTTCCCAGCTCAGGAGATGCAAGGCTGGCAGCTTCACCGTCCAAGTCATTAGCAAGCGAAGCCTGTTTGCTTGACGTGTCTTCCCATAAAACGCAGGCAGCCGGTGCTGGAGGGGGGAGAGGGACCCACACACACACAAAAAAACACAGACTGCGTCTGGCCCGCTTTAATTATCCTTGTAAATTAATCCGTCGCTCTCGTTCAGTGCATGCAAATGCAATTTAATTATTGGCAGCAGAAGCTCACTGAGGCAGAGGGAATGCACACAGCTCCCGGCTCACCCTCGCTCCCTGCGAAAGAGAGGCCACGGGTTGCCGGCTCATCTCCCCAGAGAGCAAGGCTTCCAAGAAATATGGCGCAAACTGATTAGGGAAATCGGCAACAGGCGTCCCTGGGGAACGTGGGGAAGGAAAAGGAGAAGCTGATTTATACAGCACAGATCCGACTCTCAGTGCCGCTGCAGGCAGTGATTAATTAAATGCAATAATGAAATTAAGAGGCGATGTAGCGGCCGCAGGTTTTCGGAGCATCGGCTGGGCTAGGTGACCTCCAGGAAAGCCTGGTTAGGTCCAAAGGAAGCTGCCTTATAGTGTGTCAGAAGCCATTGCTCCATCTAAACTAGTACTGTCTGCACGGACTGGCAGCAGCTCGTCAGGCCTGGCCCAGCCCTACCTGGCGGTGACGCTGGAGATTTGAACCCGAGACCCTCCCCATGAAGTGCAGCTGCTCTGTCACTGAGTTATGGCCCTTCTTCTAACATTAAAGTGAGTTTCCAGTTCTGATTTTGAGTAGTGATCGGATTTAAACAGGAACATAAGATGCTGCTTTATAGTGAATCGGAGACTATTGGCCCACCTAGTACTGGCTACACTGACTGGCAGCAGCACTCCAGGGCTTCAGGTATTAGTATTTCCCTGTCCTACCTGGCTGTGGTTATTCAGTAGTGTTACGGAAATTACCGGGGGGGGGCACATCTTTAAAGTTAAATATTACAAATATTATGCCGGAATGTATCCTTTCAACTTGACAGCTCAGGGAAGTTACCTAGCTTTAAAAATAATATAAAATCATCTCCTTTGCCAGTTTCCTCCATTCCAAAGCTATTTTCCCCTTGAAAAAGGACTCCAGGAAGTTCCCAAAGGTGACAATTTCTGGGCTCATTGTTAGCCAAGGGGAGCCAAATCTCATCACCTGACTTGCCTGAGGCTCCAGACATGCAAAGGAAGTTCTATTGTACTTTTGGGTGGTGGGTACTTAAGACATATTTGTCTATGCTAATCTTGTACCAAGGACTTGTCTGAACATATTTGCCAAGGTTAAACTAGTATAACCCCTGTCTACCCCTCCCCTTTTGTGACATGTCAGTGATGTAGCAATGATGCTGTACGAACTGTCTTCTGGGATATGGTGGGAAAGTTTTAAAAGTCTTTGTCACCCCATCCTTGGGGTTCAAATTTGCTCTTTGAACCTATTGCGCAATAAACTTTGGTCTACAGCTATTTGCTCCGGTTGGTGGCTGGACTCCTTCCTTTATTCTGCAGGGACCCGCGGGCTCTGCCTGACGAGCCGGGTGACTGAGCAGCCTCACACCTAGATTTTTTCCTTGACAAGTAGCAAGAACTGACTACTCTGCCCATGCTCAGGAGACGCATTTCTTGGCCGTTTCTGCGTATCCCCTACAACAAACACAACTCACCCAGTACTGTGGCAGCCCTGGCTGGTAGAGAGGGCTGCTGCTTAGAAATCGTGACTGCTTAGAAATCATGATAAGAATCTGACCCATTGCTTCTTTCAGATTTGCATAGTCTACAAAGACTTTCAGAGACTCGTAAGACTTTCATTTGGTTCTATGTTTTCAAGAGAATCCATCAAGAGTGTATATTTTGTGACTTTCAGAGATTTATAAGATTTCGGTTTATTTGGTTTTGCAGAGAGTGCATTTCATATATTTCATACTGTTCAATGTTCTGTATAGATTATATAAAGAGTTTATATTGACATCGTATTGTTGTACTTGATCATCGTGTTGCTTTGGATATTACTGATAGAAATCATGACTGGCAGCGTTTGCAGGATTAAGTCAGGACCGGAGTTACAAATGCACCGAAATTCTACAGACATGCAGGAAAAGAAATACAGAATGTGGCATTCTTCTTTTTCTTCTTAATACCAACCCATCTTTCTTCTAACGAGCGCTCCAGGGGAATTTTATCCCCGCAACAACCCTGTAGGGAAAGTCAGCCTGAGCAGGGATTTCAACCTTGGTCTCCTCGCATTCCTTCTCCAATACACATTATGCCGCCAGGTGCGATATCCAGTCTCCTGAAAATATCCATCTTTTCCCTTAAAAAATAATAATAATGAAGAAAACAAGTTTCTAGTCCTTAACACATACGGGTAGCCAAACTAAGGCCCAGGGGCTGGATCCGGCCCAATCGCCTTCTCAATCTGGCCCGCGGACGGAATCAGCGTGTTTTTACATGAGTAGACTGTGTCCTTTTATTTAAGATGCATCTCTGCGTTATATGTGGGGCATAGGAATTCATTCATTCCCCCCCAAAAAATATAGTCCGGCCCCCCACAAGTTCTGAGGGACGGTGGACCGGCCCCTTGCTGAAAAAGTTTGCTTAACACAAGTTTCTAGTTCCTAATGTGGATCCCAGCAGCGCAGGAAAGGCGGGGGGGGGGGGAGAGGGGGAAGTTGACTAGGGAGGCGTGGCTTAGAACTCTGGTTTGAATGACAAAAACGGAGGAAAGGGAGGAGGGAGGAGATTGGGCGTGGCTTATGAGCCTGGGTTCCCATTGGCTGGCGTGCTTTTTTTCTCCTTCCAGCCACGCCCACACCCCCCGTTGCTAGGATACTTCCCAAACAAAGACGCAGAGCAGCCAGCATGGCAACGCACTACAGTTCTGGCCAGGTGAGGGGGGGGGGAGAAGAGAGGCTGCCCCGAATTGAAACCACCCCTTATATTTCCCAAATAAGACGCTTGAATTAGAGGGGGAGGGGAGGATGGGATTGCTCAGGGCAAGGAGAAATTGTTTAGGGACGCTTTTAATATTTGATGAATTATTTTATTTTAATATTTTGTTGGAAGCCGCCCAGAGTGGCTGGGGAAATACAGCCAGATGGGCAGGGTATAAATAAATTATTATTATTATTATTATTATTATAGCTGTCAACTTTTCCCTTTTCTTGCGAGGAATCCTATTCGGAATAAGGGAATTTCCCTTTAAAAAAGGGAAACGTTGACAGCTATGATTATTATTCCCTTTCCTCCCTACTGTGAGGAGTTCCATTCCCCCTCCTTAGTTCAGAAGCAGCCCTTCTTTGCCATTTGCTCCAAAGCGTCTATGAAGAGGCAAACTTCTCCCCACTTTCAACGTTTCTCCCAAACGACCATCTGCAATAAAGCCCTCATTGAGGAATTCTTTGCCCCCTCCCTTGGAGTGAGACCCCCCCTCCTCATTTTGGAGAGGACTCCGCAGCTCGCCCGCCCCTTGCCCCGTTTAAACTCTCCTCCAGGGTCTGTTAGCCACAAGCTTTCCACTTCCTCACATCTGGGAACCTACCTACCTACCCTCCCTCCCTCCCCCAGGGAGAAAAATCCTCTCACCACCTTCTCACAGTGGCCAACCAAATGCCCCATTGGAAGCCTGCAAGCAAGACGTGGTTGCAATGAGCCAACCCCTCCCCTCGTTTTCCAGCTGCTCCTTCCCTTCTCTCACTCTCTCTCTCTCCCCCCCCCCCCCCCACGCTGCTTTTGGCATAATATATTCTGCTTCCTGGGGAGGGTTAATGAGCTCTACAGCAGCCCACCCCCTTTCCCCCAGTGACATTTCTGCCCCATTTTGCTCATATATTTCATTTCATGACCATGAGGACTAGGAACTTACTGGATCTCTTTAAAAGTGAAAGACAAGGTTCCCTTCCACATACACACACTTCTTTTTTACCGCTCGTATTCTGGGACCAGCACTAAACCTGCTTCATCTCAGCTCTGCTGCCTTGAGGTTTTGTTGCCCCATCTCAAATCCCCCCCCCCCCCTTGTTTTGCAGTATGAAGATGCGTACAATCCTAAGAATTTGCAGAACTGGAACCTTCCCAGAGTTGCTAAGGAGGTGAGTTTCCTCTGGAAGCAAGTGTGGAATGAGCGGACTTTGGAGATAGGTTGAGGTCTGGTGCTCTCCTAACAACAGAATAAGCCTCACCCTTTTACCAGTGCTGGGGAAACTCTTATGTTTGCTTTGATCGGTTTATTGCATATTTTGATTATGGAGGTTGACCTTTTAATGTTTTCAGAGGATCACTTTACTGTATCTTTGTTATGGATGCTTATATATTTTAAGGTTTGTGTTGTGGTTTTTATAACATGTTAACCTCTAAGAAGCCGATTTTGGCATTAAGTGCGATAAAAATTAATAAATGATTATAGTAAAATCCAATTAAGGGCACATTTCTTGTCACCATCATCTTCTGCTGCATATTTATATAAATCGTGGGTTGTATCCAACATTGGTGATACTAATTGGTGTGGTGCAGTGGTTAGAGCGTCGGGCTAGGACCTGGAAGAGACCAGGGTTCAAATCCCCTCTCAGCCATGAAACTCACTGGGTGACCTTAGGTCAATCCCTGCCCCTCAGCCTAACCTACCTCACAAGGTTGTTGTGGGGATTAGGAGAGGAGGAGGAGAGCCTTGTATGCCACCTTGAGTTCATTGAAGGAAAAAAATGGGGATATATATAAATGCAATCCATGCTCAGAATAAAATTAATGTACATGAATAACATGGGACCATTACATTCAGTTAAATTATCTGAGCAGAACTTTTTTTCTTAATGCTGCTAAATCATACAGAAAATATCAAAGCGGTTCCACAACATCTGTACATTAAATCATACAATAAAAGCCATAAAATAAAAATTAAAATCAGTTAACTATTGTGAAAAGCTGTATTCTTAATTGCCTGCATAAGCCTGACAGAATGGAAATACAGTGGTGCCTCGCAAGACGAAATTAATTCGTTCCACGAGTTTTGTCGTCTTGCGATTTTTTTCGTCTTGCGAAGCACGGTGTCGGGAAAGTTTTGGAAAAGCTTCAAAAATCACCAAAGTCTTTAAAAACCTCAAAAAGGCTACCACACCGCGTTCTATGAGTTGCTCCTCGAAGTCAAGTCGCAACTGTATTAACGGTGTTAAGAAAAAGGAAACAAACTTGCAAGATGTTTCCGTCTTGCGAAGCAAGCCCATAAGGAAAATCGTCTTGCGAAGCAGCTCAAAAAACAAAAAACCCTTTCGTCTAGCGAGTTTTTTGTCTTGCGAGGCATTCGTCTTGCGAGGTACCACTGTATTTTCAGCAGGTGCCTCCTGAATATCTAGTGGGGGAGAGTTCCACAAGACAGGCTGATGACATTAAAAGCTCGGTTCCTTGTTGTTGTCAAAGGAGCCTTGCCACCTCAGGGAAACTTGGTTGGATACAACCCTTAGTAAATAGAATGCTGCTCCATTTGGCCTTCCTCCTGCCTTCATTCTCCTCCCATCTTCTCTGCAGCACCCCTCTGCCCGGGAAGGTTACACACAGTTTATAGCCAATGACCGAGGACACCTGCTTCCGGCAGTCCCACGCTCCAAGGTGAGGCTCTGCTCCAGGGACGGGGAAATCTCAGGCCTGGGGGGCTGAATGCGGCCCTTCAGGACTTTTGTGTGGCCCTCAGGACTCTCTCTAGGCCACGCTCCTTACGGACTGCCTGCCACACTCCTTAAACCCTGATAATTCCTCTGATTTGCCTGGATGGATGCCCTCCTAGTCAACCCCAGTTGGCGTGCCAATGGGCAGGGATGCTGGGCACTGGAGCTCTGCCACATAGGTAAAGGTAAAGGGACCCCTGACCATTAGGTCCAGTTGTGGCTGACTCTGGGGTTGCGGCGCTCATCTCGCTTTGTTGGCCAAGGGAGCCGGCGTACAGCTTCTGGTTCAGGTGGCCAGCATGACTAAGCTGCTTCTGGCGAACCAGAGCAGCACACAGAAACACCGTTTACCTTCCCGCTAGAGCGGTACCTATTTATCTACTTGCACTTTGACGTGCTTTTGAACTGCTAGGTTGGCAGGAGCAGGGACCGAGCAATGGGAGCTCACCCCGTCGCGGGGATTCGAACCGCTGACCTTCTGATCGGCAAGTCCTAGGCTCTGTGGTTTAACCCACAGTGCCACCCGCATCCCACCCTGCCACATAGAGCATGGTTAAACAGTGGGATTTGTTCCCGCGAGAGGTAGTGATAGCCACCCACTTAGATGGATTTAAAAGGGGGATTGGGCGAATTCCTGGAGGATAAGGCTATCAACAGCTACAAGTCGTCATGGCGATCTTCACTCGCCAGTGTTCACCCTCTGAATACCAGTTTCTGGGTCTCACAAGTGGGCAGAGTTGCTGTGGCTCTCAAGTCCCGCTTGTTGGCTGCGCTTTGGAGCAGCTGGCTGTCCGCTGAGAGAAAAGGATGCTCAACTCCATCAATAGCTAGTAGCTACAATGGCTATGTTCTCCCTCTACTGTGGGAGGCAGCAGTGAGCCACTGAGTTTCTGGGAATCACAAACGTCGGAGATTTGCTGTTGCGCTTTTATTTTTTAAATATAATTTTATTAGTTTTTTGCACAAAATGTGACGTTACAGTGGTACCTCAGGTTACATACGCTTCAGGTTACAGACTCTGCTAACCCAGAAATAGTGCTTCAGGTTAAGAACTTTGCTTCAGGATGAGAACAGAAACTGTGCTCCGGCAGCACAGCAGCAGCAGCAGGAGGCCCCATTAGCTAAAATGGTGCTTCAGGTTAAGAACAGTTTCAGGTTAAGAACGGACCTCCGGAACGAATTAAGTACTTAACCTGAGGTACCACTGTATTCCTTTGGACATAATACATAATTATATTTTGCCTTCCCATCCGTACGTCCGCGATGCTCCTGTTGTTATTCCTGCCATAGCTGCTATTTATTTTCTACTTACTTTACCATCGTTCATTTATTCTCCTTCCCTCGCCTGTTATTCGAATCCCCCTTGGATTTCACTTGGCTGTAGTGTTTTTGATCAAATAGTCCGACCAGAACCTCCAATTCTTGGACCAAGTTCTCATCTTTTTGACCTCTTCTTTCTGCTGTCAACTTTGCCATCTCTGCCTAGTCCATTAACTTCAAAATCCATTCTTCTTCCGCTGGGAAAGAAGGTCCCTTTGTGCTCAGGTCCTGCTTGGCGGCTTCCCCCGTAGTCACCTTGCTGGCCACAGCAAGAACAGGATGCTGGACCCGATGGGCCTCTTGGCTGGAGCCAGCCGCTGGGCTCTCGGCTTGCGTCCTTGCGTCCCACCCATGTGCTTGAGCCCTCTCCTTCCTCGCCCCCCGACAGGCCTCCCCTTGGGGAACATACATGGGCACATGGGATATGCCCCTGAAGATCCCCCCGGCCAAAGTCAACCTCACGTCCCGCTCGGTGAACGCAGCCGCCCATCTCACTGAGTGGATCAGCAAGTCCACGGCCTTGAACAACGCCTGTAACGGGTTCTGCCCGGAAATCACCGGCAAGGTAAAATGGGCTGGGCTGGGGGGTAGGGGTTGGTGTTTGGAATCCCCCTCTGGGACACACCTGTAGGCCAAGCCAGTGTGGTGTAGTGGTTAAGAGCGGTGGACTCGTAATCTGGTGAACTGGGTTCGCTTCCCTGCTCCTCCACATGCTGGGTGACCTTGGGCAAGTCACACTTCTCTGAAGTCTCTCAGCCCCACTCACCTCACAGAGTGTTTGTTGTGGGGGAGGAAGGGAAAGGAGAATGTTAGCCGCTTTGAGACTCCTTCAGGTAGTGATAAAGCGGGATATCAAATCCAAACTCCTCTTCTTCAAGCGGGACAGCCAGGGAGCCTTTGCAGAATCCAAAGTCACCTCTGCTGCACCATTCATTTGAAGCACACTTAACGCACATGTGAATCACAGGCTGCACGCTGCAAAGAGCTGTTGTTCCCGGCATGGCGGCACTCTTAACAAGCAGCAGACCAAGTGTCCCCGTTTTCCAGGGACAGTCCTGGATTTACAGAAGCCTTCCCTATTTGTGTTTCGATCCTGGAATGTCCCGCTTTTCCTTAGGACGTCCCTCTTTTCATTGGAGAAATCTTGGAGGGTATGAAACAGCAGCTGAATTCCTGGAGAGTGGCTGCCAGGCAGTTTAGATAATTCTGAACTGTAGTTTCCTGTATTTGTATCTTTGCTGAAGGGTTGTTGCTCCCAGATTCAATCCCCAGGATCTCCAGGTAGTGAGCTGCTGCAAGTCAGTGTTGGCAATGCTGCGATAGATGGAGCAATAGTTGAGTCATTGTGGAAATCCCCTTCCTATGCTCCCATCAGCTGCAGGCAGCATAATCAATGGCCAGGCATGATGGGAGTTGTAGTCCCAACAAACAAACTGGAGGACGTGAGGTTAGGGAAGCTGGCCATAGACAGGCCTCTCTTTCTGGCAAGGCATGACTCCTCCCAAAGAATCCTGGGAAGTGTAGTTCACTGTGCACAGTGCTACCGTTCCCAGCACCCTTAACACATGAGAGTTGCCAGGATTCTCTGGGGGGAGAGCCATGTGCTTTAAATGTTTGCCAAGTGTGCTTTAAATGTATACGGTGTGGATGCGACCCAAATCTCATGCTTGCCATACTGATAGCTGTGAGATCACAGAAAGGTTAACTGCAAAATGTTCCTTAAAACTGTTGAAAGGAAATGCTAGAGTGATGCAGTTTTATCCTGACAGACTTATGCAGTTGTTTTGACATTTTCTTGAGTTGCCAGTCATTTTAATGATTGATCTGTACTGTTTTTAATGGGTTTTTTTCTGTTTGTATATCGCTGTACTCTGCCTGGATACATGTATAAGGAAACTTTTTTAGATAGCTAAGGAGGATGGAGGGCACAAGAAATGTTTAGGAAACCAGGCAGCCTTTGGAGAATTAGGGAAGGGGTGTAGAGCATCTGCTTTCTATGCAGAAGGCTGGGGAAAGACTCTCTTTCTGAAAGAGCAGCTGCCAGACAGTGCAGACAATATTGAGATAGATGGACCAACAGTGATCCTCCACTGAATCCGATTGGCAGGAGATGCAGTACAGACAGGTGGACTGCTTCACTCCCAGTGTATTTAAACGATGGAACTCACTGTTGCAGGACGATGTGTTTAATTATTTTATTAGATTTATTTATTAGTGATTTATGCAGTGATGGGCAACCCCCTATTCTCTCCCTCCCAAATCCCCACAGCCAAGCGACCCTCCACCACGCGTTTGCAAACCCGTCAAAGGCGGCCCATCGTCAAGAAAAGCCTCGGAGCGTCCCGGCTCGGTGGGCGAGATGCCTGCTCAGGAAGACACCGCAGCCAGAGGGTCCGCCACCCCCAAGGGCCCCCTCTCCCGCCAGCCCGGTTGCATTGACGTCCGCATGAAAGACGACTTGCCAGATGCCCAGCAGATGGAGCCCAAGGAACCCAGACCTCCAGCCACCAGCGAAATCCCGGTCTCACGCCAGCCCGGTTCCATGGATGTCCGCATGCAAGAAAACGGGAGCCCCAAAATCCCATCCCCGAGCCGCCCCAGCTCCAGGGAGCCTGCTGCCAGGAGGGCGGCCTCGGCAGAGGCCCCTGCTTCAGGCTGGCCCCGGTCGCTGGAAGGGAAACCCAAAGGGGTCAGCACCCCAGAGCTCTTGGCTTCGTGTCGCCCAGGCTCCATGGAAGCCAATCCCCGGAGCCCGCTTTTGGCCGAAGCCCTGGCGTCCAGCCGGCCCACCACGAAGGGCAGCCTTGCAGCACCAGATGTCCGGAAGACCCCGCTAGACATGGGCGCGGATTGGCAGGAGAAGGGAGCCTCTCCCCGACCCCTCCACGGCCTGGAGGAGCCGTCCAGTTAGAACCAGGCCGCCTGGAAATGGAAAAATTCTATTACCAATGAGTTGAAAGTTGAAAACAAGCCATTCTGCTCAGTCTGGTCGAGACGTCCTGGGGGGCCTGCATGTGTTTCTTTCCCCTCTCCTACCCTCTCACCTCGCCCCACCTTGGGGCTTCTCTCCACCCCTCTGCCCTCTCCCCATTCCACCCCAGTTCCCTTTCTCTGTTCCACCTACCGAGAAACACCTTCCATCCGGTCCAGCCAGACAAGTGAGACCCATCCATTTCTCCACTCGCCTGAACCTCAGGAAAAACGAAAAAAGGAAGGGGGTTAAAGCCCTGCCTGAGAGACACTGCCCAGGAGATGACCTGCCCGAACAAGCGGGCAGCAAGACAACCAACCCGAGCTTTGCCAATCAGAAAATTAAATAATTACAACCACAGGGGCCGCTGATGATGGAATGGGTGTTTTCATGGTAATAGACACTAAATAAAGCTAACCCCAAAAACCAGTTTCCCAATAGGTCTTGATTGCCTGTTTGTGTGGTGTAGTGGTTAAGAGCGGTGGACTCGTAATCTGGTGAACCGGGTTCGCTTCCCCGCTCCTCCACATGCAGCTGCTGGGTGACCTTGGGCTAGTCACACTTCTCTGAAGTCTCTCAGCCTCACTCACCTCACAGAGTGTTTGTTGTGGGGGAGGAAGGGAAAGGAGAATGTTAGCCGCTTTGAGACTCCTTTGGGTAGTGATAAAGCAGGATATCAAATCCAAACTCTTCTTCTTCTTCTTGATTTTTATTTTTATTTAAAGGAAAACATGAGGGCTGCCGGCAGCTTGAAGGAATGTCAAATCAATTTGTCGTGTGCATTTTGATTTTATTAAGGCCGTCTTCCTCTGTACAGATTTATCCGGGCAGAAGCTCCATTGGGCTTTCTTCGGAGTCGACAAGGATAGGATAAGCTGCCCATTTGTGGACAAGTAAAGAAGTTATTGGTCTGAAGAGAAACATATCTGTCTGTTTCCGGACAGAGCCGGCAGTGTCTTGGATAAGAGGCCTTGCCTCCTGGGTGTGAGAGGAGATGAGGCCTCCTCCAGGATGGTATTTTAGCATTATCTCCTGCGAGAGAAGGAGTGTCTTTTCCAAGATGGAATGAAAAGAGGTCACATTCCCTTCTGGGGGTGCCACATGCAGGTGAGGGCGGGGCCAGAGGCAAAAGTGGGTGGAGCAAGGGATGCAAAGTTTACCTTTCTACCTTTCTACCTAGGCTAGATGATTCCACACCCACCCACCCCTGTCTTTGATCCAGGCAAGCGAGAAGCATCAGAGTTCAAGGACATAATTCCAGGCAGGCAAGGAGGTGCAAAGCAGGGCTAGTGAGGGGTGTTGCCTGGGGAGAGTCTTGAGGGCCAAACAGAGGCACCTCGGGGACCACATTCAGCTCCCAGAAATGTACCCTCACTTAAGATAAACCCATGAAATCTTGCCCTGCCTTCTGAGAGCAAAGTCCTGATGCAAACTAAGAGCACCCCCTTGGAAGGTGTGAAAGGAGCCCCCTAAGCTACATTCTAGCACAGACAGCGTTGCCAGCTCAGGAGCAGCATCCCAGACCCCGGGATTTCAGGACTCAAACCTGAGACTTAGTGGAGGGATGCAGTGATGCCATGGGGGGGGGGAGGTTTGACCTCCCCTAGGGATGTGGGTGGCGCTGTGGGTTAAACCACAGAGCCTAGGACTTGCCAATCAGAAGGTCGGCGGTTCGAATCCCCGCGACGGGGTGAACTCCCATTGCTCGGTCCCTGTTCCTGCCAACCTAGCAGTCCGAAAGCACGTCAAAGTGCAAGTGGATAAATAGGTACCACTCCGGCGGGAAGGTAAATGGCATTTCTGTGTGCTGCTCTGGTTCGCCAGAAGCGGCTTAGTCAAGCTGGCCACATGACTCAGAAGCTGTACGCCGGCTCCCTCGGCCAATAAAGCGAGATGAGGGCCGCAACCCCAGAGTCGGCCACGACTGGACCTAATGGTCAGGGGTCCCTTTACCTATGACATCTTTAAGTCTATACAGTAATTTCAGATATGAAGATTAAATGGGAGAGGGGAGGAGGGAGGGGAGAAGCACAGCTCCCCTTTCCCGAGTGTCCTGTCTATATGTCCTATCTATACAGTCAACTTCTGTTGGGCTGAAGCTTGCTAGACAGTTGTACCTCTGGTTACATACTTAATTCGTTCCGGAGGTCAGTTCTTAACCTGAAACCATTCTTAACCTGAGGCACCACTTTAGCGAATGGGGCCTCCCGCTGCTGCCAGCGCGCGATTTCTGTTCCCATCCTGAGGTAAAGTTCTTAACCCAAGGTACTACTTCCGGGTTAGCGGAGTCTGTAACCCGAAGTGTTTGTAACCCGAGGTGTTTGTAACCTGAGGTACCACTGTATATGGTGTTCTTGCTCACCTGGAGATTCAAGGCCCACCCTTGCCACCTGAGGGTGGTCAGACAAACCTGGAGACTTCAAGTCACAGCCTGGCAACCACAGTCACAGAAGATTGCTGTCCCTTCAGGAAATGCCTGCCATCATTAACCTTTCACCACTGCACGACTCCCCAATGAGCTTTTGAGGGATTTGTTTGGGAAATGCCAATTGGAGAAGGGGATGGGGAAGACCCACACCCAACACACAGCATCCTGAAAGCAGCGGCATTGTTGTGGCACCCCCTGCAGCGTGGTCGTGCCAGTCGTGTCACCCTGAAACCACCTCTGCAGAAAGCAACAGATAAACCCCACGACCTCATCTGTTAATGCCAAGCCCATTTTAAAAAGGGATGTTGGGGGGGGGGGAAACCAAGCTAATTGGTTGACTTGAAAGCTGCTGGTTCTGGGACTCGAAAGGCTTCCATCCTCATTAACGCCCTGCACGTACAGAAGATTTCTTTTTTTAAAAAAAAGAGTATTTTTTGTGTGGGGGGCAAATTTAGACAGTAAAACTCTTCCCAGTAATAGATACGCACAGTTGATTTAACAGAAGCAAAGCCGTCACAGCTCCTGTTCCTTAGGAAAGTCTTAGATCATCTTTTTTTGATCATCAAAGCAGCAAGGCTTTTAAGAGAAGGCTTTCAGAAAACACACGGGAGATCTGGGACTCGTCTCCCCTTTTTAATAGACTGTGAAGTGTGGAGAGAGAGAGACAGACAGACAGGTTAGATCTTCTTTCCAACCACCCACCACCAACCCGTTTTTTTAGAATCAGAAATTCAGGCACTGCCAAGCAGGTGGGGTTTTTTTCATCTATGCTCAGCATTAATGCTTTACTGCAGATTTAGTTTTGAAGCGTAGCAGGATACAAGGCTGCAGGGAACGCTCGGGAATATATTGTGTGTATCTGAGGAAGATGGACATAAACCGCATTGATGTGGTCCCCAGCAAGGGGGAGATAACAGCAGGCTTGTGGGGGCAGGAATCCCAAGGTCTGCAGAAGTGCAAAGCCATCTTGGGAAAGAACTTCTAAGGCTTGCGGGAAGGAACACCCCCCAAAATGATCAGTGTGGGCCCATTTTGTTCAATCATGAAATGCAGAAAAGGGAGGGGAGACCCTGGTGAAATAGGGAGTGTGTGTGTCTTTGTGTGGGAGAAACATGTGGAACCGGGTGGAGGTAAAATGGAATACAGTACTGTATCCTGGAAGAAGGCACAGCCAGCTGGAACACCTTCTCAACATTTTTTTTTTTTTGCAGGTCCTCATTGTCACCAGCCCTTTTTGGGAGCTGGGTCATAGTTGAAAGCCATTTATGGGACCCACTCGTTCCGTTTTAATTTAACCAGGTACATGTCCAGATGTGCTTTGGAGCAGGCTGCCAGCTGGTTTTGCAGCCTGATCAACCAACCTCACCTGATATGGGCAAAAATCCCTATCATTGTGGGAGATCAGGACTGGGGAATCTTTGGCCAAGTCTTATTGAAGTACAACTCTCATCAGCCCCAGCAAGCATAGCTAGCAGCAAGGGATGATGGGAATTGTAGTTCAGCCACATCCAGAGGGCCAAAAATTCCACACACCTATGATAGATGGTAAGGGACACAGGTGGCACTGTGGATTAAACCACAGAGCCTAGGACTTGCTGATCAGAAGGTCGACGGTTCGAATCCCCACGACACGGTGAGCTCCCGTTGCTCGGTCCCTGCTCCTGCCCACCTAGCAGTTCGAAAGCATGTCAAAGTGCAAGTAGATAAATAGGTACCACTCCGGCGGGAAGGTAAGCGGCGTTTCCGTGCACTGCTCTGGTTCTCCAGAAGTGGCTTAGTCATGCTGGCCACATGACCCAGAAGCTGTACACCGGCTCCCTCGGCCAATAAAGCGAGATGAGCGCCGCAACCCCAGAGTCGGCCACGACTGGACCTAGTGGTCAGGGGTCCCTTTACCTTTATGACAGATGGTCATGGAAGGGTTGAATTCAAAGAACCCAGGGCAGGTGGGCTGCACACCCTTACAATTTATTAATATTACCTTTTAAACCCTAGCTTTCCTTCCAGGAGCTCAAGGTGATGTACATGATTCTCTGCTCCATTTTGTCCTCACAACAAGCCTGTGAGGTAGGTTAGGCTGAGAAACAGTGACTAGCCCAAGGTTACGCAGTGAGCTTCATGGCAAAGTAAGAATTTGAACCCTGGTCTCCCAGGTCCTAGTGCAACAGCTGAACCACACCACACCAGTTCTGCTCAGCAACAGAGAACATTTCTTGCATACAGAAGATCTGGGTTTGCAGATTCCACCTGAGGAAGAAGGGTTGGAAGCTACCAATCTCTTCCTGAAAACTTGGGCAGTAGGGGACCTTGGAACTGCCCATGTATTTTTAAACCAGGCCAGGTTCTCCACCCAAGACATACAACAGCTGAGTGAGACGAGACCCACTGTGATATACCCTGATTATTCAGAAACATGTCGAATAAATAGCACCAGTAACTTCACGTTCCCCACGAAAGGCTGAGGACAATTTATTAGTAGTAGAAACAGGTGGAAACTTTGCAAAAGCCAAACAATGGTTCTGATCGCAGAGAAGTAAGTTGCTTCATTTGTGGAGAACAGAGGGTGGAGAGAGGAAACCCAGCTTCATTCATGGGGAGGGAAAGCTGTCTGGCTTTAACATTTCAGAAGGAGGTGGTACAGTATGGGCTTGTATTTACGGAGTCCGAGAAGATAATTCGTCTGCGACAGGGTTGGAGAAACATGTGGCCTTTGCAGATGTGAGGCCTCCAATGCCCATCGTTCCCAGTGAGCATGGCAAACGGTGATGGGCGATGGGAGTTGTAGTCCCACATCATCTGGAAGGCTGCAGCTTCCCCATTATCAGGACGGATCCATCTGCAAAGATGGCGAGCTGGATAAAGTGGTCTGAAATTACACCACCCAAGTTCTTCCAACGAAGCAGAGCCAGTGTGGGGAAGCTTTTTCCCTCCGGGCGTTGCCAAACTACAACTCCCATCATCCTTGGCCACCGGCCATGCTTGTTGGGGCTGATGGGAACTGCAGTTTGGCAGAGTCTGGCCGGAGGGCCAAAGGCTCCCCTCACACCTGCAGCAATGAGACCAGGCCTTGCCCAAGATGACATTGTTTTCTTTTCCCCGGCCCATGTTGGCGGCCCACACCTACAGAGAGAGCAATGCAGCATTTCAGCATGTTGCCATAGCAACCTCAGCAGAGGCAGCCACAGGCCGCAGGCCCGAAGCCTCACGGCCGCTGCCATCATTCTGGGGATAAAGGGGTGAGGCGCAGGACAGCCGCTGGAGGTGGCTTCGGCTGAATGTGCTGCTCTTGCCTGCGAGCCTCGCTTATCAATGGGCACCCTTGTCCTTGTGAAAAATATACCCACACACTCGCTCACACAGTGTGCTAATGGAGCTCCCTCAGCCCCTAGGCGGGGGACAAGGCTGGTATTGTCTCAAGCCTTTTTGGGGGGAAGACTGGGGGTGGGGAAGAGAGAAACGAAAAGAAGCATGCAGCTGAGGAAAGCAATGGCTCAAGCAGTGCATTGTGGGTATGCTAGCTTCTTAGCCAATCAGGACTCGGCTGCTGTTGGCCATCTTTGGAGTCTTGCGCATCCAGCCCTAGGCTTTACCTCGGGGACAGCGGGACAGGGGATTTCTTGAACTCCAGCTGGTGATCATGTGGCACATTAAAATAAAAACAGAAAAAGAGTGGTTCTACAATAATCTGGGAGGATCTGAGAAGGGAGGAAAGAATCGTCTCATTACCATTTACTATTAAACTATGTGCTGATTTGTGAACCATTTGCCCCCACCCCAGACTGTTTCCCTAGCCAAAAAGCTGCCCCTCAACTTCTACTGCTCCGGATATTTTGACGAACTAAACCGTTCAAGAGATGGAAGAGAACAGGATTTCAGGAGTGGTAAGCGGACGAGAGAAGGACTGCTCCGCCCAGCTTCACATTGCTGCAATCCCAATGGAGGACAATACTGTCAGGATAAGGACGAGGACTCCGGATTGGTAGACCTGGGGTATTTTGAATCCTTTGCCCAGGTCCCATGCCTACAAGAGAGAGAGGGAAGCAAAAGTGTTGTTTTAAACAGCCGTTTTTAACTGATTATTTCACTGGTTTATTCTTTTAGCAAACCATTATATACATTTTATGAAATAAATAATAAGCTCCTATCTGTCCCAGCTAGCATGGCCAATAGTCAGGGATGATGGGAACTGTAGTCCCAACAGTATCTGGAGAGCCTAGCCCCCGTGTTATGAGTGTTGGGTTAGTACCAGGGAGACCCAGTTTCAAATCCCCACTCAGCCATGAAGCTCACAGGGTGACCTCAGCCTGGTCACTGCATCTCAAACTAGCCTACCTCACAGGGTTCTTTGGAGGATAATGTGGGGTGGGTGGGTAAGAAACCATGTATGCTAGCTTTCCTCAACCTGGACCCCTCTGGACACTGCTGCACTCCCACTTTCACCACCATGATGACAGCTGATGGAGTCGGAGGTTCCCTTGTTATAATAATAATAATAATAATAATAATAATAATAATAATAATTTATTATTTATACCCCGCCCATCTGGCTGGGTTTCCCCAGCCACTCTGGGTGGCTTCCAATAAAACACTAAAATACAATAACCTATTAAACATTAAAAGCTTCCCTAAACAGGGCTGCCTTCAGATGTCTTCTAAAAGTTTGGTAGTTATTTTTCTCTTTGACATCTGGTGGGAGGGCGTTCCACAGGGTGGGTGCCACTACCGAGAAGGCCCTCTGGCTGGTTTCCTGTAACTTGGCTTCTCGCAGCGAGGGAACTGCAAGGATTGCCTCTCAAGAATGCATCTGAAGCTCCGTGAGCACTTGAAAGAGCTATGCGCAAGTCGTTATGCAAAGTAGGTGGTGTAATTTGCATAATTTACACCAGACATACAATCAGCATACATCTATACATAAATGAATACGCACACCCATGTCTGCTGCCATCCCTAGCCTGTCTTGTCCAGTAATTTGTGGCCTCAAAGAGAAATACAAGTAATGTTTGTAGACCTCTCTTGCCTAGGCCCCTGGAAAGGGTTCCTACTCCCCAGAGGTGTCCAGGGAAGTGCTGTTACCGACGACTCGGCTTTCAACACCACAAAGCATTTCCCAGCTCACAGATTAGTTCCTCTGCATGCAAGCAGGTCCAAACTGCTGCACTAGAATTGACAGGTGTATGGTATTGGGGTGCAGTGTTGCAGGTTTGTGGGGTTTTCTCTCAGATCACTCTTGCTTTCTGCAATTGTATGCTGGTGCGTGTGTGTGTGTGGAGAGAGAGAGAGAGAGAGAGAGAGAGAGAGAGAGAGAGAGAGAAGTGCACACATCACTCTTTTCTTTCTCCTGGCAATATTCTTCTCTCTAGCTGTGGCAGCTTCTGATGACAGCCGTTTGTATCGAGTGACAGCAGCTTCTATGCCTCCCTAATAATGTACAAGGGCACACTTGATGCGCAGGGAGCAAAATCCATTTGTCAAGCCCAGCGCCCACCAATCGGCATCCCCTGCCCCAAGGGGCAGCCACTGATTGTGACTCTCAGTAAACCAGAATGCCCTCCAGATCTTATTTTTCAAAAGCAAAGGGAGGCGTGGGCAGGCAGAAGAATCCATGCATACTATCTGGAGTCAAGAGGAAGAGAAGATGCTCATTCGGAGAGGCATAAGATGCCCAGGAGCTGGGCAAGGGAGTCAGTGGGTTGGCCTTTATAAGGTTTTTTTTTCCTCTAAAGAGAAAAACAGATACACACACACACATACACACAGAGCTCACACTTCTCCCAGAGAGAACCGTCTGTCCCAAATCTCAGCCCCGGGTAAGTACTGAAGAGTCAGTTGCTTTCAAGGGAATGTTGCAGAGTCCCAGAAGTGAGCAATCAGAGCAGTTGTCCTCTCCCCCCACCTCCCAGAGAGAAAACACGCTGACAGATCTAATTGCTTTGAAAAGAAGTGCCACTTCGCAGCACTGCAAATGGCAGAGAAGGATGCAAACATGCAATATGATTGCTCCTTTCTCCGGGGGTGCAGGATGTGTAGTGTAGTGGTTAGAGTGCTGGACGAAGACCTGGGAGGCCACAGTTCAAATCCCCACTCAGCTTTCAGCTCACTGGGTGACCCTGGGTGACTCCCTGCCCCCCAGCCTGACCTACCTCGCAAGGTTGTTGTGAGGATAAAATGAGGAGGGAGAACCTTGTGTGTCACCTTGAGCTCTTCAAAGGATAGGTGGGTCATAAATACAGGAAGTAAATACCGTATTTTTCGCTCTATAAGACGCACCTTGTTTTAGAGGGGGAGAACAAGAAAAAAAAATTCTCCCCCTCTCTGCTCAGCGCCCCTTCAGCGAAGTGGCAGGAGAAACGGAGCCCCTTCCATTTCTCCTCCCGCTTCGCTGAAGGGGCGCTGTGCAGCTCTCCCTCTCTGCTGAAGCCAGGAGAGTCTTGCTCTCCCGGCTTCAGCAAAAGGAACCCGAAGCCTTTGGAGAACAGCGTGAGGTCCCGCTGCGCTCCAAAGGCTTAGGCGGCTATCGCTGAAGCCTGGAGAGCAAGAGGGGTCAGTGCGCACCGACTCCTCTCGCTCTCCAGGCTTCAGCAAAAGCAACGCGTAGCCTCCGGAGCACGGAGAGAGTGCTCCCTCTGCGCTTCGGAGGCTTCGCGTTGCTATCGCTGAAGCCAAGGAGCCTGCATTCGCTCCATAGGACGCACACACATTTCCCCTTAATTTTTGGAGGGGAAAAAGTGCGTTCTATAGAGCGAAAAATACAGTAAGTAAGGAAGTCAACTCTTTCCATCCCTTTGCTTTTAGGCACCTGGCTGTTGTTTTTTAAAGCTGTTGGTCAGAGTCGCACGAGTTAATCCTGGCTCAGGCTGCTACCCACACAGAGACATCCTGCCACTAGCCCAACCTCCCCCTTTCGTCTGCTGAATGTGTGGGCAAGCAATGTTCCTCTGGCAGAATCCCCAATGCAAAGCTTCCATGTACAGAGACGGTATACCACTGAATACCAGGACAGCCACCTTCTTATTTATTACTATTACATTTCTATCCTGCTTTTCCTCCAAGGAGCTCCAGGTGGCATCTGAGGGTCTCCCCAATTTATCTTCACACTTTATGTCTTCAGCCTGGCAGCCCCCAGTGCTTTTCCAGCTGCACTGGCTCCCGGTGGAGTACAGGGTCAGATTTAAGGTGCTGCTTTTGACCTTTAAAGCCCTTCACGGCCTGGGACCCTCATACCTATGGGACCGCCTCTCCCGGTATGCCCCACAGAGAGCCTCAAGGTCCATAAATAGCAACACCCTAGTGGTCCCAGGCCCTAAGGAAGTTAGATTAGCCTCAACCAGAGCCAGGGCCTTCTCAACACTGGCTCCGGCCTGGTGGAACGCTCTGCCTCATGAGACCAGGGCCCTGCGGGATCTGATTTCTTTCCGCAGGGCCTGTAAGACAGAGTTGTTCCGCCTGGCCTTTGGCTTGGAGCCAATTTGATTCCCTCCCCCTCTTTCTTTTTCCTTTTCCTTTCTCCTCCTGTGATGAGGCTGCATTTTAATATTTTAATGTTTCAATATTTTAATGTTGTATTTTAATCTTGTTTTTTAGTTGTATTCATTCAACTTGTTTTTATTATTGCTTGTTAGCCGCCCTGAGCCCGGCCTTGGCTGGGGAGGGCGGGGTATAAATTATTATTATTATTATTATTATTATTATTATTATTATTTGGAACTCCCTCCCACAGCGCTTTCAGACAGGTGCTTTCTCTACTGCCTTTCTGATACGCACTTAAAAAGTTCTTCTTTCAACAAGCCTTCTAAAATCTCTATCCCGGTCGACACCTGCTTTCGGTTTGAATTGATTTTGTGCATGTGCTGTTGCTTTAATCTGTTTTTTAAAAATATTTATTACTATTTTTAATTTTTTTAAATATTGTGCTACTGTTATAATTATTTTCATATGTTTACTTCAGCAGCTCATATGCCATTTAAATCACAGTCGCCTCTAAGCGGTGTACTGCAGACTCAGTAGAGTGAAAATAAAATTGAGCTGAAACTATAACATCAGAATTTAGTTAAAAAGCCTTCTAGCAAAAAAACAAGTCTTTGGTAAGGGCTAGAATTTCAACTGGGGGGGAGGCCCTGTCTGACCTCAACTGGGAGGGAGTTCCATAAAAATGGGCCTGCAATCCTGAACACATAAACAGCAACTCCTCCCAATAACTCAGTGATTACTTATGTCATTATATTGCAAATGGCTCTAGGATGCATCATGGGAAGAATTCATATATATATTTAGGCATCAGGCAAAAACATTTAGCCAGGCCTTTGGCTTATAATTCTCTGTGGGCTTCATGACTTGTTGGAATGTTTTATTCCTGCCTTTTTAAAAATAGGATTGCCCTTTAGAATTTTTTTGCTTTATTTTATGCTGGCTTCAATCTGTTTGTTTGCTTCCATATTGTAATGGTGGTAAAAAAAGAAGCAGAAACAAATACATTAAATAAATAAAATAATGAATAAAATCAATGATTAATATTAACGACAGCAGCAACGGGGCAAGGAAGATTAGGACAAGGTCAACTGGTGAGTTCCATGGCTGAGTTGGGATCTGAACCCTGGTCTGTAGGTCCCAGTCTAGTGCTCTAACCGCTACACCACCACTGTCTCTTTTATGCCAAGAGGCTCCCCAGCTGCACTCATATTCCAAAGGAGCTACTCACCAGATGCCTGATTCCGTTCCAGGTGTGGAAGGTCAAGGGGAAAGCCAGGGCAAACTTTGCAGAGTAGATGAGGGCAGGCCCCAGGCTAAGGGACCTGATCAGATCCAAGTAGTCAGCAAAGTGTCCCGGGAGGATCAGAGCGCTTAAGCCAAAGAGCGACACCCCTGGGGAGAAAAACACAAGAGAAATGGGCTCCTTTGGACAACCTGTTTATCGAGCAATCTTCTGCACAAAGCTGATGGGGAGGCTGGACTAGGCCTGATTTTTGTTTGAGCATTCATTCTGATTTGTTCATAGGCAGTGCTTTTTTCTGGGGGTACTCAAAGATATGCAGTACTGGCACCTTAAACCCCCCCCCATGTGAAAAGTGTGGCACTTACTGTAACAACTTTATGGTGGGTAGCACCGTTCATAAGGTAGTTATACAGCACTGCGCATTCGCCCTACAGCCACCGTGAACTTTTTGCAGGGTGTTTAGCTGTTTTCCCATTAAATCATTCATTTGTCCCACTTTTCAACGTGTTGCCCACCTTTTTGCTTTGCAAACTGCAAACCTACTCTCACGGGAGGCAGTAATAGCAACCCACGAAGAGGATTAGACTGATTCATGTAGGAGAAGGCCATTGATAGGCTATGCTCTTCCTCCACAGGAATGCTTCTGAATATCAATTTCTGGAAGCCACAGGAGGGGAGAGTCCTCTTGTGAAGGGATCCAGCTCAAGGCCTTGCCACTGAGGCATCTGTTTAGCCCCTGGGAGAACAGGATGCTGGACTAGATGTGACAATGGCCTGAACCAACACATTCTTTTTATGTTCATATGTAAAAAGACCTTATCTTAGGGGGGGAAAGTGGATTTGTTGTGCAATGGTGTGTAATGGCAACAGAGAACTTTAATCTGCTTTATTTGCAAAAACCTCCGATTTCAGTTTGAGCTTGAGCCCCTCCTGTGAAATTCTGGCTGTCTGGGGGCACCCAGGGATGCTAAGGATATAGGAGGCAGACATACCACTCTCAGGCCCCTGAAAAAGCTCTCACATTTGCTACCTGTGCTATGCAAGTTACATGCTGCAGGAGAACCTACGCCCAGGACACACCTCCAAGACAAGCCATACAGTATACGACATCTAGTGCGCGGCAGGTAAAGAGGCAGCTGAGCAAAAGGGGAGTTTTGCAGGCACTGATCAGCCCTGGACAGCCCTGGACAGAGAACTCCAACCATCAGACACCACAATACAGTAAAATGGCGAATTCAATCCAAGTGGCTTAATACCATGGTTCTGCTCAGCAACTAGAGTAAGGAGCATCCATCAGGGTGAGACACAGAACAGCTACAAGCAAGGCCAGATTAGCAGTGGCTCGAGCTTTGACAAAGCCCCTTAAAGCTTCTGGAGGAAAGTTTCCTTTCCAGGCAAATTACAGATCAGCTACCAATGCACAGGCAACCTCAGCTAGCTGAGCAAAGAGAGGCGAGAAAGGCAAACCCCACGGGCGAGAGCTGGGACGCAGAGCCAGATTGACATGCGCTGGGGACAGCTGATACGCAATAAGGACAGCTTGATGAGAGCGCCTGGGTTGGCTGGAAGAGCGGCGGCAGCGGCGGCTCCTTCCTTTTGAGCCTCAAGGCTTCTCCTCGCTGTTTCCAGATGGCACTGCCAGAATGGATGGCAGGGGCAGTGGGGAAGGGCAGGCGAAGCTAGCAAGGGCGAAGACCGCCAAGCTGCTCTTAGATCTGTTCCCTTCCTGCCCACCTGCCCGTCACTGGTCAGCAAAACCCTCCCAGGATACTTCGCCCGCCACCCCGGCCAAAGGAGCATCCTGCAAAGCGCAGGACCAACGTGGCCCAAGCTGTCGTGCTGTTTCCCAGTGGTCATGCTTCTCATTTTGCTGCCTGCCCTGACTTCTCCAGGGCATTAAAAAAAATAAAATCTTCTTCTGCTCCCCAATCTCCCCTGGCTGCTTGAGATGAATCTGGTGAAGTGCCTCTTGGCTGACAGGCATGAGAGCGGGCTGTACCACTTGAGACTGCAAAGGGCGGGGGGTAGCACTTTTTAAATGCATGACACATACGCATGTCCCATGTTAAGGCAAAAAACACATTTCCTGAAATTCAGCAGCATTCTCCCATTGCTCCAGGCGCCTCTGGGAAGCCCAAGCACAGCAGAAAGGCTACAGGCCGTTCTGCACTGAGGGAGCCGCAGCTGTAAGGAGGGCACTGAGTGGGGTCCAGAGGAAGGTGACAAAGGAAAGACCCCCAAAGTACCTAGGCTCATTGCAGCTCCTGTGCCACGGTGAGAAATGGACATCATCATGGGCAGGGACCAGCTGAAAAAAGAAGAAACAGAGGCCAGTGAGACGGGGCACAAAGCAAGGCACCAGAGTCTAGCCGGACTGCCACCAACATTCAGTTCACAACAGCTCTTTCTTCCCCCACCCCGTCCCACCAAACTCTCTTAAAAAAGGGATGGGGAACCTGCAGCCAATGGGCCCATTCTGGCCTGCCAGCGGGTTCTTATTTGGCCCACCAGTCCCTTTCCTCCAAACCACACCCACCCGGCTAATCAGCTGGTGTCACTGGCTGATGTAAACTGATAGGTGGGTTAAGTCCTGCTGGCTGCAGATTCACCAGCGTATTCCCCATGAGGAACGCACTGGTGAAGCAGACCCCTGCAGAGAGCAGGATTGAGCCCTCCGCTCATCAGCTGATGAACGGAGAGTTAAATCCTACTGGGTCCTGCTTCGCTAGCATGTTCCCTCGCAGGGAACCCCTCTCTCTGCCCTAGAACTTTGGCTGGTGGAAGGGAGAGAAGCCACCCTTTGGTCACCTGACATCATCAATAGCATCAGGTGATTGACAGGTGGGTGACCCCACCCACCTGTCAAAGTTGGCACACAGGGTGGAAGGAGATAACGAGGAGCCAAAATGGCTTCCCACTCTGGTCTTAAAGCCTTTGTTCAATTGATTATTCAGCTACTCCGTTTCGAGATTGCCTATCAACCAAAGTCCCTGGGCTGTTTTCAGAAACCAGTAAGACACACCAAAAATAAATAAATCCCTATGTAAACGACATAAAACCTTCACAACCCAACATTCAGACAGCACTAAAAACACAGATCAGCATAAAGTAAAACCCCAAAAAATAACATTTTGCACAGATCTAACTGCACTGGAAGAAAAAAATCTAACTGCACTGGAAGAAAAAAATAAAAGAGGCTGAGAGAGGGACGAGGTCTCTCAATGCTGACAATGTAGTCACCCAGTGCAAAAAACGATGCAGTTTGTTCCCATAAGAAGCAGCGATGGCCACCAACTAGGGTGGCTTTAAAAGAGGGCTAGACAAATCAATGGACGAGGAGGCTATTAACGGCCACTACAGCTGGTAGCAGGTCCTAAAGCATATATGTACATCTTTCAGGTGTCAAAGACCAGGCTAAAGAGGTATCTTCAGCATATGACAGAAACTGCAGAATGAAGTTGTGCAATATGCATCTCTGTGGTGGGGACAGAATTCCTCCGTTTAGGGGCCACCACAGAGAAGGCCCTCTCCTCAGCTGCAATGCACAGTTGCAGTTAGTGGAATTGCTTGTACTTTTTATTTTATTTCCCCCTCACTATATGGAGTCAAATATTGAGTTTGGGATCTTGTTTGTGTATGTGGGCTATTAATAAACTCAAAACAGAACTGATTTGGGGAAGGAGGGGGAGAATCGGTGACTCTCCAAGTGTAAATCACTTAGGATGGAAAAACTGTTCCAGCTCATTCTGTGCCTGTACCCAGAATTATGCCAGGAATCCAGCCAGATGAGGAGAAGGGATGGAGGAATCTACGGAGGTGGCTGAGGAATGACTTTGCTACAATGGCAGGAATCTGGAGGGGCGGTGGAAGAAAGAGAGACCAGCTTAAAGGGAAAGCAGCGGACCTTCTGAGCGCCACTGTGAAGAAAGAAGGAATAGGATGCTGCAAGGGGAACAGGGTGCGAATTCCGCATCCAGGGAGCCAATGGAATATAGGAAGCTGCTTTATAGTGAGCCAAGGTTTCAGGCAGGGAGTCTCAGCCCTACCTGGAGAAGCCGGGGGTTGAACTTGCATGCAAAACTGATGCTCTACCCACTGAGGGGCAACGCTTCCCCTGTAGTGTGCAACAGCATCAAATCCAAATGTCCACCCCTTTCCCTTTAAGTAAGCCGCTCTTTTGTTGACTGCCCTTTCAGGATTCCTGCCAATGTGGCAAAGGGTTCCTCTGGGTGACCTCAGTGATCCAGCTGGGATACGAAGGCTCAGGTGGTCCTTAAGGTATCCTGAGCCAAAGCTGCTTGGGGCTTTGTATATTTAACACAGGAACTCTGAACCTATAGCAGAAGATGGCAATAATGCGTTAAGCCTTGGGGAAGCCTTGCAGAACATCTAACAAAGTGGAATGATGTCTGGTCGGCCCAGTATAAATTGTGTTGACGACGTGCTGCAAAAAAACACCCACCAACTCCGTCCCCGTGCCAGTCCTAAATCTTGCTCTTCATCTCAATTAATTGGAAATGCGAGCGCCTCCCTTCTTAAACAAAGCCAGCTCTTACTGGTAGATGGTGACATGAGGGGACAGAGGACGGTTGGACCGGGTGTTCTTCTCCCAAAACTGGGCCATCTCCTCCTTTGCCGTTGTTGCCATGGGGACCACGCTGGAAAAGAAAACACAGGAGAGGAGAATGGCGCTGGGGCCTGTGCCGTGCTTAGGAACATGGGAAGATACTGCATTGCAATCAAGAGAACAGGGTGGGTCCTAAAATGGGAGGAAAAGCCATGGTTCGATCATCTCATGGGTGACTCATGGGCGGCTCATGGTTTGTTAAACGAACAATGCCTCAAACCGGAGGTGCATAACTTTTGCTGTTGTTGTTATTCCTCCTTCCTCCCCACCCCTTTTCCTTTTTTTGGTCTTCTAAAATAGGACACTGTAAGTCTGAGGATGGGATCAACCTCATTTGTTTTCTGTAAGGAGTTTTGTGGAGGTGAAGAGCAGGGTTATTTTTTAAAAAGAGGGAAATTATTTAAATAATAAAATAAAATTGATGCACCAACTTCCTCTCCTGTAGGGCTCTGATCGGAAGCTTGTTTAGGGACAACTTTTGTTTGCAATAAATAAGGGTGTGGTGGAGGGGCACAGAGACAGAGGGTGAATGGAAAGGACCATCTGAAGCCAAGTCGTTGGCAAATAAACCAGCGAACGCCCTTTGATTTATATTTCCTGAGAGCAGCACCTGCAGATTCTATAAAGTGCCAATCACAGCATTAACAGCTAGCCAGCCGTTTTAATGGCCCATGAATTATGGGAGAACAAACTGGCAGAGGAGTGAATCTTGCAAGGATCCAAACAGCAGGAGGAGAATTAACAAAAGCCCATTTTTTTTACTGTCATAAACTCACTGCCGCGTGGAGAGTCCCGGTCCGAGACGAACACAGAGGCATCGCCGGCTGGCTAATCTGAAAGACAAAAGTGCTCTTTGAATTTACAACTGAAGCCTTATTCTTCCCACCAAGACACAGTGCAAGGCAGGAAACATGAAAACACAACACGTTTTGCTCGATAATCACACAGAAACCATTATTGTTATTATACTGGGGTGTGTATGTGTCTAAAACCTTCCGACACAATAACAAAATAAAATGTTGGCACTGCAACTAAGGCTGTGTACACAGTATATATTTAAAGCACAGGCCTGCCTGCCCCCCTGAGTTCTGTGAATTGTAGTTTCCCAAGGGTGCTGGGAACTATAGTTCTTTAAGGGGTAAAAAAATTGGGAGGGGAAGAATGTACTTTAAATATATGGTGTGTACTACACAGCCAGAGAAATATATCGCCAGCTTCCCATTGGTTTAAGTAAATCACAATCCAATATTGCCAAAAGCATTTTGACCAGGCAGTCTTCTTCAGTGGCAAACAATAACAGCTATTAGATGGATGAGTCTGAAATGGATTATATTTCAGGTCTGCTTACCTCTAGGTTCAGGCTGCCCAGGCTTTTAAATAAAATGTGAAACCACTCATTCAAACCATTAAGGGACAGAAATGGAGTTGGTTGCAATTCCCCAACTTCCGCTGCAAAACTCTCACAAATCCATCCGAAGAGATGCTACATATGGATTTCATAAAAGGTTTTAAATATTTATTGATCTAACAGTGACTTATTACAGATTTAATATAAATCTATGTATATCGAGCTGAAGGAATGTGTGTACATAATTTTGAAAGATGAATGCTTGCTATGTATTTGTCGATCAGTACGTTAAATCTTCTTTTAAAAATTAATGAGCGGGGGAATATATTTGTGTGCATCTGTGCACCACACACACAAAATCAAACGTCCAGTCCTTCACATCTCCATCCTTGAAATGCAGCTCATTTTAATTTGCTCACTAAACACAAAATATCCAAGATGGGCGAGAAAAACCAGCCCTGCCAATAACAAAAGCAGTTATTTCATGCCTGCACCCCTAAAGGGTAAAGGTTTGCAGGCTTCTGGTGGGGCGAAAGCAAGAAAGAAAACAAACTTTCATTTCGTTCTGCAGATGTCATTTGTCACACCTGAAGCGCTAGCAAAATAGCAGGTCATTGTTTCAGTGCAGTGAGCATCACATTTCAGTCGCAAACTGACACCATGAGCAAGAGGTAAATTAAGGGTTTCAATTTCTTTTTTTTATTACAGGCACACACACACACCCCTGCAAGCTACAGGAGCTATTCTAGACAGATCCCGTCAAGATGTTGTCAGGCTGACATTCAAAGGTGACACACCAGCAAAAAACTAGTGATTCACAAGGCAGCCGGTCATAGCTCAAGGAGTTTAGAGATGGGGACTGGAGTGGACTTTGTCTAAAGGACACACTAGTGTTGAAGATAATTGACACATAAAAAAGGAAACTTGCTTCTAAGCAGAGGACTACTGGATCAGGCCAAAGGCCCACCTAGCCCAGAATCCTGTTCTTACAGTGGTCTTCCGGATTATTGTGAGAAGCCCACAAGCAGGACCTGGGTGCAATATTACTCTCTTCTCTTGAGATTCCTTGCAACTGCCTCTGTGGCTGCCTCTGTCAGTGGAGAAAGAATATACTTAGCCACTGCAGCTGGTAGCCTTCTCTCCTCCATGAGTTTGTCTATTCCTCTTCTAAAGCCATCCAAGTTGGTGGCCATTCTGACCTCCCGTGGGAGCACACTCTATAATTTAACAATGCACTGTGTGAAGGACTTTCTCTCCGGTTTCCAGCTACCCCACTTTGCCGGATCAGGTTTCTTCCAAGAATTCTGGGAAGTTTGGGTAAAATTAGGGTTGCCATATGTCCAGAATTTCCCAGACATATCCAGAATCCTGCATTTGTCAGCAGCGTCTGGGCGGAAATCCAGACATATGGCAGCCTGTGTCAACAGTGCCAATTTTGCCGATTTCCCCTAGAAATTAGATACAGGCAGGTCAAAATGAGGCAGGAAAGAGGGGCAAAGAAATAAGAATTGAGACCAGCTGAAAGCCTGGTGATGAACACGTTTCGTAGGAAGCGAGTGGCAAAGTGTGATGGTTATTTTTCTGAAACTAGGACGTTTCCCGTTATTATTTTCTGCAGGGCGGTTGAGAATGTGAAGTGGTTCCATGGAAAAGCATTGCTTCTGAACTGGCACTGGGTGAAAAGAAAACTCTTGAGCATGGTGGCAGAACCGTGACAGCTCATTCACACTTGATAAGTGTGATAAGTTGCCACTTGATAAGTGATGCACATACATGTGGGAACCAACTCACACATACAGGGACATGTGTTCAATGTTGCACATGTATGCACACCTTTCATATTGTATGCACATATGCACACAGACAGGTGCTCTTACAGATATTTGCAATTTCACAAACCTACAAATGTTAAATTTAGATGTGCGCGTCTAAACCCACATCGATAAAGCATGGGCATATATGACTACAATACCATAAACCTGCACATGCATTTAAGCTCAGGTGTTCAGAGATGCATATACACAGCCTGTGCATAGTTCCACAAAATGATTACATATGCTTTTCAGCTACTGCACACTTCCATACAATAAAGCATGCATACACTAAGATGTATTCACAATGCCACAAGCCAGCATATATATTTAAACTTATGGACACACACGAAATGTACAACTGCACACATGCTCACAAGTGCCACAAATATATTATTCGTGCATTTCAGCTTATGCACATCTGACTGCAATGAAGCACACACGTATGGCAAGGCAAACACTCTCACAAACTCATGCATGCATTTCAGCTTATGCACAAACAGAGACCCATGTTTGCAGTGCAACAAGCACATGTACACAAAAGAATAGATGAACACACACCAGGCTTCAGAAAGGGCAGCATTTAGAAACTAGTTGGAGAATATTTCAGCCTCACTGGACACCTGCCTACTGAACTTACAAGTAGCCATTCTGAAACAAAGAGCTTTCAGGGAAAACTCCAGTGTGAAATTAAATCACAACTGATGAAGAAATTCAATCAAACGAAAACCTGTGACTGAATCAAGATAATGGGTTTTTAATCGCACTACATGGTATTAATTAGGTTACCAGTGCCAGGATATTTGTGTTCGCACCAACATTGCCTTGGTGACAGTAATAGTAACTATTCTGCTTTTATCGGCGTCTGTTTTTCACGGATTTCCTTTCCATTTGGCCTCACTCCTCTTCATCCCTGCCCATCAAAGCACATTCACACAGCTGCCATAATCTAATATTATGCTTCATGCATCGGAGGAAACAGAAAACCAAAGCGTGCTCCCTAATAGTTTGCTGGTTGTCTTTAAGGTGTCACATGTACTTTACATGTAGAAGCTTTGCCCACATGGAGAAGAGGCTGGTGGGACTGCATTGCTGACATCATGCATGGCACCAGCCCTATGCCTTGAACACTGGCACACTGACACTGGTATCTATACTGGGAAAATCAACAGGCAAATGACAGGTCATGCATAGGCTTGCATGTGATCTGAACCCATGCATGATCAGGGGTTCTGATCATGGGAACACCAACGGGTGAAAAGTTGTTCACACATAGGCTTTCCTGGTGCAGGTACCTATAACAGCACACAAATGTCCATGGGGCAGGGCTGACACAGAATAGGACATTAGAGGCAGGGTCAGGGGTGCAGTCCCATTGCCTCCTTCTGTGTCCATGGCTTCTGTGTGTGGAGAAGGCCCACCAGCATGTCTGCTTGTGTGCAAACACATGTCTCAGTTTGTGGAAATGCCTATGGACGTGTACTGAATGCATAAGCATAACACAGCTGTGGGGGTTTATGGGTGGGTGTGTCACAAATAAATGCATTTGCAGAAACGTGCATAGGCACATAACACTGACATGCAATCATAGAACTGTGGAGCTGGAAGGGACCCTGAGGGTCATCTAGTCCAACCCCCTGCAATGCAGGAATCTTTCACCTCATGTGGGGCTCGAACCCACGACCCTGAGATTAAGAGCCTCATGCTACACCAACTGAACTTTGTCATTAACTATGTTTGAAACTACCTAAGCAGTATCAAACTGTTTTAACGTGGTGTTGCAATTTTGTGTTCTAATGCTGTAATGCACCCTGGGACCTTAAGGTGAAGGGTGGGTAATAAATTAAATAATAATACGAGCAACAGCATATATGCATATACTTATATACTTAGCTATGCGCATAATGCTTAAATGCGTGCATCTTACATCTGTGGGGCTTCTGAGTGAGCGCATACAGACACACACACGTTTACATGCGCACAAAGATATGTGGTACCGCAAAAACATTATGTACCCATGTGCTGACAGGTGTGGGGCGTGTGCATGCAAGCAGAAAGGCAGGCACAGCCTGCTGGTGCACGTGAAAACGCACTTTGTACATGCACCAGGATAACAAAACTCTTTAGGTTTACATTTCAGCTTCTGCAAGAGGATAACGGAACGGCGCTAAAAAAAACCACACCTTCAGGGTAAAAACCAATGTCACCCAGTCGCACCCAAGGGCACAGGTGCCCCCCCCCGACAAACGGCCCCTCACAGAACACGCCCCATTTCCCAGACAGCCAGGAATGACCCCCCACCTCCCACTCCTTCTCTTCCCTCCCAGCGCTTCGCTCCCGTCTTCTCCCCCCCCCCCGCCCCGCAGTCACCTTAATAGAGACACCGCCATCTTGCCGCGGCGCCACTCGCTCCAATGTCCCCCCGCCCAACCCCAAGCAGGAAGAGGGCGCAGAGTGACGTCACTGCCCTACTTCCGTCGTCAAAGGCAAGCAAGGGCGGAAGGGCGCTTTTCAGCTGGCGGTGGAGGAGGGGGCAACGCGCGTCTGCTTAAGACCTTAAGGGTTTCCCGTCCCCTCCCGGTTCCCGCAGGCTGAGATCCTGTGCTCTTTTTGTTTATTTATTCGGGAGCAAGGACTGTTGATTTGCATGGGGCTCCTTACTTCAAATGAGGACTGGGAATTTGATATATTTATAATACGTGCACATTTATATTACATCCCGCCTTTTTTCTCAAGGCGGCTTACAGATAAAAATAAGAACAGCTAGAAAAAGACAATCGTTTAAAAAAAATAAATAAACATTGATAGAATTAAAACTATGTACATATATACAATTTATCAGATCCACACCAGTAAATTAGAGTTGTTTAGGGTAGACCCATTGAAATGAATGGGCATGGCTTAACTCAGGTTCATTCATTTCAACGGGTCTCTGGATATTTATTTATTAGATTTCTGTCCCATATTTCCTCCAAGGAGCTCAAAAGTGCTGTTCATGGTTACCCTAACCCTAATGAGCTTCATTCATGGCCAGTGAGGATTAGAGCCCTGGCCCATCCGTCCCCCCACCAAATCCTAGTCCAACACACTAACCACTACAACACACTGGTTCTCATTTCAAGTAGAATTTAGTTAGGTACAGCTGATCTTCCACTGTAGTAGCCCAGAGAGAAAAATCACATCCTAAGCAGCCGTCTGTGAGTGAGCAGGCCGACAACACTTGAATTTTAAGACAAATGTTCAAGGGTTGGCAGCTACAAATTTAGAGATTGCACACTTTGTTTTTCTGAGCATTTGTTAAACTCTTTCAAATTCAGGCACCTCATACTGCCACCCTGCTGGCATTCAACGTCGGCTGGGTTATTTCCATTTATTTTACAGTATTTTATTTATTATTTCAAACATTTATTGTGCTGTTTTTTCACATCTATGAAGGAGTTTCTCAAAGCAACTTCCAAAATACAAGGGCAACAGGGATCCAAATGCTGAAAGGCAGATCGTCGAAGTAAAATGATGAAACAATATATCCTTGCTTCTTCCTCAGGGGGCCTGAGGCAGAGTAAATCATTTGCTGCCATTAGACTTCACAACAACCTTGTGAGGTAAGTTAGACTGAGAATGAGAGAAGTGAGTGATCAAGTCAAGGTCAGTAAGTGAGCTTTGTGGCTGAGTAGAATTATGCTAACTACACTACTCTGAGTACCTCTGAGAAAGTGCAGAGTGTGTTCTGTTCTGGCATCTCTTACTGTGTGCCTCAGATTATGACATGAGAAGCTTCAGTTCACGTATTATGTATTACATTTATATCCCACCTTTCTTCCAAGGAGCCCAGGGCGGAGTACATGGTCCTCCTGTTTTATCTATTCACACAACAACCCTGTGAGGTAGGTTAGGTTGAAAGATAAGGACTGGCCCAGGGTCACCCAGTGAGCTTCATGGCTGAGTGGGATTTGAACCCTGGTCTCCCAGATCCCAATCCAACACTTTCACCACTGTTGCTATGCTGGCACCCCAGGTTGAATAATTCCACTGTTTCACCAAATAGGGAGTGCTGCATCTTCAGTCAATTTTTACAACTTTCATCCCAGTTTTCTCCATCAAGAGGGAGAAGGGAGAGGTGACAAGCCTCCACCTGCCCTCCAAGATCATGGACATTCTGAGGCTAAACGCTCTAAGCAAGAATCCTGGGAACTGTGGTTTGCCATAACTCCCCCCGCCCATAGGCTGGGATACCATTGTTCTTGTAGCCAGGGCTTAGTGGATTCAGGTTCAATCCCCAGCAACTCTAGGTAGGGTTGGGAGAGATCTCTAATGGAAATCCTAGAAAACCACAGCCTGTCAGTGTATAGAAAATACTGAGCTAAATGGAGTAATGGTTTGACTCTGTATAAAGGCAGCTTCCAACGTTCCTAGCCTGTCTCGTTCCCTTGCCTTTCTGGTGTCCTGCCTTGGACACAGCAGTCCTCATTGCAGCACCGAGCCTCCGACCTCCGAACCGCCCACTTTGGACTGCTTAGCCCAGCTGGATAAAAAAAATCAAAGTTTCCTTTGTCAGCCCAAACTCAGTCGCCCCAGCTTTGTGGAATGTTGTGCCTACAATCACAGGCAAGGGATCCAGATCACATGGAAAGCACGGCTCAGGATCAAGGCTTCAAGGGATCTGGAAGGAGGGAGTGATCATGCGCTTCAGGGTTGAGCCTGTCCTGGTGAGCCCTGACCCATCTATCTTCCCCACAATAAAAGTCTAAAAGCTTCCAGGACCGCTGTAAACACCATATATTTAAAGCATATTCCACCTCCCCAAAGAATCCTGGGAACTGTAGTTTGTTATGGGTGCTGGGAATTGTAGCTCTCTTTGGGGGTATACTCCAGCTCTCAGGATTTTTGTGGGATGTATTTTAAATGTGTCTTAAAAGGGCCCTGGGAAAGTAGGTGGGTGGGTGGGTGAGCATGTGCCAAAACTAGCTGAATTTTGTGGGATTAATTTTGAAGTAACTGCTGAACAAATGTCAAACAGATCAATGTCAAGCAGATATCAATCAGATGAACAACTGCACAACTTTCCAAAGATATCCGAAGGCAGCCCTGTATCATGAAGTTTTTAGTGTTTGACTTTTTGCTGTGGTATTATTATGTTGGAAGCTAGACTGCATAAATACTAAATTATTGTTATTACAGTATATTTAATGTAAATTTTGCATTTGCCGCTCCACCCAGTTCTGCCTCTAGCTCCACCCACCAGTGACATGTGGCCCCGCACAAGGGAATGTGGCCCTCGGGGTGAATAATCCAAGCCCTCACTGCTGCTCTCCTCAGCAAACTGGGTTGTAGAATCAGCACCATTCATGGCCTGGCTGCACTGGCTGCCAGTTTCCAGGCCCAGGTCAAAGGGCTGGTTTTGACCAAAGTGGCTCAGGTCTCCCAATATCTCAGAGACTGCCCCATCCCATATGAACGGACCCAGACCTCATCATCTGAGGCCCTTCTTTGTGTGCTTCCTCTGTGAGAGATCTGGAGGGTGACAACATGAGAACGGGCCTTTTCCGTGGTGGCTCCCTGCCTATGCAATGGCCTCTCCAGGGAGGTTTGCCTGGTGCCGTCATTAGATGCCTTTAGGTGCGCAGAAAAACCTTTAATTCAGACCCTCCAGGTGTCCCTATTTTCCCAGGACTGTCCCGTATTTACAGAAGCCATCCCAGTTTCTGATTTGATCGCGGAATGTCCTGCTTTCCCTTAGGATGTCGCTATTTTAATCAGAGAAATGCTGGAGGGGATGTTGTTTTGTGCCAGGCCTTCGGTTTGTAATCGTCTGTGGCCTCTTTGAGTGGGTGGGCATGTTTTAAACTTGCCGTTTAAAAATAGGGTTGTCTTTGTCTTTTTTGTCTGAACGCATGTGCTCATTTGTTTTACACATTGTACAGTGCTACCTCGGGTTACAGATGCTTCAGGTTACAGACGCTTCAGGTTACAGACTCCGCTAACCCAGAAATAGTACCTCGGGTTAAGAACTTTGCTTCAGGATGAGAACAGAAATCGCGCAGCAGCGGCGCGGCGACTGCAGGAGGCCCCATTAGCTAAAGTGGTACTCAGGTTAAGAACAGACCTCCAAAACGAATTACAGTGATACCTTGGGTTAAGAACTTAATTCATTCTGGAGGTCAGTTCTTAACCTGAAACTGTTCTTAACCTGAAGCACCACTTTAGCTAGTGGGGCTTCCTCCTGCCGCCGCGCCACCAGAGCACAATTTTGGTTCTCATCCTGAAGCAAAGTTCTTAACCTGAGGTAATATTTCTGGGTTAGCCAAGTCTGTAACCTGAAGCGTCTGTAACCTGAAACCTATGTAATCTGAAGCGTATGTAACCCGAGGTACCACTGTACAGTAAGTTCTTAACCCGAGGTACCACTGTAAACCGCTTCAGTTAAAAAGATGACCAATAAATTTAATCCATATTAAGGAGAATAATAAGAACGACCCATTGGGAGGCTGAAGAGAGGGATGCAGGCCTTGGACCAGGCTGTTCCACCGCTCTTGCCCTGAGGCTTCATCTCCTCTGGCATTCCTTCTGGAGGCCGTGACATCGCCTACACCTCAGCCGAGAATGCGGCTTGACAATGGCCGCTCTTTTGCCCAGCTATGTCGCCGGAGCGTGTGGAGCAACATTTAACGAGCCAGCGGGCATAAATGCCCCCTTTTCACTTTTGTTCCGCTCTGGCTTGTTCTTCCCCCTTCTTGGCTCCAAAGCACCCCACCCCACCCCACGAAACCGAATGCCAGGCTCCCATTGGCTCGGCGTTTCTGCCGAGACGGCATCCTTCCCAGGCCGGCCAGGTTCTTAAACCAAGGGTGCCACCCTCCGAGGCACCCATCGCCAAGGAACCGCCATCTCCACCATCGCCAACTGTTCCCCTCCATGTGGCTGTAGGGATTGTACAGTAACCAAAAAAAAAAAGAAAGAAGAGGGGGGGAAAAAGCCATGGGGACCCCAGGCAGCTCAGGAAGGGAGAGAGCCCTTCTTCTGCTCACGGTGCTGGTTTCGACAATGGGTAAGTCGGTGTTTTGATGGGAAGGGGTCCTGGGGGTCATCTAGTCTGACCCCAGCAGATCGATGCAGGGGTGAAGTGTCTCTGGCAGGTGGCCGCCGGACCACTGCTTCCATACCTCTGGTGAAGGAGCGTTTGCCGCTTGTTAGGAAACATAGGAAGGCGGCTGCCTTATAGCGAGCCAAAACACTGTTCCATCAAGCTCAGTGCGGTCTGCACTGGCTGGCAGAGTCTTTCCAGGGCAGCAGGCATTGGGACACTCCCAGGGACTGAGCAACGGACAACAAGTCTTTTACATATTCAGAGATATTGGGCAGTCCCCTTCGCGACTCCTCTTAATACCCATGGGAAAAGGAGGGAGAAGTTGGTGGTCATCAGGAGAACTCAAATGACGAGGCGTTCAGAGGTAGACTGCTTGTGAGTGAGGAGGCTCCATTTTGCTATCGCAAGGGGCCTGCCCCCCGTGACTGTGATTTAATTTAGTGGGGGCCGCTGGACTTGGGTTCAAATTCCACCGTGGCTATTGTGCAGAATAGTCACTCCTTGCTAACATAGGGGCTGCCTTGTCAGTTCACGCAGTTCAGAAATGGGGAGCCTGGGGCTCTGCAGGTGTTGTTGGAGTACAACACCCATCATTCCTGACCTTCAGCCATGCTTGCTGGGGCTGATGAGAGCTGCTGATAACAACATCTGGATGGAGGGCTCATCACCCTCCTCCCAGGAGCAGCCAGCCAGATGTGACCATGGAAGGGCATTCAGGCAATGGCTTTCCCTTCTTCCCCCCCTCACACATGCTATTCAGAGGTAGACTGTCCCTGAACCTGGAGGTTTCACCATTAGCTGTAATTGTTCCTGCTAATTCTGATTCTGTACCTATTTAGCTATCACGCTAAGCAGATCTGTGTATTCTCTGTGATTTTCTCTAATACTTTTCATTTATTTATTTTCCTGTTGTTGAAAATGTTCGCGGCACTTGGGGGGGAAATATTTAAGTGATTTTCAGCGTATATTTTTATCTTGATGTAATCTGTAACTAAAGCAGTAATGTGTGTAACAGCAAAAGTAATAGGTTTCATCCAATGCTGGTCCTCAGGGTAGACTCATTGAAGTGAACTGACTGACTAACTAAAACTCATTCATTTCAGTGGGGTTGCTCTGAGCAGGACTTAGATACAGCCCAATGATAATAACTAAACCCAACTCAGAGTAGACCCATTGAAATCCATGACCATGACTAACCTAATTGGTTTTAATAGGTCTAATCTGAGTAGGAACTTAGCTGGATACCAACCAATAATCATAATCATGTCGCAGAGTTCCACAAGCGAATTGTGTATTATATCTATCCTGAATCTACTGTTCATCTTTTCTTTTTTTTTGTGGGGAGGGGGGTGGAATCCTGGTCTGGGTGCCCTATATTTATTGTTACTTGTGCCTCATAGTGGTAGTCTATAATGTGGTTTGATCTGGGCAGCAATGGTGGGGTGCTGGAGTGATCCAGAGATGATCTCGTTATCTAGGAAAGGAGTTGACAATAGTGGCTTTCTGGAACCCACCCAGACCTGTGATTTTGGGTCTTCCAGGGATGCCAAAGTTGCAGCCCTGGAAGTCCAGGATGGTGACTCAGTATTAGCATGAGATATAATAATAATAATAATAATAATAATAATAATAATAATAATAATAAATATTTTATTTATATCCTGCCCTCCCCGGCCAAAGTCGGGCTCAGGGTGGCTAACATCAGATATATAACATTAGTATAAAATCAAACAATAATTAAATTGCCTCCTAAAAACAGGTCAAAATCAAATTAAAGTCTAATTAGATGGCTTTCCGCAGGGTTAGGGTTATATGTTTTGTAATTATTTATACTTAGAAGCCTAAAATCCCAGGGTGCTTTCAGATTACCTGTTCATTGAACAAACACCCTGATTTATTTTCAGGGTGGATAGACGAGGTGGCATAATCCTGCGTCGCAGAGGGTTGGCTTGGATGACCCTCGTGATCCCTTCCAATTCTACAATTCTTTGATTTGGCACAGGGACAAAAATTGCCCAAATACCGATCGTTTTCCTTTTTTTAAAACAGCCACAAAGACCTATTGCAGTCGTAACTTAAATTGCTTCCATCTCAGCTGAGAGGTGTGTTAGAAGAACAAAGCGATGCATTTTATATTGCTCTGGGACCTCTTTCCATTCTCTTTTGGAAAATCGATAGTGTGAGCGTGAGAGAGTGAGTGCAAGCAAAGCGAGCCATTAGGAAATACATTGTCCTTTAACTGTCCCCGACCTCCTGACAAGGAGGATGGCTCGACTTCCATGTCTGACCTGAAGTCTCCAGGTTTGCTTGGCCTCCTCCATGTGGCAGGTGGAGAGACTGAATCTCCAGGTGTGTGAGAGTGGTGTGCCTTTAATAATAAAACATGTTTGCGCTGCGCATGCAGCTTGCAAGCTTCAGCCCAGAAGGAGCTGGTTGCAAATTATAGCAGAGACTCTTCTGTGGGGGGGGGGGGGGTCTGTCCTCCTTTGCTCCCCTTTCCCAATTAACCTCCGTCTCCAGGGCCTGCCCCTGTGACATCACCAGAAGCCATCCCTAGGTCTCAGGACTGAACCCTGAAACCACCAGGTGCTCCTAACCTGGAAACCTTACTGACAAGTTCAATTTATACGTGATCGTGGCCTCCCATGCTTTCTCGTTTTTTCCAATCTCTAGTTGGATGGAGCTCTAAGAATGCCCCTCCTTTTTTTTTGCTGCCTGGGCAAGTCTTTGCAGGGTGACAAGGGTGTGCAGAAGGTCCTTAGGACTTTTTATTTAATAAAATGCAATATCCTGCCCTCTGCTTCATTGGGGATGTGCCTCTCCTGCCACCCCAACCCCCCAATGAAGTTTACAGTTATGAAAATTTAAAAATAAGGAAATTAGAAAAACATACAACACAATGCAGTCTAAACACAGCAGTGGAATCAAGAAACAGAAAATGTGAGAGAGGAGTCATAATCCTGGGAATTGTAGTTTACCCCTCACAGAGTTTAAATTCCCTTAACAAACTAGTTCCCAGAATTCTTGCATATGTGTGTATGTGCATTCTTTAAATGTAGGAGGTACGCAGACATTAACAGAAATATAGGAGGCTGGCTTGTCCTGGTCCATTTTGCTCATTACTGTCTGCACTGACTGGCAACAGCTTTCGTGCAGGGAGTCTTTCACAGTCCAACGTGGAGATGCTGAGGATTGGGACCTCCTGCATGCCAAGCGGTAGCCTTGCCACCCAGCTATATGGCTGCTCCTTCAGAATGGGGATGTGAGAGATCAAGGGGACATAAGAAGCTTGCCTTTTCCCAAGTTGGATTCTTTCTCCATCTATCCCCATATTGTCTACTCTGACTGGCAGCTGCACTGCAAGGACTCAGGCAGCTGCTTGGCTGGGAAAAGGGTTTGAGAGGGGAAACGCATCAAGCGACAGTACTTCCCGGGAAACAACAGGCTCGATATGGATTTGTGGCAAACGTCACATGGCAGCAGCTTCGGAAGGCTAGGAGTGTGAGTGCGCTGGAAATGGGATTAAGTGGCAATGTGTAGACTGCCTAGAATTAGCAATCTCTGCCTGCCATTGGCTCTGGCGCCACCTACTGTTGGGCTCCCTGCTTTCTGCTCTGAAAGTCCCAAAGGTTCAATAGCTACCATTGAGGGCATCCAATCTACAATAGCTATTGGTTACAATAGAACACTTTTCCCCCAGTCTAATTTAGAGGTGGGAAGAGGCAGGGAAGGACTCTGGAGGGACCATCTTGGAGGCTGCAGCTATAAGCAGTCACTGCATTGAGCCAGACAGGAGGGGTCTCAGGCTGGTCTCCAAAATTCCATGTCCTGAGTTCTGATTGTGTTGTTGGATGTAAAAATCAGGTTGCATAATGGCAGATTTTCCCTTGACTCCCAGCTTGGAAGAAAGGCGGGATATAAAGTCTAACAACAACAACTGGGAAATAATAAGTCTATCTGCTTACATATATACTGCATAGTTCTGTAAACTTAATTACATTTTATTGTTATTTCGTTATTGCTGTTTTCCTTGGCTTTCTTTGTTTTTTATGTACTGTATTTCCCCCCCTTTTCATTTCCCCCCCTCTTTTCTTTTTCTTTTCCTTATTCACTTTCACTCACTGCAAAAATGTCAATAAAAATTTCAGGTAGGTAGACATATATAGGATGGTGCTGTTACCCATTCTACAGAGAGACATAAAATGCCTCCTTTTTCAGATTGCACATGGCTGTATACACCCTGCCCATATAAAGCACATGACTTCCCCCAAAGAATCCTGGGAACTGAAATTTAGCTTTTACAGAGCTACAGTTCCCAGCAGCCTAAGCAAACCACAGTTTCCAGGACACTTTGTCAGAAACACATGTGCTTTAAATTGACATAGTGTCCCCCCAGTAGGAAAGTGTGTCTTGGGCCACAGGTATACTAGTTTCCATCTAGTATATGCAATGTAACAGTTTTGGACAACTGTACACTCCATATCCCCTGTACAGGGTGAGAAATCTGCAAATGTCTCCACTAGCAACTTTAAAAATATAGTAGTTAAGGTGCACTAGACAATTTTGTAAAGTTCATCTTTCCTTACCAAGGAGAAATACCCGTAAGAATGTTAATATCTGAGGGAGGGAGTGTATTTATTTAATATATTTCTGTTCTGCACCTTCTGCATAAGTTTCCCAAGCCAATAAGAACATGAGAACATAGTGTGTATGTGTGTCATTGTATGAACTGTACATTTAAAGGACATTTAAAGGACACTTCTCCCGACAAAGAACCCTGGGAATCACAGTTTGTTAAGGATGCTGGGAATTGTAGTTCTGTGAGGGGTAAACTACAGTACCCGAGAAGCTTTGAGTGGTGGTGCTTTTATTCATAGCAGTACAGTGGTACCTCGGGTTAAGTACTTAATTCGTTCTGGAGGTCCGTTCTTAACCTGAAACTGTTCTTAACCTGAAGCACCACTTTAGCTAATGGGGCCTCCTGCTGCTGCTGCGCCACCGGAGCACGATTTCTGTTCTCATCCTGAAGCACTATTTCTCATCTCTTAACCTGAAGCACTATTTCTGGGTTAGCGGAGTCTGTAACCTGAAGCGTATGTAACCTGAAGCGTATGTAACCTGAGGTACCACTATATCAGAAAAGTTAAAGCACTGTCTAAAGGCAGAGAGAAACGAGGCTGACCCATAAGACTTGGTGGCTCTCTGCTGGTCATTCATTACCCATTTGATGAATGAATCTTACAAATCGAATATCCCAAAACGTTATGAACATAAGCAGAGCCTGGTGGATCAGGCCTACAGCCCAACTAGTCCAGCATCCTGTTTTCACAGTGACCAACCAGATGCCTGTGGGAAACTCGCCAGCAGGACCCGAGCGCAAGAGCAACTCTCCCCTCCTGTAGTTTCAGGAGCAATTCAGAAGCACTGCTGCCTCCAACTGTGGAAGCAGCAACTGTGCAAGAAGGTAGAAGGTAAAGGTAAAGGACCCCTGGACATTTAAGTCCAGTCAAAGGCGACTTTGGGGTTGTGGCGCTCATCTCGCTTTCAGGCCGAGGGAGCTGGCGTTTGTCCACAGACAGCTTTCCGAGTCATGTGGCCAGCATAACTAAACCACTTCTGGTGCAATGGGACACCGTGACGGAAGCCAGAGCGCACGGAAACGCCGTTTACCTTCCTGCCACAGCAGTACCTATTTATCTACTTGCACTGGCGCGCTTTCGAACTGCTAGGTTGGCAGGAGCTGGGACAGGGCAACAAGAAATGCATAATGCAACTGTGGAACTGTGCATTATGCATTTCTGTGGAAATACTGGGAACCTGGTCCTCAATTTACCTACTAATACCAAGCAAGTTTCAATTTCTACTCCAGCCCTTTTGCTTGTTTTGCTTCTTTCTTCTTTAGTGGATATGCTTCGTACAACTTTTGTATTTATTTATTTACGTACTTACTTACTGGTTGTTGTTGTTTAGTCGTTTAGTTGTGTCCGACTCTTCGTGACCCCATGGACCAGAGCACGCCAGGCACTCCTGTCTTACTTACTATATGGAAACACTAGATATGGCTAGCTTCTGCTTTTGCAATCCCATTCTGTTAAAAAGTCATAAAAAATAAATTGGAAAATAAAGCTTATTTGGGAGTGAGGTGGGTATGCTTTCAATGTATGGTGTATATGCAGCCCAGGACTATTTTGTACAAATACCCTTATCTTCCTAGATTCAGTATTCTAAGCATAGCAATTACGGGCTTCTTAATGATACCATCTGGGATGTGCCAATTGAGACATGTTGTGCAAATAATTTCAAAATGTAGAATTAGGGGCTTTAATTCACTTTACTTCTTGTTGGTTATTTTACAGTGAGAATTTATTGTGCATTTTAAAGCAAGGCCATTTGGAAAGGTACCACAACAATCCAAACAAGTTTCCACCAAAATTATAGTTGCTGAGTCATTAAGCTTTGCCAAATTTATGGGTTCCCCAGCCCATGCCAGTTTAATGCAGTATTTGTAAAGAGACAGAGTTTTATGGACCGTACCCAATGAAATTTTGGAGTCAGCCATTTCCAGCTTGGTTTTAGGAAATAAGCAACCACATTTTCCTCGCATACAAGTAGCAGGAAAGTTTTGCTTTCAGTAAAATCCTGAGCAGCAGTAAGCTCAGTACAAAGGAAGGTACAGTTGTACCTTGGCTCTCAAATTTAATCCATTCCGGGAGTCCATTCAACTCCCGAAACGGTTCGAAAATCAAGGCCTGGCTTCCAGAAGCTGCGTCGGACATTTGGCTTCCAAAAAAATTTGCAAACCAGAACACTCACTTCCAGGTTTACAACGTTCGGGAGCTGATTTGTTCGACAACTAAGGTGTTCAACCACCAAGGTACCACTGTATTTCTCTACACAGTGTAAGGTAAAGGTAAAGGGACCCCTGACCATTAGGTCCAGTCGTGGCCGACTCTCAGGTTGCGGAACTCATCTCGCTTTATTAGTCATGTGGCCAGCATGACTAAGCTGCTTCTGGCAAACCAGAGCAGCGCACGGAAACGCCGTTTACCTTCCCGCCGGAGCGGTATCTATTCATCTACTTGCACTTTGATGTGCTTTCAAACTGCTAGGTTAGCAGGAGCAGGGACCGAGCAACGGGAGCTCACCCCGTTGCGGGGATTCAAACTGCCGACCTTCTGATCGGCAAGTCCTAGGCTCTGTGGTTTAACGCACAGCGCCACCTGCATCCCTTACACAGTAGTAAGGTTAACCCCGAATTACAGGCCTCCAAGGAAATTGCAGCAAACACACAAGCTGTGTACAGTGGTCTGCTAGGCTCTCTTGATAATTATTTCTATGCTGCCTGCCTGGGACTGCAAAAACAAAACAGAACACAAAACCCACCAGGAAGCCTGTCAGGCCATAATACTTGAGGCTGACAGCCTGTGTTTGGTTTGGTGTGTTGCAAGGATGGCTCCACAACCAGGTGGAGTCAGATGGCCACCTCAGGAAGTAAGTAAGAATTTCCCCAACTGCCCTGAGGGGGTGGCAGGTCTGGTGGAAAACATTGTGCCACCACCTCTGTCAAAACATAGGCTCTTCTGGACGACCTGTCCATCGAGCATCTGTCCTGAGTTGTTTGTGGGGGATGTTGTGCCAAAAACAAGTGTTGTCCCGCCTTTTCCTGCTCACTTTCCTTATGGCAGAAAGTCCAATTTTTGAGGGAAGCAGGTCAGCAGCGCAAGGCCTGCCAGTCAACGATAACTGCGTGACTTGAACTTGCTGGTCTGTGATTGAAATCCCACTCCTAAAATAGCGACAGTCAGAAAGTGCCCTAAGATTGAACTCCCCTTCCAGCCAGGATCAGGACATGGAAAGAGAGAGAGAGGAGCCATCTCGCCCCTTTGCCTCAGGCAGCAAAATACCTTGGCCCAAATCGGATGCGTTCGCACAATATGCAGGCCTGTTTTATTGGCCATGCGGGAGAGAAGAAAAAGAACGGGGACAAAATCTCCTGGCTCAGGGAAATTGCCCGACATGTTGGAATTTGTACCCCGGGGGTGGAACGACAAAAAGACGGGATTGTGTGGCGTACAATGCCCTCTTTGATTCCAAATGTCGCCCTGGAGGCTTCTGGGTAGATCAGCAATGTTCCCCAGCCCCTTTCAGTGGCGATGGTGGACCACAGCAAGGTTCTGCAGAAGGAACCTCCTACACTACAGATGGATGGGCGAGGGGGTGTGGAGACAGGAACAAAGTCTTACAGAGAGCGGTCACACTGGGCCAGTCTCATGAGTCAGAGCTTTGCATATTCTTCCTTCCAAACAAGGGAGCTGTGTACACCTCCACCACCCCACGTAGGTCTGCCTCTCACACTCCAGGCCAGAGGAAGCATATGACATGCCTGGGCATCTCCCCAGGTCACCTTGTTTCTGCAGTGATTTAAGAGGGCCGGTCCTACCATTAGGGAGAGTGAACTCACTGGTGACGGCTGAATTCGAATGTCATGAAAAGATGGCAAAATATTAGTGGGTATTGTATTCATTATTATTGGTGTGTGGTTGTTGTTTTTTACTGCCAGGGCGGGGGACAAGTCCCTTACTGGCTCTGATACAAAAATAATTTGACTGGTCTTGGGTAGAAAATGACTTTCCTTACAGGAAGGGAAAATATCAGTTGCTAGGAAAAGTTTTGATGAAACCAGGCTCTCTCTGTCCTCACATCTGCACCACACATTTAAACCACACAACTGCAGTTTGTCAAGGAATCACTCACTCTGAAATATAGCTGTAATGGAGAAAAGTATGCATAACTTGAGATTTCAACCCCAGACACCTTTTATATGCTTTGGCATTCTTTTATGGCATACTATATAGCGAAACCCCAGAGTCAGCCACGACTGGACCTAATAGTCAGGGGTCCCTTTACCTTTTATATAGCGAAACCATTGTTTTAAAGACAACCCATGACACAAGCCTGGCAAATCTGGAGCAACACTTGATAATCATAAAGGTAAAGGTAAAGATTGATAATCATATCAATCATATGATTGATAATCATAGAGCTGCCATATTTCAAAAAGTAAAAAGTAAGATTCAGGACAAGCCGCTGCCTTCTGGAAATTCTCCCCGGACATCACTTCTGACTTTGAAATCCCAGTAATGTCCAGGAAAATCCGGTTATATGGCAGATCTAATAATATGATAACGCTGATAGTCTTTACTTGGACCTTAACCCATATGCAACTGCACTCAGTCAATGTACGTATTTTATAGTTTTGTTTTTTATTTTACTTTTACTCTGTTCTTATAATTGTTCTCTTTGCTTTATATAGTTGTACAAATACAACAGGGGTTTGTTTTGTTTTTGCTCAATGAATGAGTAGAGGACCACAGTCAAAGATATTCAAGAATGTTTTCAGAAATATAAATTAACTTACTCTTTAATTTGTTATTTAGCTGGCAGTGAAGTTCCCTGGTTGTTTAATTTAATTTATATTTATTTAAAGCATTTTTATATTGCTCTTAAGGCCAAAACAAAGGATCTCAGTGTGTCTTAAACAGCTATGTCTCCTGCCCTTTCCACCTAAAAATCTATGGCATGAAAGGAAGATAATACAGTGGTACTTCGGGTTACATACGCTTCAGGTTACATAAGCTTCAGGTTACAGACTCCGCTAACCCAGAAATAATACCTCGGGTTAAGAACTTTGCTTCAGGATGAGAACAGAAATTGTGCTCCGGCGGTGCGGCAGTAGCAGGAGGCCCCATTAGCTAAAGAGGTGCTTCAGGTTAAGAACGGTTTCAGGTTAAGAACGGACCTCCGGAACGAATTAAGTACTTAACCCGAGGTACCACTGTAGTCTGTTCTTTCAGCTACCATCATCCCCGGCCCTTGGCCATACTTGCTAGGACTGTAAGGAGTTGTACTTCAGCAACACCTGGATGGCCAAATGTTCCCCATACCTAGTGTGTACATAGCCATTAATAATAATAATAATAATAATAATAATAATAATAACCTGCACTTCACCTTAAGGTCCCAGGGTGAGTTACAAAATGAAAACACAATTAAAAATAATTTAAAACAACTAAAACACTTAGCTGAAATGAAGAGGAGAGGCTCCCAAAGCAGCTTACAAATGTCAGTGGTAAAGCAGTCCCTGCCATTGTGTTTACAATCTAAAAGACATGGCACAAAAGGAGAAAGGGGTGGGAAGGGAGGACTAATGACGGGGGAAGCGCACAATACATGTCTCTCATTTTCTCTCCTTTGCAGTGCTAACTCCAACTTTGGCCATCCACGTTTACACAGACCGAGAAGTCCATGGCACGGTGGGCTCCAAAGTTACGCTTTCCTGCTCCTTTTGGTCTAGGGAATGGATCTCGGATGACATCTCCATCACTTGGCATTTTCAGCCAGAAAATGGCAGAGACTCTGTTTCGGTAAGCATTTGAAGCATTTATCTAGAGCATTTTTAGCTCATTCATTTTGCTCTTCAGTTTAAGAGGGAGAAGCCCCCTGGAACTTGCAAACATCAGTGATAGCTTAAAAATGGAAATGGACAAATCCGGTAAGGATCCAAGAAGGAATACAACACAACAATCAATTGGGGGAGAGAGAGAGAGAAGTGCCTTTTTATTCATTATTGTTGCAACAAAGTACAAGATAACGTTGTCCTGTACATTTTGTTAGGGACTTTAAGAGATAAGCTCTTTCCCCTTATGCCTTTTGATTATATATACAATATACTCAACAAATTAGATTATTACGGCATTATATACATGCATATATTCCCATGTTGTGCATTGCTGAACATTTCCAATAAAAATAAAAGGTGGGGAAGGGAGAACCAAAATATTGGTGTAAGACTGTCACTGCCCATAGATCTACGAAGAAAAAGGGAATGAGAAGGAGGAGGGAAAAAGAGCAAACCCAGGCACTAGATCCTAAATACAGAATTATTGTAATGGCCAGATGGAATAGGAAGATGGAAGGAGAGGAGCTAAACATTTGTGGTCTGACAGGGGCCCTGAAATCCCATCTTCCTCTCCCTCCTGTGTCATCATGTTTAGAGATGAGCAAAGCTCTCTTTTTCAGTTTTTCTGTTTCTTATTTTCCCACTCTTAACATACATGCTTGTCCACAATTTTCCTGGCACATTTTTGCACTGCAATTTTCATTAATATATTGCATTTTTGTATGTTAGGTTTACCAGTACTGCATCTTATGCACAATTTACTGTTGTTCTTATTAATGTTATGAATTGCTCCCAATGAAGCATCCTGATGCAATTTATGACATGTAGTTTGCCATGGGTGCTGAGAGTTGTCAGGAGACACCCCCCACTCACAGAGCTACAGTTCCCAGCACCCTTAAAAAATGACAGTTCCCAGGATTCTTTTGGAGGCGGGGAGCCATAACTGTTAAAGCAGCATCAGAGTGTTTTAAATATATGCTGTAGCTATGATCTAACTGGCTTCTGGAGTCCTTCCCAGCCTTATCTGGAGAGCTGGGACCTTCTGAATGCAAAGCAGCCATTCTATCTCTGAGCTGCAGCCGTTTCTCAAGGGCACATCCACACCTCCTGACCGTATCTCATCCCACCTTAGATATTCCACTATGCCAAAGGCCAACCTTACATAGATGACATTGGACGCTTCAAGGAGCGCATTGAGTGGATTGGCAACCCTCGCTGGAAAGATGGTTCCATCGTCATCCATAACCTGGATTACATAGACAACGGCACCTATACATGTGATGTCAAGAACCCCCCTGACATCGTGGGGAAGTCGTCTCAGGTCTTGCTCTACGTCTTTGAAAATGGTAAGGTTTCCCTTCCAGGTGAAAGGTCTGCTCATATTGGTATGCAGAGCACAGCTTGTGAATCTGGTTAAGAGAGCAGACTTTACCTGCTGCGCTCACACAGAGATGCTTGTAGGGTAAGAAAACAACACAGCTGCTTATGATAGGAAGTACAAAGCTTGGATAGAAAAGTTTCTAGTTCCAAAATGACTAATCTAGAGAATGCAAGGGCAACCATGCTTCCTTTTTCTCTCTCAGATGGTAGATCCAAGGTGACCCATCATCTTTAAGTCCGAGAGAAGTGTGAGGAGGAAGACGTTGTAAGCAGGATACAGCTTAAGAGGCAACTTAAGTTGTAGCTGGACTACAACTCTCATAATTCCTTACCATGGTGCCTGGAGCTGATGGAGTACTGCAACATATGTTCCCCACTTCTAAGTTAGGAGTTGGCCCAGGGGTGGAGTAGAGTTAGGGGGCATCCAGGAGAGATATGAATGCGTATAAAAGAGTCTGAATACTTGCTAAGGAATTAAAACACAGTATATGAAGTCAGAAAACTAGAGTTATAAGAACACTGCATGGATGCTAGGAATCGAACCTGAAACCTGCTGCCTGCAAAGCAGATGCAAAAGCCCTTCTCTTCAGCAGCTTAGGCAGAAGCAGAAACTTAAGCAAAGACCTTACGCTAAAGACACATTGCTCTGTCTGAAGAGAAAGGTCTGTGGCCAGGGCTTTATAGGGCCTGGAGGACAGTGATTGGCTCTTGTGAGGTCAGCTGACTGATGACTCAGGTGACCCCCTAGAGAACCAAAAAACTCAGCCCAAGAATGGCCAGGAGGACCAGGTTTGGCCCCGGTGTTTGGAGGCTCCCCATCCCAGGTGCAGGTGGTGCTTGTGGGCTGGAAGCTCCAGTGCAATGTCTTTTTAATTTTAAACAGCAAATTTCTCCCTTCTTCTGCTTCGTAGTACCTACCAGGTATGGTGTTGTGTTGGGAGCTGTCATTGGAGGTGTTCTGCTCGTGGTCTTTGTTGTGTTGGTGATCGCCTATCTCATCCGGTATTGCTGGCTGAGGAGACAAGCCACTCTGCAGCGGAGACTCAGGTAAAGCGCCCAGGAGGATGGACATGTCATAGAAGGGTGTCGCCCTGGCTGCTATATATACACACTCCTTACTTGCTAGATTTTTAAGGGCATGGAGAATGCTTCGTTCAGAGACTTCCCTCCACTACAGTGCCAGGAGCTGTAGTCACCGGGATCTATGACATTTGCTATGCCCATTTATTTAAATACTTATAGAGCACATCACAAAATATTGTGAGGCAGTAGGCAACCTAGAAGCACATAATGCTACAGTAAAAACAATTTTAAAAGTGAAACATCACAGGGAAATCTGGTTGGCAGAGAGTCTCAGGTTCAAAAGTCCTGTCCAAATAGTACAGTTTCCAGAAGATATCTGAGAGAGAGGAGGGATGACTCCTGAACAAATTTGTATTGGCAAGGAGTTCCACAGGGCAAGGCCTGCCACACTAAAGTCTTGGGATGGGCGGGGTATAAATAATAAATTATTAATATTATTATTATTAGCCCTTGATAAAGGCCAGCCGGACCTCAGGGGCATGGGGGATGGCCAAAATTGCCCTGAGGGCAAGACCTCAGCAGTTGAGATTGAGGGCAGCTGTGTGCCCTCATTCATAGAGGAAGTCTGGCACAAGTCCAGTCTAAACATGAAGTCTGATGCTGCCCATCAACCCTTGAGCAGCAAACTGAGCAAGCAGGCAAGCACACAAGTCACCTGAGCCACATTTGCACCATACATTTAAATCACTATAAGACCACTTAAACAGTCATGGCTTCCCTCTCAAAATCCTGAGAGCTTTTAGGCCCCTTGCAGAGATATAATTCCCAAAATGGTTTAACAATCATTCCCTCTTACCATGGAACTATGGGAATTCTATATCTGCAGGGGGAATAAGGGGTCTGCTAACAACTCCCTTAATGAACTACAGCTCCCATAATTCTTTGGGGGAAGCTATGAATGTTAGAAGTGGTGGCACAGTGCTTTATATGTTTGGTGTGAATGTGGCCCTGGTCACACAGGCTTGCACCTCTCCGGGGAGATGTATTTCTAATTAAATAACATTAATTATTTCTAAAGCTGCATCTATGCATATAAATAAGCATGTGAAAAACTTAGGAAAACCTGAATTCTCCTTTTTCCCCTTTGGCAATGTGTAGCCCTTTCCTCGCTTGCACAGAAACATATCCGATGTGAGGGACCATTCATGCATTCCAGTAAGCACAGAGGGCATGACTTGTTTCTGCTTCCATTTCATTTCAGCGCTATGGAGAAAGGGAAGTTGAGGCTGGGCAAGGATTCTTCAAAAAGAGGCCGTCAGGTGAGTGTGTGTGTGTGAGAGAGAGAGAGAGAGAGAAAGGGAGGGAGGGAGGAGAGGAAATGTGTCGGGGGGGGGAATGAGTGGGAGGCATAATATATTATGCTGGTTTAAGAAACCTGTACCATGACCACACCAAACATTAAAAGGGCATGGCTTCCCCAAAACAATCCTGGGAACCTTAGTTTGTTAAGGGTGCTGGGAATTGTAGTTTCAGTAGGGGTAAGCTACAGTCCCCAGGTTTTTTTGTGGGAAACCATGTGCTTTAAATATATGTTTCAATGTAACACCAGTCATCAGAGCGTAATAACCTCATGGATCAGGCCAGTGGCCCATCGAGTCCAGCATCCTGTTCTCACAGCGGCCAACCAGATGCCTGAGGGAAACTCAAAATCAGGACTCAAAAACAAGAACCACCGTATTTTTCGCTCTATAAGACGCACCTTTTCCCTCCAAAAAAGTAAGGGGAAATGTGTGTGCGTCTTATGGAGCGAATGCAGGCTGTGCAGCTATCCCAGAAGCCAGAACAGAAGCCAGATCCCTCTTGCTATTCTGGCTTCTGGGATAGCCGCGCGAAGCCTCTTCAGGGCAGAGGGAGCGTTCCCCCTGTCCTGAAGAGGCTTTGCGTTGCTTTCGCAGAAGCCAGAACAGCAAGAGGGGTCGCTGCGCAGCGAAAGCAGCGATCCCTCTTGCTGTTCTGGCTTCTGGGATTCAGAATATTTTTTTTCTTGTTTTCCTCCTCCCAAAACTAGGTGTGTCTTATGGTCTGGTGCGTCTAATAGAGCGAAAAATAAGGTATCTCCTGCCCTGTGGCTTCCACATGCAGAAGTATGACTGCCTCTGACAGTCGATGCAGAGCATAGCTCTCTTGGCTAGTAGCCACTGATATCCTCCACCTGGTTGGCTTCTCAAAGGCACCTGGCCTCTGCGGAAAAGGATGCAGGCATAGGCAAGCAGGCCCACATTTTATGGCTTCCTGCGTGGTGACAAGACTCTCTTTTCCCTCCCTGTTTCCCCTCTCCTGCTGAATTCTTCCCTCTTCTCCTGTAGCAACCCGTCCTGTACGCCATGCTGGACCACAGCCGCCTCACCAAGTCGGCAAGCGATAAGAGGTCCAAGAAATAGCGGTTAGCCGGCAGGGAAGGTACCCAGAAGAAGGTGGGCGAGAAGAAGGTCGTCATGACCATCGAGATGGAACTGAAGAGGGACCAACTCGAGGCCGGAGGCCTCAAGCCCGCCGTCAAGTCCCCAAGCAAGAACAGCCTCAAAAACGCCCTCATGAACATCATCAAAAGCGATTCGGAAAAGTGATTGGATACTGAAAAGGTGGCGATGATCCCAGCCCTCCGTCCTGAGGAGAGAGGCCTGGGATAGTCTCCCCTGCATCCAACCCTCTTGGTTTTGTATCCCGCCATGTTCTTACACACTTCTTTATAGCCCATCTAGTCCGGGGCGGATGGGATTTGGGCATATTCCTGCCCAGTCTCTGTCCCTATTAAGATATTGATGGAGAGCCTTTCGCATCATATATGTATATCCAAAGCATAGGGAATTTGCACCCACCTAAGTGACTTAACATTATTAATAACTCCTAGGACGTTGTGTGCACATTAAAACCATGAGGCAAACTGAGGCAGGGTAATCCTAGGGAACAAACTATGCCCTCTCCCCATTATGATGTGCCTCTTCTTCTCTTTTAAGTCTAGAAACAGGCTGGTTCAACATCTTGGAACACCATCACACCCATGCTTTGCTACTCAGAGTAGACCCACTGAAATTAATGACCCTGGATAAGTTAGGTTCATTATTTCGACAGATTTACTCTGAGTTGAATACCATGCAGATACTTTTTTTCTGAGGCACAGGCGACTCTCCTGAGTGACCCAGTCTCGCCACTGTCAACTTCAAGACCTCCATGCGAAAGCTGTAGATAGACAACAGACCGGGCTTATTTTCTGGTTTTCTAATGGGAACCTGGCCTTCTGTTTAGGGTGAAACTTCATCCTGAACTACAGAGCTCCAACTCCCATCAGTCACTAGGCCCGATACGATGCCTTGAGGCCTGGATAGACAGGTGTCCTCCTACTTCTAGTTTTCCTCAAAATCCCCCAAAATATTGGCAAGAAAGACATGCAACCTCCCCAGACAGGGGTACCTTCTACTGCCCAAACGGCTGTGACACAACCCTCTTCCGCTCGGTGTTTTTCGAGCACAGGTGTATTTTTTTTCCTATTCCCCACCCCCTTTTAATCCAAGGATCAAATATATATATATATATACACGTGTCTCTGAGATTCAGAAGGATGGTTTAGCTCCCTTCCCCAATTGCAGGTCACCCCACCCCACCATTGTCTGTTTACTTCAGCCCCTGTTTGGCTGCATATAGGTGAAAATGCTAATTTTCTGGAAGGCAAGATAGTATTTTGCTGGTGCTCCATCTCTGCCTAACCTTCAAGCTCTCTTTTGCCCCAATTTTTTGGGGGGCAAAAAAGCAAAAGCACACCACAGGGGGTTATCAACGGAATAAGGCACAATGCATTTGCCACAGAATTTCGCTTTAGACACAGTCAGGGGCTCCTGCTTTGAGCGAAGCATCTGAGGAATTTCTGGAGAAGTGAGAAAAACAAAGCACCCCCGAATTTCCTCAGGGAGGGGGTTTCGCCCATCTCCAGGTTGTCACCAGATTTTGCCCAAAGCTGAATTCTAGGCAAAGGGTGAAGGTTTGAGGGGGGGGGGACAATGAGGGGTTTTGATAAGAAAAATGCCTCAGGCAGATTCCCACGCATCCTTATGCCTCTCCTTCCCTGCCTTTATCATTGATATTCTGGTTCATTCTGCATCTTCACTAATCCCCTTGAGGGGAATTAAGCCATCCTGGAAACAAGCCTTCTCAACAGTGGTTCAACCTTACAGTGTGATCCCCAACCCACAGGAGGGTTGTTATTAGTTATTATTAACCACTGATATATTTCTGTTAGTCTCTCTTTCCCCGGTGACCGAACGCCACATGACGTCACACGGTTAATACCTCTTCATATTGAGGCCTCAGTCTTTCACCTTCTATGTCCTCATTTCTTTTTTATGATGTGTCCTCGTCTGTTTTCAGATTAACTCTTGTTACCCAGGACAACACGCTCCGTAACTTAGTAGGCCCAATGGCCACCAAGTGAACAACAACAACAAAAAAGATCTGGAGGCCAGTCGTTCTGCTAGGCCAGGAAAACGCCATACTGTTGAGGAAGGGCCCCTACCCAAACTCGTACTTGCATTTGGACATACTATTGCATCCTCTGCTATATCATATATGCACACTTTCCCCCCACAATGCTTCAGAATCTTCCTTTTCAGTTGTGAGCAAGGAATCTAACAACACTGGCGTGTGGTAGGGCCTAGCAAATAGATTCATCTCCATAGATATGTATATAGCCAACCACAAGCACACACATACTTTCTGCGTAGCAGTCAACTGCCTTTGTGTTTTGGTTTTCTTGTTCTTAAATGTTATGTAAAATGGTGTATTTTGTTTCCTTTTTGGGGGGGGGTAGTGGGGCTTTCTCAACTTTGTGTACATTCTCTCAAAATCAGCAGCAACAACCAAAAATGATACATGACACAATTAAAAAAAAGAAGGGAAGTTAATAAAAAGACTGACATTTCTATACAGAGGTGGTCTCCTTTCTGTTCTAGGATCCATATCAGCAGCTGAAATGTGTTTAAAGCAGGACCTGACCACAATAACAACTCTCCCTGCCATAGCAGTCAAGTGTCCCTTATTTGGCGGGACAGTCCCTTATCCCAGCGCCATGTCCCGCTGCTGTCCCTTATTGATGAGGCTTCATTTGGCTGCTGGCTGGGCTTTCTGCCTTTGGCTCAGAGGGGCTCAGAAGTTGAACATACCTGTGCCCGGAAAATCCCTTATTTTGGCTGCTGATCCCTTATTTTCGAGGCTGCTGGTCCCTTATTTTCAAATCTGTAAGTTGACAGCTATGCTCCCTGCTTGCATTTCGGGGATATTCAAAGACACATTGCTACCTCTGACAGTGGAGGGAGGATATAGCTATTGTGGCTAGCATTATGCTCCATGAATTTGTTTATTTCCCCTGTTTTAAAGCCCTCTAATCTGACGGTCCCTGCTCCTGCCAACCTAGCAGTTCAAAAGCATGTCAAAGGGCAAGTAGATAAATAGGTACCGCTATGGCAGGAAGGTAAACGGCGTTTCCGTGCACTGCTCTGGTTTGCCAGAAGCGGCTTAGTCCTGCTGGCCACATGACCCGGAAGCTGTACGCCGGCTCCCTCGGCCAATAAAGCGAGATGAGCGCCGCAACCCCAGAGTTGGCCACGACTGGACCTAATGGCCAGGGGTCCCTTTACCTTTAATCTGACGGCCACCACTATATTTTCTGAGAGCCAGTTTCATAGTTCAACTATGCACTGTGTAAAAAAGTTGTTCCTTTTGTCTGTCCTGAATCTTTCAACATTCAGCTCCATTGGTTCTGGCCCAGAGTTCTGGTTTTATGAGAGATGAGTCCCAGTATTAAAGGCAGCGGCTAGCAAGCAGGCTTGAGCCTTGTTCCTCGCCACCCTTAAGTGCTCATCCAATTAGCTCAAACTAGTTAGTTAACACAATTATGGGCACTGACTTGATTACATTGAAACCCCCAGGAGTGTCCGATTAGCACATCTAAATGCATTTGCTAGGTAGCTTCAATTAGGAGGCAATTGGCAGAAAACAAGCTCCAAGAGAATCAGTTCCAACTAAGGTTGCCAACTGCCTGGGGTGACCGCCTCACTTTGCCTAATGGTAGGGCTGGACCTGTGACTGGCAGTAGCTCTCTAGTGCCCCAGGCCAAGAAAGATCTATCCCATGCAGTTGGGGGTGGGTGGGTTAGGGTCGGGAACTATTTTCAGACTGAGGGCCACATTCCCTTCCAGGGGTTGCATGCCAGCAGGGGCAGATCCAAAGGCAAACGTGCTCATGTCTCAGAAGACAATGGAGTGTGCCTTTAGGTTCAAGATGTTATAGGGAAAAATGGGGTTTGCTTTTACAACCCAGCTCTCCATCAAGGGACTCAGTGTCCCCTAAGTCCCGTATCAGTCAGACAGACAAGAATGGATAGAGACAGGATTTTGTGAAAGCAAGGCAGATCTTTATTTTTCTGTTGCATAAGAGCTCCCCACCCTTTGCAAGGAGGTGAGGACCCAGAAAAAAGGTGTGCATAACTTTTAAAACTTCAGAAACTTCCCAACCCCTTAGCCAAATACCACCCTAAAGCATCATGCATATATCACAGAAAGAGACATTTAAGAGAGTGGCTTATTTCCTGTCTGTCAAGATACTTGATAATGGTCACAGATTGCATTACTGGGCAGTCTGGGCCATTCTTTTGAAATGTTAATACCTTAGTTCTTGAATCCAGGTCATAGGACTACCCTATTCACACACAAAATATACCCTTAAAACAGGATTTGCAAGTGAAAAGAACCATTTGGAGAGATTTTTCCAAGATACTTCCTTCTGCAGAAGAAATATTTGAGTTCATTAAGAGTCAAGATGGCTTCAGGATTGCTCTCCTGTACTATTTCAGGCATGTGGGTTTTGTGTGCGCTTCTGAACATTCATTTTATTTATGGCCCCTTGGAATTATTATAACATATTCCAGTCACGCTAAATCATTCAAGGTGTGGTGGAGAGCTGGTGAGGGGTGCAATTTAGCAAGAGGGGGTGTGGTCTGGGGAGAGCTGAAAAGGGTTAAGGCTATAGTCTTCCAACAAAGCAATTTTTATCTCTCCACTTAAAAAGTCAGAGTGGTAAAGGGCTATATAAGAGGTTGGCTGAAGCCCATCATTGGGACAGCTGTCCCTCCATCTCCCAGCAAATACTGCACTCAGTGTTGCCTGGTAAGCATAATCTTGACACAAGGGCTAGAAAATAGCAGTTAAGCTTGTGTGATTGTGTGACCCGCAGCAGATTGTCAAACATTGTATAGGAAAGGGGCAACAGGCTGAAACAAGACCCAGGAAGAACTGACAGGTGAAAGAAGAGGACTTGAGGGCTGTCAGAACATTTTGATCATTGACACAAAAAAGTAAAGATTTTCTACAGGGGACTGGAAACAGTCGGTGCTGTTTTACACTCTCCTAGCTGCAGTGCAAGCTCTCTGCTTAAGAAATGGAAACCCGGGTTGAGTCACTCCTACATCATCACCAACTAGGGGCTTGTCCAATTAGCTCAGGCTAGTTAATGCAATTATGGACACCAACTTGATTACATTGCAACCCCCAAGAGCGTCCTATTAGCACATCTAAATGCGTTTGCTAGCTGGCTTCAGTCGGAAGGCAGTCACCGGAAAACAAGCTCAGCAAGACGGGGAGATCCTCTCGCTCCTGGGAGCTGGAACGATTCCAACCAGAGACACCAACTTTTCTTTTAACAAGCCATGAAGCTATGCATGGGAAGCTGCCTTATAGCAAGCCAGAGGATTGGTCCTCTCAGCTTGGTATTAGACTTGAATGACAGCGGTTCTCCAGCATTGCAGACTGAAATCTTTTCCCAGGCCTACATGGAGATGCTGGAGATTGAGCCTGGAACTTTCTGCATGCAGGGCAGATGCTCTTCTGCTGAGTTAGGGTCCTTCTCCTAAAATAAAATAAGGTTCCAGTCTTCATGGTTCCAGATGAACGGCTGATACAAATAAGAATACAGGAAGCTGCCTTATACTGAGTCAGAGCACTGGTCCATCTAGCCTTGCGAGGAACGCTTGAAGGAACTGGGTATGTTTAGCCTGCAAAAGAGGAGACTGAGAGGAGATATGACAGCCATTTACAAATATCTTAAGGGCTGTGTTGTAATATCCGCCCTCCCTTCCCCACAGGTGGGCGGGGTTTGCGGCACCAAGCGAGGCTCACCTGGGCGGGTGCCACCCACCTGCTTGAGCTGGCCTTTGACCCGCCCTCGGCCAGGGAGGACAATGGACAGCCGGCCGGGGGTGGGCCTAAGGCCAAAAGAAAAGAGGCTGACCCCTGAGCTCAAGCCTCTTTTGCTGTTCTTCCTTCTGGAAGGAATATCTTAAGGGCTGTGTTGTAAACAAAATCTGCCCTTTTACCCTTTTGGGGTATCCAAGAGCCCATATAGAGTCCTTACATAGGTTCCCTATTGGTAGGAGAAAATAACAGAGGCCAACCAGAGAATATTGAGAAGCAAAGCAGCTAGTAAGCCTGATCTTTATTGATCTGTTGCAACAGGGTGCTCCCCTCACATGCAGGAAAGGGGGAGGAACCCAGAACAATGGCGCGCAAGGCCTTATATAGACAATTTAATTCCCTGCCCTGGAGCTCAAGACCACACCCCAGATACATCATACCTACATCACAGAAAAGGTGGTCTAAAACAGAAATGTGAGTGACTTGTTTATCTTGTCTGACAGGTTACCTATTTAATGGTCACTTGATTGGATTGCCTGCTTACTTGATTGGATACCCTGGGGAGCCTGGCCAGTCTTTTGTAATGATAAATACTTAGTAATGATAAATACTTAGTTCCTGAGTCAGGTCACAGGCTCACCCTATTCAAACACAGACATACCCTTAAGGCAGGATTTGTGAAGGAAAAGACAATGGGGAGGCTTTTTCATTTTCCTTTGACCTTGCAGAGAAAACATTTGCTCAGTTTGGGAATCAAAATGGTTTTATTTCAGTTTGGGAATCAAAAACGGTTTCAGGTCGGTCTTCCTGTGCTGATCTATGTACGTGCTTGGTTGGTACACTTATGAACATTTAACATTTATCCAATACCTCAAAATTCCTATCACAGCTCTCACATGGAAGTTGGAGCAAACTTGTTTTCTCCTGCTCTGGAGGGTAGGAACTCAAGCCAATGGCTTCAAGTTACAAGAGAGGAGACTTTGACTAAACATCAGGAAGAACTTTCAGACAGCAAGAGCTGTTCAGCAGTGGAACAGACTTCCTTAGAAGGTGGTGGACTCTCCTTCCTTGGAGGTTTCCAAGCAGAGGTTGGGTGGCCATCTGTCATGGACGCTTTAGCTGAGATTCCTGCATTGAAGTGGGTTGGACTAGATGACCCTTGGGGTCCCTTCTAACTCTACGATTCTATGCTTCTAGCTCAGTACTGTCTACACCGACTGGCAGTGGCTTCTCCACGGCTTCAGCAAGGCGACATTCCCAGATCTACCTGGAGATGGTGGGGATTGAAACTGGGACATCCTGCATGCAAAAAGGGGGGACGGACTGGAGGGTTGTTTGTTGCACACCAGCAAAAAATCCACTTTAATTAACTAACGGGTCTGTATGTGATTGATCTGCAGAATAGCAACAATCTGAAACATCCTTCATTCAGTGTATCTGAAGAAGTGTGCATGCACAACGAAAGCTTATACCCGTAACAAACCAACTAAGTCTCTAAGGTGCTACTGGACAATTTTCTTATTTTATTTATTCATAATTTTGACTCACTTGAGATCAGGAAATAACATGTACAAAGGCTGATGGGTAACTTTTTTTTTGCTCTCTCCTCGCTGGAAATGTAAAGTGGTCAAAAGAGCCTGTCTGGCACTCTCCATTTATTTATTTTTTACTTTTCATTTCAAAGGAACCAGGAGATAAGAGGCACTGCACTCTTACTATCTCAGCAGCCTGTCAGGAGAAAGCATGGAGATAAAAGGTATTCAGTCATGTTCTCCTGACCTTAGTCTGCTACTAATTGGTGATGCTTTAGGCAACACCTGGTCTTAGCGGAACCCCAAAAATTAGATTATAATGTGTATAACTTTACTTTTGGTACTTCAGCCCTGCAATGTCTGGGGGCCACTCCTGCTTGCTCTCCTGCAAGGGGTTTTAGACTTCTGCCTTAAAGTCCGCTCCTGATGATGTCATTACTTCTTATGTGCCAGAATCCAACTTGACTGGAAAGAAGTACAGATTATCAACATTCTGACACAGCCCACCGGGTATGTAAACCAGTAAACCCTATCCCAAAACCCAGACAGCATTTCCTTGGGGTTCTGACAGTACCAACACCCAAGGGGACAACCAATCCTTTAGTCGTTTAGTTGTGTCCGACTCTTCGTGAACCCATGGACCAAAGCACGCCAGGCACTCCTGTCTTCCACTGCCTCCTGCAGTTTGGTCAAACTCATGCTGGTAGCTTCGAGAACACAGTCCAACCATCTCGTCCTCTGTCGTCCACTTCTTCTTGTGACCTCTATCTTTCCCAACATCAGGGTCTTTTCCGGGGAGTCTTCTCTTCTCATGAGGTGGCCAAAGTATTGGAGCCTCAGCTTCACGATCTGTCCTTCCAGTGAGCACTCAGGGCTGATTTCCTTCAGAATGGAGAGGTTTGATCTTCTTGCAGTCCGTGGGACTCTCAAGAGTCTCCTCCGGCACCATAATTCAAGAGCATCAATTCTTTGGCGATCAGCCTTCTTTATGGTCCAGCTCTCACTTCCATACATCACTACTGGGAAAACCATAGCTTTAACTATACGGACCTTTGTTGGCAAGGTGATGTCTCTGCTTTTTAAGAATCCCAAGTATGAAGAGGTAAAGGACCAGTCTCTGCTTCTGGGGTCTCACACACTAAAAATGAATTATTATTTTTTGAGTAGCATAAGACTGGATAGCTTATCTGGCTAGAGCATGGCGTTGATAAATGCCAAGGTTGCAGGTTTGATCCTTGTATGGGACAGCTGCATATTCCTGCATTGCAGGGCTTGGGCTAGATGATCCTCAGGGTCCCTTTCAATTCTACAATTTTAACACCTGCATGGTGTTCCCAATCCTTTTCACTCCTGTTTACTGGCCATCTTTCTTTTTTTTCCTTTTCCCCGCCCCATGGATTGGATGTAGCCAATGAAGGAGGACTTATTTGCAAGAGTAAAAGGAAAAAATGGCCACTGTCTTCAAGAGGATTAAATGTACTGAGTAAGCGAACGTTATAAGAATTCTAAGGTCCCAAATATAAAATAAACATTCATAAATGTACAAGGCAAACACATAAGTATATAAACCATGTGTCTGTAATAGTACAGGAGAGCAATCCTGAAGCCATTTTGACTCTCCCAGTAACCTCAAATATTCCTCTGTAGTGAGGAAGGAAATGAGAAAGCCTCCTTATTGTCTCTTTACTCAAATCCTGTCTTGAGGGAGTATTTGTGTATGAATAGGGTGAGCCTGTGACCTGCATTCAGGAACTAAGCATTTAGCATCTCAAAAGGCATGGCCAGCCTGCCCAGGTGGAGCAATCAGTGACGATTGTCAGCTATCTTGATAAACAGGATTTCTGTTGGGGACCACCTCCTCCTGTGATGTATGTATGATGTTTTGGGGGGTGGTGGTCTTGAGCTACAGGATGGGCAATTTCAAAAGTCTATATAAGGGCTTGCACACCATTGTTCAGGGAACCTACTCAAGGACTCTATACGGGCTCTTGGATACACCATAAGGGGAAAGGAGCGTTTTTTTCTATAACACTTAAGATTGTCTCCTTGCCACCACAATGTCGCAGCAGCGCATGCTCCCCCAGAGCAAGGAAACTTTCCTTCAGTCTTACAACAAGAGGCTGAAAGATGACATCAAGTCGGTCATGGATAACTTCAGAGAGATAATCAAAGCTGCAAAGATTGAGGAAGAAACCCAAGTTTCTCGGGCAACCCAAGGTGAGCAGGACAACTGTGAGATGTATGTCAGAGCTGCAAATATTGTTCGGGCTGGTGAGTCTCTTATGAAGCTTGTCTCTGACCTAAAACAGTTCCTGATCCTCAATGACTTCCCTTCCATCAACGAAGCCATCAACAATGGGAACCAGCAGTTGCGCAGCCTTCAGGAGGAATGCGACAAGAAGCTGATTGCCCTGCGTGATGAGATCTCCATAGACCTCTATGTGCTGGAGGAAGAATATTACTCCTCCGGCTATAGTCTGTGTGACACCAACAACCTCTCGCTGTGTGAAGCATATTGGAGACAGGAGCCAACCACGTCCTCTCCAGGCCTAGCCATGCCTCTGGTGGCTGCCTTGCATGGAGCAGACCTGATGGAGCAGGCCTGAAAAGGGAGCCTGCAATTCTCTCCAGCTTTGTGGCATTTTGACAGTTGAACGTTCTGGTGGTGCCAGTTCACCTGAACACTTGATTGCAACATGTATGTGGCGTTGTTAAAAGTAGGATTTTGTGGGGGATGTTAATTGTAAAAATGTATATTCCTCTAACTGTTAACAAATTATTTGAATAAAGTCAATTTTTATGCATACAAAAAAACCCCAAACCATTTCCAACACAGCTGCAAAGTGAGGAAGATCCCAGCTTTAAAAGGCTGGATCACGTTTAGCGTTTGGGGCTTCTTCCTCCGCTAGCTGATCACCTTTCCAACTCAGATCCCACCCTGCTCCGCCTTGCAAAGCTGCCCAGGGGAGGCCCCCTTCACGTCCACCCTCCCGGCCCACATCCGGCCTTCGCCCTTATTTCTTGTTCCGGAGAGTCCTTGCTACCGATCGTTGGGTTTTTTTAGTGCAGGGGGATTTTGGAGAGGTCGCTTGCGCCGACTCTGCGCTCTCAGCTTGGCTAGAAGTGCCATGCAAGGTAAGCTGGTTTCCCCCACCCCCTGCTGACACCCCAAAGCAATAGCTATGAGCTTTGTTTTGGGGTGTGTGTCTTCCTTCCCCGAATTGTGCGCCACGGGACGCAGCTGAGCACATCGTGCGCCGTGTGGATTAGGAAGGTGGATTTGTACCGAGTCGGACTGTTGCTGCATCTGGTCCAGTATTGTCCACACTGACTGGCAGCAGCAGCAGCGTTCCCCGGGGTTCCAGGCGGGGTCTTCTCCCTGCCCTACCTGGAGATGCCGGCGATTTCTACATGCCAAGCAAGCGATCTAGCGCTCTGGGTGCTCGGTTTGGAGACGGGTAGTTTGAAAAGGCGCGCCAGGCTTGTACAGTAGAGGGCGGAGGCAGCAGGCAAGGACATCGGATGAAGAGGATCTTGGATTTACCGAGCCTGCAAGTCTCGGTTTTGCGGCTGGATCCAGGCCCTGTTTACTCCCGCCTATCGATCCCGGCGGGATTTATCACTCCCCCGGAATAGGGCGCCATCGATCGGGTTGGGATATTTGTAAGACGCGTCAGAGCCCGTGATCGATTTCGCTCCTGGAGAAATTGCTGTCTAGAGTTGCGCTGCAGCCTCCTGGGGATTTGGGGCTGTCTAGGGTTGTGGCAGCCGCCTTTGGAAGAGCTGTACAGGGTGGCGATATTTATTACGTTTTTTTAGGGAGGCCTGTATGCCGTTTAATAAAAACAACATAGATGATATAAAATAGCCATTAAAAAGCATTAAAAAGAGACTTTTGAGAACAGTGCATCATAATTATCGAATTATAGATCAAATAAACAGATTTGAGAAACAAATGTGCACAATGCAAACATTGTAAGCTATAAAGGCATTGGGGTTATTAATGATCCGCACCAGACCTAGGGCTACTTTCCTTTAAGCTTGTCTGGAAGTTCCTGTGCAGTAACTGCCTATTTCCATTGAAGGATAAACGCTGTATTTGCTCAGATACACTCATTTCCTATGCTGCAGGGCTGACGATCGCTGGTACCCAAAATAGTTCCCAGGATTTAGCCTCCGTTAGTTCAGATGAAACCCCCTGGCTGCCCTGCACAGGGGCATTTTCCCCAGTACAGTAGCTGGGAAGCTAATTGATTCACCGCCACCCAGGACGGAAATTCCATAAGGACTAGAAACGTCAGTCATTGTTTTTAAAGTCACGTAGCTTAATCAGAGTATTTTTAATCAACAAACAATTGTTTCCAAGCCAGCACATTGACGCTACAATACAAGACCTGCGGGGGTGCCCCAGCAGAGGCAGAGATTATTTGGTTTGCTTGAGAGAACGCAGGGAGGAGAGAGGGGCTGGTTGCCTTCGAAGTTGTGATAAATATTATTAGTAATATTAGCCAAGGTGATTGCAAATGATTAGTGGCCAATTACAGGTTAGTCAACGGCTACTTTGAGTAGAACCAACACTGAACACCCCTTATAGTTTTTGTTAACCCACACTAACTGTTTTTGTGAGGTGGGAGCACCCATATGCTTCTGTATTATTCCTTGACTCTGGGCCTCTGGAGGGAGATTCTCCTCGCAGTATCAAGATGGCTGGCATCCTGCTGAATGCGCCAGGCGGGCCTTGACAATATTTTGATGTTTTCTCCTTCCAGAGTAAAAATACCCATCTGCGTGAGCAGATTGGCAAAGCGGGTTTGGGGTTTCGCAGAGCATGTGTTCTGGAGCAGGGCTGTGTCCCAGAGGAGGCCGCAGAAAAGATGGCTTGCCTTAATTTTCTCTGTCACATGAAGTGCTTCTTCAGAGGAGCTGCGGATCTGCACGCAACGAACCAGCCGGCTACTTGTGTCGTTCCTGAACTGTGGAGGGTATTGTTGCGACAACCAAATTTCAGTCTTTCCTTTGGAATAACATCACAGCCAAAGTTGTTCATATCAGTTGCTCTGATGTTGCATATTTAAATTAGCACGCTTGTGGAGAGGGTGGACTGTATTTTATGGTGGGGGCCAAAGAAAGAGAATAAAATACAGTGAAAAAATGCATTTTCATTGGAGCCAAGGGAGACGCCTGGTCCAAATCTGTGCGCATTGCTGTTTCAGTAGCATTTCTGCCCATGATAATTTTAAAAGTCTGTCTCTCACTTGCTTTATGAGCTCTCTGCATTGAGCACTGCAGTCTCACATGATTAGGAAGCTGCCTTGTGTGGAGTCAGGACTGTTGGCCCATCATGCTCAGTATTGTCGACTCTGACTGGCAGCAGCTTCCCAAGGTTGCAGGCAAGCATAATTCCTGGTCCTAGCAATTATTGCATGCAGAAGGTCCCAGGTTCAAAGCAGATGCTTTGCCACTGAGTTAGCAGCCCTTGAAACAGGAAGCTTTTTTATACTGAATCAGACTATTGGTCCACCTGGCACAGTGTTACTACACTGGCTGGCAGCAGCTGCCACAGGTTTCACATCAGATATTCTCAGCCGTACCTGGAGGGAGATGCTGGGGATTGAATCTGAGACCTTCTGCCTGCCTGTGCTCTGCCACTGAATTATGCCTAGTTCCCGATTATAGCACAGCGCACCATGTATCTTTATACATCAGCAGCGTAGAATTTTTTTGGCTCCATGTGTCAGGACTTCAAAGCTCACAGCAGGCAGTAAGATGCTGATAATGGGAAGATATTTTTTTTTTTGCTTCCTTTCAAAGGAAAGAGACTCTTCATTATCAGCTTTTTGCTGTCTGCCCTGTGTGGTTGAACTGAGCAGTTTCAGATGCGCAGGAGTGCGCTCTTGCACACCCAGAACCAGCAGGATCACTGTCCTGTCACATCAGCCAGTGGGGCTGGGAGACAATGCTGCTGGATCCTTAGTGCTGGGTTTCAGCCTCAAACAAGAGCACGGGTTGCTTTAAAGTCCTTTGCCCAAAGCATGCTGGCTAGGGGTCAGCAGATAGGGGAGCAGAGGTTGTGAATGGGCATAGCTCATGAAATAGATCCTGTTTTTCAATTATATTTGCATTGCTTCTTTCAGTTTCTCATATTGCATTGGATCATTTGTTTATTGTGTCTCAGATTGTTTTCTGTGGGATTCGAATGTTTATGCCACAAAATGCAGTGTAGGAAAGGAAGTGGTACAAATGCAATTAAAAACTACGTGGCGTCTAGCGCAGTAAATCAGAGGCTACAACAGGGAGAGGAAAACCATTAAGTGACTTGCTGAGGCCCTCGGCAATTTTAAAGCGGCGGGGAAGATTGGGAACCACTGATGGAGACCTTTAAGTTCTGGGCCTCTACAGTCAAACCTCGGTTCCCGAACGCCGAAAGTAGCTGCTCCGGTTTTTTAACAATTTTCGGAAGCCGAACGTGCTGTGCGCCTTCCGTTTTGAGTTTCCCTATTGTATCAAGGCTTCCGCTTTTGGTTGTCGGAACGTTTCGGAAGTTGAACGGTCTTCCGGAATGGATTACGTTTGACAACCGAGGTTTGACTGTACTACTGTTTGGCCCAGTATAGGGCAGAGGGGGGGAACCTGGGGGTGGGGGTAGAGGTCAAATATTTTCGGAGTCTGGCCAACACCAGGCCAGAGCAGGTCATGTGATAACCACCTGGCTTCTGCAAAAGCTTCTTGAGATCATATGTTTTTGTGGGCCTGAGCAGATTTTGGGTTGCTCCACATAGCAGCCCACCTTTGGACTCAAATGGACTCCACAAATGAGAGAGAGAGAGAGAGAATGTGTGTGTGTGTGTGTGTGTGTGTGTGTGTGTGTGTAGATAGATAGATAGATGATAGATAGATAGATGATAGATAGATAGATATAGATAGGATAAAAACCAGGCACAACCATTTTCCCCCTGATTATTTTATTAACATGCTAAAAGTCAGTCCACAAAGCAGCTTCTGTCAGTGCCCCGTGGTGACGCTGATTGCCATTTGCAGAGGGGCCCGTTGGAGGTTTTCCGCAACCAGAGTAGGGGTGGTGGAGCGGCGTGCCAGTGCTTGAGAGTTATGTGGTGGCCATCAATGTAGCGGGTTCTGGCCCAACAGCAGACTGGCCCTGGAGCAGAGGGCGCGTGGATCTCGCGAAGGACAGTCCTTTCCCGTCGGTGGGATTGCGGGGCCCTTGTCATTGGGCTTTAGGTTTAGCTCAGGGCTTGGTAATAGGGAAATGAGACCCGCTGGAATTAAAAATTGGTGATGGTTTAAGGATTTGCCCCTTCCCTCTCCCCGTCTTGTGGGAGCAGATCTGTTTCAGTTTTCTGTAGCCCAGGCTGCGTTATGCACCATAGATTTAAAGCACATTCCTTTCCTCAAATAATCATGGGAACTGTAGTTTGCTGTCCCCACCCCGAGCTACAATTCCCAGCACCCTTAAACTACAGTTCCCAGGATTCTTGGGGGGCATGGTGTGTGCGTTTAAATGTATGGTGAATATGCAGCCCCAGTTTTAATCCAGCTATCTGGACCAGTAAATTTCCATTCTTAGTTCAGATCTTTACTCCCTTCCCACTACTTCTGAGTCTTAGCAACTGGCTCTGAATTAGTAGCTGTTGTGGTAATGGTTTAAGGAATCCATGAAGGGTTGTTTTTTTGTCACGTCTGCAGGAATTGAGTATATTCTTGGGGGAAAAGATATAGTATGCAAGAGATCAGATGCCTATTAAGTCTATTAGAATTTTGGGGAACACTCAGGTAGCACAAAGCTTGATGGAATTTGCTTCTTGGCAGATTCTTTCACCGGCTTGCAGCTGACCTCTGGCAGATCATATCTTAATTGCGTATGTTAAAATTCTCTGGGTTTTTGTGAGGATAATATGGAGAAGCAGAGAGCCATGTTAAGCCACCTTGAGCTCTCTGGAGGAACAGGTGGGATAAATATGCAATAATATTTTAAAAATGAGAGATTTAAAACCTGGCAAGTTTGGCTATCTCAGTATTGATGATTTTGAAATCTAAACATTTGCTCTTAAGGATTTCACATGAGGTGTGTTTTGCACACTGGGGCTGGCGGCGGGGGGCGGGGGGGGAGACTTGTGGATCATGTCTCAATGGTGGCGTTCATGCCGTTAATGTTTGGATCTAAAACTATGGTGTTCAGTTTCGGAGCACAAAACCTATAAATAACTTATCTATGAATGTTCTCAAAATGGCTTTTTAATCTGCCATTTCTAATAAGAATTTCTTTCCTGATCCCAAATATATGTGGAACGCCCTCTCATCAGATGCCAAACATACATGACTTTTAGAAGACATCTGAAGGCAGCCCTGTATATGGAAGTTTTTAATGTTTTATGGTATTTTTATATTTTGCTGGAAGCCACCCAGAGTCAGATAGGTAGCATATAAATAAAAAACTATTATTATAATTATATATCTATATATCTCTATATATTGGAGGGGGTGGGGGAAGAGCAGCTATAAGGCTTTTCATTTTGTTTACTAGCAAAGAAACAAACAAACCCTGAATTGGGCAGTGGGCAAGTCTGACCTGACCCGCCAAACCGCAGTGGGGGGTAGCAGCAGGCTAATTTTTCAAAGTGCAGACATTTTTAAAAAACGCATTAAAATATTACAAGTCTAGCAATGGCTATCTTCTCTACCTCTGTCCCAAGGCTGGCCTGCCCCCTTCTCTTCCCTGCCTCTCCCCACCCTGCCCACTGCAATCTAGCGCCTTCTCAATGGCTTTCAGTGAAGGGACGTTGGCTACGCGGCTATCATCATGGCTATTGGAAAGTGGGAGCGCCCTCCCGTGGGTGAGTGGCACGTGAGCTTGAGGGTAGCCCCCTGTTTTGTTTGTTACCCCCCTCCCCAAACTCCGGAGAGGGTCCAAGCCCCACCCTTGCTTTGAATATATTACAGTACGTGCAAAAAAATAAATACCACTAGCCCCACCTAATATGGGTAGGATAAGGGGACGTTAGGGTAAGGCAGGCTGTGTGTCGTGGCGGAGGGCTGGGGGGTGGCATGGGAGACGGGAGAGGTGGGTTGCAGCAGCTGCAGCTGCTGCCGTTCAGGGACTGGGGTCCTTTTTCCGTTTCTGGAAGCGCCGGAACTTCCCCTGGATGGCGAGGGCGGCCTTCTCCGTCTCGGGCGCATTCAGGTCAATGTCTACTTCCTCTTCTTCTGCTTCTACCACCTTCTTGGCACTCCCCGCTTTGTCTGTGTGGAGAATCAACAGGTGCACGCATTGAACACAAAGTAGGGAATGGCACCGTAGTGGACGTTTGCACAAAAGTGATCGAGAGGGTGGAGCGACTCTGCTGCAAGGGAAGGTTGCAGACTTCTTTGTTCAGAAAAAAGGCAAATAAGCAGCAACATGATAGAAGTTTATAAAGTTATGTTAGGCAAGGAGAAAGTGGATATAGAGTTTTTCTCCCTCCCTTATTGTTGGCTGCTCTGAGCCCGACTTCGGCTGGGGAGGGCAGGATATAAATACAATTTTTTTATTATTATTCTAGAGTTTGAGGACATCCAAGAAAATGGATGGTTCAGGCAGATAAAGGAATAAACCAGGTGAGGGGAGCCGATGGGTCTCAAACCCTCAGTGAGTTAGGAGCTTCCCCTGCACGTGAAGGCAGGTTCTGGAGAGTTGAGTGGACAAGACCAATAGTGGGTCCAATGGTCAGGAAGGAGTAAACCCTACACAAAAACAGAGTGGAGTCCCTAAGATAGTTGGCTGGCGCCTTGTACTGTACACCTCCTTCTGGCAACTCCTGCCAAATGTCTTGCTCTGCTTTCCTTTGGACCACATCAGTGATGGTAAGAAGGGGGTCTTGTCATCTGGGCAGCCCAGGACCTCCATACACACTGCCCAGACATGCGCCCCAGAGAGGTCATTTTGGTGTTTCTAATGCAGCAAAAAACATGCAGAAGGCAGCAGTTATGAGTTATCGTCACATCTGGCACTGTAGTTATCAAACGGTTTTGTTGTAAGCCAAAAATCTCAGGAGATAAGCTATTTTTGGCTTACAACAGTTTGACTTGGCCCCCAGAGATGTGCTCCATTGTCTTTCAAGACAAATGGACGCTAACAACCTTCTCACTGGACTACAACTCACATCAACGCTGAACATTGGTCACGCTGGCTGAGGCTGATGGGGATCGGAGTCCAACAACAGCTGGAGGTCACCACATTGGCGACCCCTGACAGACTGAAATGACCCTATAACTCAGAAACTGTTGCTTGAAGGAGACAGAGGACCACGGCTTCTGTGTCCACCGGCAGCAGACACCACTGCAAAGAGGAGTACAGATCCCTCTCAGCCAATCAGCCATTGGTTAGGTAAGTGTGTCAGACTGCAGCTCCCATTAACTCAACAAGTATGGCCCATTGGCTAGGGATGGAGGGAGCTGAAGTTCTACAGAATCTGAAGGACCACAGGTTATCCTGCCCCTGTTTCACAGGCCCGAACAATATAACAGTCATTTGCCAGCTACTAGGTAGTTGTGGTTCTTAAGAGCCAATAAACTCAGGATGCTGCCAGCCTTCACCCACGTAAGCTGTCATGTTCAGTCTTCACTCTGCCCCCATTTTTGATGATCTGTCCCAACCACCCAAATCCTGCCCTGGATCTGCTCCTCCTCCCACTCCACAGGGTCAGTATATTTAAATTAAATCGACAGAGTGTGCTGGATTACCCAATAAACAGGCTCGGCACGTGCTTAGGGTGTCAGCCAAGAGCAGCAGCGAAAGAAAAAATTATTGAAGAATTTGACATTTGATATTTAAAAAAGCATCAAAGGCGTCATCTAGAAGTAGCTGCTTTCATTTCAGCATGCGTCTCAGTTTTGTGTGATTTTGAAAAACAATTTTTTATTGTATGGTTTAGCATTGCTTTCATTTTGAATTACATATGGGGGGAACCATATCTTTTCAGTGCTTAGGGCCTTAATCTGGCCCTGAATAGGCAGCTGCTGGTAGGCAGAAACTTGGATGAGGGTATTGAATGTGATGCCCTCAGATATTGGTGGACTACAATTCCCATCATCCCTGACCACTGGCCATGCTGGCTGGGGTAATGGGAGTTAGCGTCCAGGAGGGCGCCACATTGGTGTCCCCTGATTTAGAAGAACATGTACACGTGCCAATTGTCAGTTGTAAAAAATAAAATAACAATTTTATTATTTATATCCCGCCTATCTGGGTTTCCTCAGCCATTCTGGGTGGCTTCCAGCACATAAAAAATAAAATAAAAAAGTACTTTTTAAAAAAGCATCCAAATGGGAAGCCAAAAAAGGATCAAGACACTTCAGGACATTTGAAGTAGCCATTTATGCCTGCCCTCCACCAGGGGTGCGGCCTGCGTGCGTTTTGAACTCGGGACATCAGTGCCAGAGCACAGTCTACTCTTTGAGTAGGCCCTGTGAGGGCGCTGACCTTCACAGCCTAGCCCTGCCCTGCCCTAGAGGTGGTCAGGGCAGCATGGATATTGGGTTGCCTAGCAACCACAGGCAGAGAGCTGCAAGGGCAGAAAGCATCGCAGCCTCCAGGTTGCCTAGCAACCGTTAGCTGACGGGGCCTAAGTACCACTGCCTCTATTCCTCCCACCCTTTCTTCCTTTGGCGTTCTGTGAATGACAGCCCGCCTTACTCAGGCCACAATCACTGTCTAGAACGGGGACAAAGTGTGTGGAGGGTGGGTGTGGAAGTTGGAAGGGAGGTGTGTGCTCACACATTAACTTCCCCACGTTTTTATCTATCCCATTAGCTCCAAATGGCATGGCCAGTTCGGGAGGATAGGAGTCTTAAGTCCAGCAACATCTAGAGGGTCACAGGTTCTTCTCCCTTCTAGTTGAACATAATTCCACCCCCGCTATCAGTTGATAGAACCTTTTTTAAAAAATAATAATCTTATATTCACAAATATAACTAAGTGGGGGGAGGGTAAGGACAATATATATAACGTTTTTTTTAAAAAAAAAGGAATGAAAGGGAGCTAATATATGAATAACAAAAACCCCACCATCATTTCATATTAAGGATTTTAGTATTATTATTAATTATAATAATAATAGATATTCACACTTTGGGCTGCTGTCAACTCTCAAGTAGAAAAAGGTCCCTGGTTCAATCCTCAGAATCTGCAGGTAGGACTGAGAGAACCATCTCTGAAACCCAGTCAGTTGCTGCCAGTCAGTGTGGACAATACAAAGCCAGGTGGGCTGATGTTTTCACTTTGTATAAAGCGTCTCCCTGTTCCTGAGGTAATCCATGTTTGATTAAAAAGAGTGTGTGTGCATGTAATAATAATAATAATAATTTTTATTTATATCCCGCCCTCCCCAGCCGAAGCCGGGCTCAGGGCGGCTAACAACAATCAAATAATCAAACAATCAAATAATGTAGGAAAAACATTGTTTTGATTATGTTACCTGACCCAAAGCAAAGGCATGCGGTCAAGTTTAATAATGAAAAAATCAGTTGTAAGTTCTTAAGTTCTTATGGGCTGCTTAGTCATTAACTCTCTTGCCCTTAATTAAGTCTGAGAACATATTACAGGCTTAGCATGCATCTGGGTTGTTCTTTTTCTCAATTTGGATCAAAGCCAGTCTGGGCGGAAACACACCAGTATGCAATATTTCATTTTTTAAAAATGACAGGATCGATATGGATTTTGGCTCATGTTTTCTGTGCACTACTTCCAAACCAGCGATGGGAGAGCACTGAATTCAGAGTAAATGGAAGTGTGATGGAAAGGAAGACAACCCACTCTACCTGGAAAAGGTGAGGTCACTGAACACACTCTTGGGCTGGGGCATTGTTTATGTGGTTTTGTGTTACTGATTTTAATTTTTTGCATCTTTATTTTTAGATCTTACTACGCTATACATATGATTTCTGTTGAAATTATTCAGTTTGGTTGTGCGCTTCCTGATGTGCTTTATTTATTGTTCATGACTACTTTTGTTAATGTCTGTAAATATGTAAACTTTTTTTACATGTTGTAAGCCGCCTAGATTTCCCAGTAGTGATGTATGGAAGTGAGAGCTGGACCATAAAGAAGGCTGATCGCCGAAGAATTGATGCTTTTGAATTATGGTGCTGGAGGAGACTCTTGAGAGTCCCATGGACTGCAAGAAGATCAAACCGATCCATTCTTAAGGAAATCAGCCCTGGGTGCTCACTGGAAGGACAGATCCTGAAGCTGAGGCTCCAATACTTTGGCCACCTCATGAGAAGAGAAGACTCCCTGGAAAAGACCCTGATGTTGGGAAAGATGGAGGGCCCAAGGAGAAGGGGACGACAGAGGGTGAGATGGTTGGACAGTGTTCTCGAAGCTACCAGCATGAGTTTGACCAAACTGTGGGAGGCAGTGGAAGACGGGAGTGCCTGGCGTGCTCTGGTCCATGGGGTCACGAAGAGTCGGACACGACTAAACGACTAAACAACAACAAAGCCACCTAGATCATGGTTTTAGCTATGAAGAAGGTGGAAACAAATAAGATGATGATGATGATATACACAGGCCTCTAATGCAAATGAATTTCAAAAGGAAGCTGGATCTCAGTGGAAAGTTGGAGTGGAGATTTTTTGGGGGTGCAGATTTTGCCAGCATTCCTTACTGCTATTCTTGCTGCCAGGTCTAATTCCCCATCATGCATGGAAGAAGACCACCAACAAGTTTCACACATACTCCTCCGACTCCTGCTCCCCACTCGAAATAAAATACAAAAGAGGGGTGCTTTCTCCCCCTCCTTGTTCTGATGTAACCCCCACCTCTCAAATTTTTGCAGAACATTCAGAATTTCAAATGTTGGAGCAACAATGTCCCAAACTTCCCGCTTCTCAGTACTGAGCCGCCTCTTTCTGCATCTGGCCCTTAAAGGAAATCTCCATGGTCCTGATTACATTTGCTCTACATTTTGCCAGACCTGACTGCCGGTCTGGAGCAAGAGATGGAGACCAAGGTTCAAATGCCTCATTCAGCCATGAAGCACCTTGCAGGATTGCTGTGCGGATGACATGGGAAGAGGGAGAACCACACGCAGCACCTTGAGTGCCCTGGAGAAAAGGTAGGAGCTAACAGAACTAACTCTCAAACAACAAGCCAGTAGAGAAGGGGAGGGAAAGTTAATGGCAGCTCCTTCTTGGTCCTTTTATACCAAGACAGACGATTGGTCCATCTAGCTCAGCACTGACTGGCAGCAGCTCTCCAAGGTTTCAGAAAGGAGCCTTCTCCCGGGTCTACCTGATGATACGGGTGGTGTTTTGGGTTAAAACACAGAGCCTAGGACTTGCCGATCAAAAGGTCGCGACGGGGTGAGCTCCCGTTGCTCGGTCCCTGCTCCTGCCAACCTAGCAGTTCGAAAGCACCTCAAAGTGCAAGTAGATAAATAGGTACTGCTCCGGCGGGAAGGTAAACTGTTTTTCCGTGCACTGCTCTGGTTTGCCAGAAGCGGCTTAGTCATGCTGGCCACATGACCCGGAAGCTGTACGCCGGCTCCCTCGGCCAATAAAGTGAGATGAGCACCGCAACCCCAGAGTCGGTGACCTAATGGTCAGGGGTCCCTTTACCTTTACTTAAGCAGATGATCAGTTGCGGAACTGCGACCCTTCCCCAACAGGAGAAGCTGCCTTATACCGAGTCTTTGCAGCTCAGTATTGTCTACTCTGACTGGCAACAGCTCTCTAGGGTTTCAGACAGGGGGCAAATATAAACTCTACACAGTGATGCCTGGGATTGATCCTGCGACCTTCTGCAAAGCAGATGTTCCGCCCCCAAGCGATCAAGGCCCTTCTCCTTTGCAGCTGAGTGTCTGGCAAGAGCATCCTAGAGGAATAAGCTGTCATGCTCAGCAAAGGGGATCTGTTAGCAGCTGCAGAGTGTCATTCTCCTCTGAGCCTTCCCTTCCTCTCCAGCACTCCGGGATGCCATTGCCTGCCCTTTTTTGTCCGCTCTCTCGTTACAGCAATTTGCCCAAGTGGCATTGAGTGCCCTCGGTCAGACCTTGTCGAGTCGCATTTCCATGGTTAGAGCAGCAGCAGCAGCTCCCTTTAATGAAGGCTTAATAGAGACTCATCAGAACAGAGGAAGCTGCCTTCTACGGAGTCTGTCTTATGGGTTGTCTCCTGTTATACACAGAGTAGACCCATTCAAAATAATGAGGCTAAGACCACATTCGCGCCATACATTTAAAGCATTATCGTGCCACGTCAAGCAGCCATGGCTTCTCCCCAAAATGCTGGGAGCTGTAGTTTGTTAGGGATGCAGAGAGGTGTTAGGAGACCCCAACTCTCCTCACAGAACTACTATTCCCAAAATTATCTGGGAGTGGGTCTTAAACCACTCTGGAAATTGTAGCCCTGTGAGCAGAATGGGGGGGGGGGTCGCCTAACAACTCTCAGCACTGTTAACTAATTCTACAGCTGATTAAGTGTGTGGGGAGGGTTTTGTTTTTTGTTGTTTTAACTATTTACTTGTGTTTTCACCTTGTATTTTTATCCTGTGAACAGCCTTGAGATCTTGTGATGAAGGGCACTATATAAATCTAAACAACAACAACATTATTTAAATAATTTAAATTTAATGCCATGACTGCTTTAAATGTATAAACAAACCAACCAACAAACCCCTGTTGCAAAATATGACTCAGCAAAATCGAAAACAACACGATGGCCAGAAACAATTACAGTATAGAAAACTTTATGGAATAATGCAAAACATCAAAACTATCAAACTGAAGTCTCTGAAAGTCCTTGAATAAGTCACAGTGCCAGACTTTACCCGGCAGAGACTACATAATCGCATGAGCACTGTTCCAGAGTACTTTTCATTCTCATGTATATCATATCAATTCGAAAAAAGATTGGTTAATGAAGAAACTGCACATCTTTCTACTTATGAGTGTTTGTCGAACTAATTTTCTGATGAAGAACTGAACGAAATAGTAGTTGCTATCTGGACACACTGTTTAGCTGAGTTCAGAGTTGGACATCAGAATTGGACATTTGCCAATTATACAAACCTTTACAGGCTTGCTCTCTGCTGGGTAAAGTCTGGCACTGTGACTTATTCAAGGACTTTCAGAGACTTCAGTTTGATAGTTTTGATGTTTTGCACTATTCCATAAAGTTTTCTATACTGTAATTGTTTCTGGCCATCATGTTGCTTTCGATTTTGCTGCTTTAAATGCATGGCATGAATGTGGGCTAAGTGAGTCATGTCCATTATTTTCAGTGGCTCTGCTCGAAATAGGACTAATGTTCGATACCCAATGGGCTGCGGGACAACGTCGCCTTCAAGACCCAAATATCTCAGAAGCCCACCCTATACTAAACTACAATGGGACTCCCTCCCCCCGTACCGTAGAACACCATTCCTGTCCAGATACCACAAGTGCCCCACTATCTGTGCTCTCCGGAAACAACAGAAGACATTTTTTGTTCCTATAAACTTTCCCAGCTGGAGGTCTAGGTCTCTTCCATGGGTTTCTACTTGCCGTTGTTTTCAGATTTATCTGCTGTTATTTTCTGCATCATTAAAAAAAGCAAAACTATTTTCCAGCTGTTTTTAATTGCATGTTTTGCATTGCCTTGAAACGTGTGTGGAAGGCGACATAAATAAATAGCCTTGGTTTTTCCCAGGATGGGGCTGCGTGGGGATGATGCCCCTGAGACTGGCAGAGAAGTTGGCAGCCTGGAACAAAGAGGAGGAGACGATGAAGAGTGTGTGTGTGTGCGAGCGCCAGCTGCTTTCACTCACCTTTTTCTTCCTGGCCTGGAATCTCACTGGGGGACGGTGACTCATTGGAGCTGAGCTGCAGAGAGACAGAGAGAGAGAGAGAAGGGCACTCCATTAGAACGTACTGTATTTTCGGGCACATGGCCTCATTTGCCTCCAAGCTCCCTTGTCATTCAGACATCCCTGTGTGCGTGTTTGCCTGTCAACGTCACGCAAGGAGAAGCTTCCGGAATAGCTACCAGGGAAAGAGAGGAACTTTATATAGGGTGGGTGTCTCACAGGCACCGCTAGGGATGTGCTGACCTCTCTCTGTACATCTTTTGTTCCTCTTTGAAATGATTTAACCCTGAAACACTTTTCTGTTGTGCGCCAAGTTTGTCCCAATGAAAAATCCCAAACGTTTCTTCCTTGTATGGGATTTGCTTCAGCCCCTTGATCATTTTGGATTTGATATCCCGCTTTATCACTACCCTAAGGAGTCTCAAAGCAGCTAACATTCTCCTTTCCCTTCCTCCCCCACAACAAACACTCTGTGAGGTGAGTGGGGCTGAGAGACTTCAGAGAAGTGTGACTGGCCCAAGGTCACCCAGCAGCTGCATGTGGAGGAGCGGAGACGCGAACCCGGTTCACCAGATTACGAGACTACCGCTCTTAACCACTACACCACACTGGCTCTGCTGTGGCTTGTTTCGCAAATGTGTGTAATATAAAAGTCCAGCAGGTGATCTACACCAGGCAAAGTCTCTTTGGGTGGTTTCAAAAGAGGAGAATGTGAGAAGAGCTTGCTGGATCCAGCCCGTGGCCCCCGGGGTCCAGCATCCTGTACTCACAGGGGCCAACCAGAAGCCTGTGGGAAATTTGCAAGCAGGACCTGAGAACAAGAGCACTTTCTCATCCTGTGGTTCCAGCAACTGGTATTCAGAAGCATTATTGCATCCAAAGCATAGCCAGCATGAATCTACCCAATCCTCTTCTAAAGCAAGCCATGTTGGCGGCCCTCATTGCCTCCTGCAGGAGCAAGTTCCATAGTTTAACTATTCACTTTGTGAAGAAGGACCTTCTCTTATTGGTCCCGAATTTTCCAATGTTCAGCTTCATTAGATGAAGCTGGAACAAGGAAGGTGCCCTCCGTGTTTTCGCTTCCTGCCATTTCCCCATTCCAAATCCTCTCCACACTCCACAGACAGCTGGATAAAAGTTATTTTAAGTGAAATTAAATTAAATGCTCGAAATAGTTTTCAATTAAATCAGGTATTTTAAAAACCAGTTATATTAAATGCCACTTTTAAAAATGTGAAGCAGCTTAAATACAGGCAGCCCCGTATCTGGAAGTTTTTAATGTTTTATTATGTTTTGATATAACAACAACAGCAACAAATTTATTATTTATACCCCACCCATCTGACTGGGTTTCTCCAGCCACTCTGGGCGGCTCCCAACAGAATTATAATAAATAAATAAAGTGATAAAACATCAAACATTAAAAACTTCCCTAAACAGGGTTGCCTTCAGATGATTTCTAAAAGTCAGATAGTTGTTTATTTCCTTGACATCTGATGGGAGCCACTACTGAGATGGCCCTCTACCTCACTTCTCGCAATGAGGGAATCTTCAGAAGGCCCTTGGAGGTGGGCCTCAGTGTCCAGGCTGAACGATGGGGGTGGAGACGCTCCTTCAGGTATACTGGGCCGAGGCTGTAAGCCGCCCAGAATGGCTGGGGAAACACAGCTAGATGGGCTGGTATAATAATAATAATTAATAAATTAAGTCTGAATTTGAATACTGATAAGCAAGTTAAATTATAAACCAAGGATCCAGCTACAGTGGTACCTTGGGTTAAGTACTTAATTCGTTCCGGAGGTCCGTTCTTAACCTGAAACTGTTCTTAACCTGAAGCACCACTTTAGCTAATGGGGCCTCCCGCTGCTGCCGCAGTGCCGGAGCACGATTTCTGTTCTCATCCTGAAGCAAAGTTCTTAACCTGAAGCACTATTTCTGGGTTAGCGGAGTCTGTAACCTGAAGCGTATGTAACCTGAAGCGTATGTAACCCGAGGTACCACTGTAAGTCCTACTCAGAGCTGACTTGTTGAAATTAATGCGGCTAGGTTAGGCTCTGCAATCACACATGTTTACTCTGCATCCAGTGCGTTCCCACCACCACTGCTTCGGATAGTACCATTCACACAACATTAGCCAAAATCTGCATCTATCCTGTGTTTTTTCTTAAGAAATGCAATGTTTTGATGCATTATCCCCAAGCCAGCTTCAATCTGAATTGATAAAAATAACGACTTAGCTGCGTTTTAAACAGATACTGTATTCACAGCCTTAGTCATGTTCCCTAATTCCAATGGGTCTGAGTATGTCTAACATTGGAAACAGCCCCACGTGTTGAGAGCTGGAGCAAAGAATGAATACCTGTGGCTCCATAATCCGCGTGGTTATTTACATTTCATCTCTTGGAGAAAGGTTGTTTTTCTCCACCAATTACCAGCTTTGCCTCTGAAAAAATCGGTCTGTATAGTACAGCCTGTTATTGATTATGGCCCTTGTCTTTAGGAAAATATATCTGTTAGTCTTTAAGACAGGGGTGGAGAACCTCCATAAATTATTGGACCTCAACTCCCTTCATTCCTGATCATTGGTCATGCTGGCTGGGGCTGATGGGAATTGGAGTCCCACAATGTCTGGAGGCCCACAGGTCCCCTACTGCTGCTTTGAGGTGATGTAATACTTTGCTGTTTTTTGTCTTCACAAAATAAAAAACTTCCTTCCAGTAGCACCTTAGAGACCAACTAAGTTTGTTATTGGTATGAGCTTTCGTGTGCATGCACACTTCTTCAGATTCTTTTCTCTTCACGTAAGTGATCTTGCTCACTGTCCTTGCATTTGTACAGTGAAATTGCACAGATCTGTTAATCTCACAATTGCCTCGGGTTTCTCAAAACAGACAAAATTGGGTTGCTCAACAGACTTGTGAGCTGCATTCATTGGAGTGGTTTTGCATTTGGCTCCAGACAAGTCCAGCAACTTAATCTGCTTGCAAACCATTATCTCTTGAATTTGTCATCGCAGCCGACGGGTATGCAGTCTTTATTTCAGAAAACGCATGGTTTACAAAATACGGAACCTGATTTAATCATTGGTTTCCCTCCCCTCTGGTGTTCTAAATTATTAGTTCAATTGCCTCAACTTAAATTAATCCTCCCTGACGGGGATGCTTTCAAATCTCCACAGTGGGAGGACAAGAGAAAGTCACTGGGGGGGGGTGATTTTGAGCTGGAAAATAGCAGAAAGGGCAAGGTTTAAGTGCCTCCTCCTGCTGCATCTTCTCCACATTTGATTGCCCCAAACGAAAGCAGATCTGAATGGGCAGCCCTTGCACACATTGGCATGTAATGTGTAGTTCGGGCCTTGAAATACCAAGACTTACCCAAGCCAAACGATGGGAAATTGAGCTGGCGTGGGCGAAAAGCCAGTGGTTCTTCATTCCATGTGTCACTTAGCCTGTGGAGCTCACTGCCACAAGATGTGGCCACAAGTGACACCTGCACATTTAACGCACTTTTAAAGCACATAGCTTCCCCCACCAAGAATCCTGGGAGCACTAGCTCACTAAGCGAGGCTGAGAATTGTAGCTTTGTGAAGGGTAGACTGCAGCTTCAAAGGAGAAAATTCATGTCCTTTGAACGTACAGAATGGCTGTGAGCCTGTAACCCTAATTTAGGCAGCTAATAATAATAATAATAATAATAATAATAATGAAGCACATTCATAGAACACAGGAAAGTAGTGGGACTCGCAAGGATGTGTTGGTGTGTGGAGCGTTCCCCTTCAGCCACGTCCCATTCATCTCTCTGCTTCCCCTCCTCCAAAAGACCCCCAGTAAATCTGCATTCTGTGGGTGACTGTTCATGCTCAGTCCTCATTGGGCTGTTTTGGGGTTCCCCCCTTCCCCCTTGGGGGATTTTATTTGTACTTTTGCAAACCCAGGGATCCCACCTCTGAGCCTGCTGATAATGTCACTCCTGAGTGCAGATGGTGTGGTTTGGGCTATGTAAAACACCGGCGCTCGCCAACCGAACATCAGCAATAGACGGAATTGTAACTAACAAAGGAAATAAATGAGAAGACGAGGCGTTTGAGCCCGAGGGTGCATTTGTGTCAGGTTTGGGGAGGGGGAAGAGGAACAGTCCGTGTCCCAGGCTGGGCAGCTTTTTGGCTGGGACTGAGCATTACAATGCAAGCTGGCAACTCTTTTTCATTCCCCCCCCCCTTTTTTTGCATGGCTTGTGGAGGGATTGCGGTTGTGCGTGCGGGGAGGTTGCAGCATTGCAGCATCTGCTTCTTTATTACACCCTAGTGGGTGATTAAACTCTCAAGCAGCAATTAAGCCCCTGCTATGCAAACCTCAGCAGTCCTGGGGAGAAGCGCAGCAGGGAGATGAACTGGGGGAGAGACTAGAAGGCTGCAGGGCAAGGGACAACTAGTAAGGGGGGCCGAGGGAGGGGGAAATGGTTCACGGAAGGGCAGCAGTCAGGTTTCCAGGGCCCTGCAAGTCTTCTGCTCTTCAGGGACATCCTCACAGAGCAAGCTTTGCCAACCTGGGGCCCTCCAGAGGTTTCCAGTCCATCTCAGCATCCTGTTTCCAAAGGCAAGGCCAGGAAAGCCACAACTCTCCCCTGTGGCTGCCACCCCATTGACTGGTATAGACCGGGGTCAGCAAAGTTTTTCAGCAGGGGGCCGGTCCAGTGTCCCTCAGACCTTGTGGGGGGGGGGCGGACTATATTTTGAAAAAAAATATGAATGAATTCCTATGCCCCACAAATAACCCAGAGATGCTTTTTAAATAAAAGCACACATTCTGCTCATGTAAAAACACCAGGCAGGCCCCACAAATAACCCAGAGATGCATTTTAAATCAAAGGACACATTCTACTCATGTAAAAACACGCTGATTCCCGGACCGTCTGTGGACCAGATTGAGAAGGCGATTGGGCCAGATCTGGCCCCGGCCCTTAGTTTGCCTACCCATGGTATACTATAGACTGCCCCTGACCATGCAGGATCCATTTCACAACCTTGGCTGCTAACTCTCGATTTATCTCCCTCCTCCACAAACATTCAGTCCCATTTTGAGAGCCGTCTAATAAAGCCTGTGACAGTCACAGTTGCGCGGCATCAAATCCCGCACATTATTATGTCGGTGTGAAAAAGTCCAATTTGTTGCATGTTCCTGAATCTGCCGCCGACCAGTTGCTTATAATTGGCAGGCCCACACTGTAGTGTAACATGAGAGGGAATTGATCTCTATCTGCTCTCTATCCATCATCCATAATTTTACAAACCTCCCTCTTCCCAAAGCCACTCTAGACAAATAGCCACAAGAAAAAAACATTATCCTTTCCTCGCAAGGAAGAGACTTTCCTCCACCCCTTGATGGTTCTGGATGTCCTCGCCTGCCCCTTTCCGAGCTCTGCGGTGTCCCCTTTTAAAGATGGGGTCAAAACCGGTCTCTGCATGCTGTAATCTAGGTTATAGCTGCAACTTGTTGGATTTATATAATGGGATTATTGTTCCAGCTGCTCTGCCTTAAGCCTCTGCTCTGTGGCTGATATAATGAGGCCTCCCCAAATGAGGCAAGCCATCGGTGGCAATTCCAGGGGTGAGGCCAGATCCCTATATCCCCGCACCCAGTGGGGAAACTGTGACAGGTGGAAGGACCCAGGGGGGTCAGCTTTCACAGGTGGGTGTAGGGAGATGGTCACCAAGCCAGACTGAGCTCCCCCACGCATCAACTGGTGGGTGGTGCACGGCCTGTTCAGTCTGGCTCCTGCAAGGCAGTGACATTGCGGAAGTTGCCAGAGCCCATGGCACGGAGGGAGGGAAATGGCCGGAGTATGCATGTGCATTCAACTGCCTAACCCAGAAGATCGCAGCCTCAGAAATAAGAAAATAAGAACTGTTCCATTGTCTGGAGAGGTCACTTCCTGGTTTTCAAGTTTTCAACAGTGCTCAGCGACGGAAGCATGCAGCTGTTTTGAGATAGCACCGGTGCAGAAATTCTGCGCCCCTAACAATTTTGTGCCCGGGGCAACTGCCCCTGTGCACCCCGCCCCCATGCTATGCCACTGCTGCAGGGCTTGGGAATATGAACTGAGCTCTCCCCGCAGAACTGAATCCTCAGCTTATCAGCTGATGCACAGAGAGATCAGCCCTGCTTTCTGTGAAGAAAGTGGCTACATGTCTCCTCCTGCCCCAGGTCTGATGTCACATGTGACGGCTGGCGGGCCAAATGCAGAGGTCTGGTAGACCAAATATAACCCCATGGGCAGGAAGTCCCCCACCCCTGGGATACACCATTGGTCCGTTGAGCACAGTGCTGCTTGCTCTAACTATGGATCCCTCTTTGGAGTGTTATCCAACTCTGAACCGGAAATGCAAGAGATTGAAAGCTGGACCATGTGCCTTTGCAACCTGTGTCCTGCCTCTGAGCAACATTCCTTCCTAAGCAAATCCTTTGTGATGTGCGTATTCAAACATGACGGGAACGTGGCCTGTGTTGGAAACTCTGTCCTGCCATGTGACCCCCAAAATCTTCCTGGCGCAGTGTATGTGGCGTTGCTCCTGATGGTTGTCAGTTGCCCGTGACTTGCTTCCATAACGCAGCATGCTCAACACAGAGGCATGGCAGCCCTTCATCTTGGGAACGAACGTTAGCTTTGCATTCTCCCGTGGCCTTTCGGAGAGGTGAGCCATTACACCAGTGGCCTTGCTGGTGGTCAACAAAAGACGTTTAAAGACTGCCTCAAAGCAAATCTAAAAAATCTTTTAAAATGTAGTATAAACACCAACAATTGGGAAACACTGGCCTGCAAGCGCTCCAGTTGGAGAACAGCCTTTACCAAAGGTGTCATGGGCTTTGAAGACACTTGAACTCAGGACGCAAGGGAGAAACATGCTAGGAGGAAGGCACGCTTGGCAAATCCACACCGTGATCAACTCCCGCCCAGAAACCAATGTCCCCACTGTGGAAGGATGTGTGGATCCAGAATTGGCCTCCACAGTCACTTACGGACTCATTGTTAAAACTGTGTTTATGGAAGACAATCTTACTCGGTTATGATGGATCGCCATAGAAGAAGAAGGCCTTGCCAATAAGCTTGTCAATGGAGAGGCTGCTGGTCATGGTGGAACCCAGGAAGACAAATTTTTCTACCACCTCATGCGTGTGCTCGTCAAAGCTGATCAGATGCTGCAACCTTCCAGCAGTTTGACTTCACCCTCAAAGGTCCACTCCTCCATTGACTCCTGAGACAGACGGATGCCAACAACGATACAAACACACAATGGACAGCTTATTTTTTTTAGTGGCTCTTTTGTTAATAGTGTTTTAGAATCATAGAATCGTAGAGTTGGAAAGGGACCCCAAGGGTCATCTAGTCCAACCCACTTCAAGGCAGGAATCTCAGCTAAAGCATCCATGACCAGGGGCATCTTGCCCATAGAGGCAAGTGGTGCAGGGCGCCAGGGTGCCAAGTTCTGGACGGTACCAGGGAAGAGGTAGTGGCTGGACGCGGCGCCTCCCAGCATCAGCTCACTGCCCTTGCCTGCCTCCGCCATGCCACACCAAGCAGTGCCGCGCCTGGAGCCTCTGCCTGGCGTGGCCACTGCGGCACGGGTGCCAGGGAAGAGGCGGAGGCTGGGCGCGGCGCCTCCCGGCATCAGCTTGCCGCCCTCGCCCGCCTCGCTGAAGCAGCGCCACACCTGGAGCCTCCGCCTCTTCCCCACCGGAGGAGCTGCCCTCCAGCTGCTGCCCCCGCCTCCTCCAGCCCCGCAAAGCTGCCAGCAGTGCCGTAAAAAGGTCAGCAACTCTGGGGAATGGGGGGGGCACCAGAGGGATCTTTGCACCACGGCGCCAGATATACATAAGATGGCCCTGTCCATGACAGATGGCCACCCAACCTCTGCTTGGAAACCTCCAAGGAAGGAGAGTCCACCACCTTCCACAGGAGCCTGTTCTACTGCTGAACAGCTCTTACCGTCTGAAA